AAGCTCGGCCCGAAGGCCAGCGAGCTGGTTTCGCAGCGAGTCGTAAGACGACAGGTCGGCTCGACGATCCACTCGGCCATGGAGACTGCGAGTTTCTTGATAGAGCGAGGCAACATCCTCACGGAGCCGCTCCACGGCACCAGGCTGACCAGCACGAGCGGCAGCCTCGCCACCAAGGCCGACGCCAAGCGCGATCTCGAGGACGTACACACGGTCCCGGAGAAGACGAATCTCCTCTTGCTGCAGGGCCACCACCTGACTCGGGGCCCCAGCATACGGCTGCGTCGCCTCAGGCTCGTAGCCATGGCCGTGCGAGGCCACCGCCGGCCCTCCTTGATCGTAATGGGCAGATCCACTACCACGTGGAACGAGTCGTCCGGGAGCGGCGGCTCCATGGCAAGCGACAGCTGCTCGTGAAGTGGAGGGGTTACCCTGAGTCGGATAACGCGCAGGAGCCCGTTGAGCAGCTCCAGGCAGACTGCCCGAAGGCTGTTGCGATATGGGATGAGAAGCAGCGGCAGCTTCGTAAGTAGTCCTTGGCTTCTTGGCCGGTACCCGGGGCACGGTAGCAGACGTAGTCGCACCACGCCCACGCTCTTCACGAGCTTTGGCTCTCGCCTCTTGCTTCAGCTCGTCCATTTTCGAGTGGAGCTTGCGCTTGCTCACGAGTTGAGCGAACTCGATGCGGAGCTCGCGCACGTCCAGGATTGCGGACAGAGTGCGATCCTCACGGAGTTCTTTGAACTCTTGGTCGGAATACCTTTTGCGCTGGACGTAGCGCCAGAAGAGGTCTTCCACCTCGCTCCAGGTCATGTTGTCATTCGGCTTGACCCGGTGGAAACCCCACACAGGATGGAGTCCACCCTTGTCCTCCGGCTTTTTGCGAAGCGTGGTGAACTCCTTCAGTGTGAGCTTGTGTGGTGCTAGTAGCACACACCGGGCGACTTCAACGTCGCCAAGAAAGAGTGGCTCTTTCTCAACAAGAGCACGCTCATAGGAACCCCTCGAGGTGTACCCGCCGATAAGGCCACGAGGAGCCGAGAGCTTCTCCATCAGCGCTGGCGCACCAGTGCCAGGCTCGGGCTGGAAGTAGCCCTGCGGGTACGTGGCATCCCCGCCTGAAGAAGACTCGATGGCAGTCGTGGCAGTCGGCTGCCTGGCATACGCACCCGAGCTAGCAGCGTGGTATTACTGCTGCTGCTCGTCGAGGTTGTTGGAGAGTTCCTTGGGCTCGTGGACGGCACCCTCCTCGTCCTCAGACTCCGAGTCGATGAACAGCTTGGAGCTGGAGCCGCGAGGCGACCTGGAAGCTGAACGCTTCTTCGCCTTGGCCTCGGCGGCCTTCGCAGGGGCAGCCGCTTTCGACGCTTGGGCACGCTCACAACCTTGTGCCAGCGTCAGATGCTTGGATGCCAGCACCTCCTTGGGCTTGGAGCCCGCGTCGCTCGGCGACTTCTCGGCCACGACCCCAGCGTCGGCCATGGCGACTTCGTCGTGCGACTGCTTGCTGTCGCCTGATCCGGACTCGGCGTCGTCCGCCTCCTTCTCTGACGAGGCCTTTGCGTCGGCCGAGGCGTTGGTCATGTCGCCTGCCGCCAGCTCCGTGCCTTCGGCAGCGTGCGTGCTACCCTCCGAGACGTTCTAGTCGTCGGGTGAACTCTCACCGGAGTACTGGACCATCGTGCAGTCAAAGACGGCGGCTTCTCAGTCGCGAGCCGGGCTTTTATGGCCCCGAGGACTCTCCTCCTTGCCTTGCGCGGCGTCAGAAGACTTTCTCCGAGCCCCAGCCTGACGGCCACTCTCCGGCGTGCTGCTACGAGAGCGCACCACCTTCTTGGCCGCCTTCGTGGCCTCCATCAGCGCGGACGACTCGTCCTTGGCCTTGGCCGCCCTGGTCTTCGGTCCTACGGCCCGCGGTTTCGGAGGTGCTTTCGCACTGCGCGCACTGCGCTTTGGAGGCATGCTTCCGGTCGACGTGGAGACCCTGCGGCCTGCTCGGCGATGCGCCAGTTGCTCTGTGAGGCCCGGGAGCCGAGGCGCCAGAGCTCGCGCCGTTGTCGATGGATTTCGACTTTGCGAGTGAAATGTGAGTCGCCGGCGTAACCTCGCTCTGATTGGTCGATAAGAGCGAATCTAAGTGGGGGAGGATGTAACGGAGTTACATGGAATAGTGACCCTGTCATTATTCCGGGATGGCTACATCGGTCACTCCCCTGGATAGTGACCCAAGTGGCCTCAGAGCCAACAGATACATCTTGTATGACACAAACTACAGGGAACTTAGGATTTGTATGCAGGCCAAATCTGTACCAACCTATAAATACATTCAGTCTTAGATCTACCGCTTTTCAAGTCAAGTCGTCCCCTTCAGACCAGGGACACGTGAACGGCTGTTCAGTTGGAGTTTGTATACTCCTGCTTCCTCTGTTAAGAAGTGCTGTGTGCCCCGTCACAGACATGGAGCGCAGAGGCATCATCGACGAGCTCCTCAAGCTAAGTGACAATGGAGTTCTACCCCGCGGAGCCTTCGCCCGCGTCGGGGCCAATGTGAAGAGTGACCCGACCACCGTGAGCGCTATTTGGAAGCGCTACACGGCTGCGGTGGCGGCTGGTGTTCCGGGTGGCGAGTGGGCTAGCCGGATCAAGCGGAACAGCGGTAGGAAGCGTTAGAATCGAGATGAAGTGCGGACGAAGCTGGCGAGTGTTCCTGTGGAGGATAGGGCAGTTGAGAGGCGCGTTGCGGCTGCTTCAGGGCTCTCCCGGCCCCTAGTACGACAAGCTGTGAAGGAAGGCATGGTACGGCGTCGTACGACGTTTATCAAGCCGGCGCTGACCCCCGAGAACAAGCTGGACCGTGTCGAACATGCGCTGTCGTTCATCGACGACAAGACGTTACGCTTCGAGTCGATGCACAACGTGGTTCACGTCGATGAGAAGTGGTTCTACGCAGACCGCAACAGACGTTCCTACCTTGTTTTTGACGGTGAAGAGATGCCTCCACGAGCCTGGAAGAGCAAGCGCTTCATACCCAAGACCATGTTCCTGGCAGCACTCGCACGCCCTCGGTAAGTCTCTATATTTTTATAATTTTATACTGTGGATAACCTTTGACACTGTGTATGAAATTTCTGTGTAGGTACGATCCACACCGTAAGCAGAGATGGGATGGCAAGGTGGGGCTCTGGTCTTTCACGGAGAAGTATAAGGCACAGCGTAAGAGCAAGAATAGAGCCAAGGGGGAAATTTGCACACGCAATCTTGATACCGTCGATCGAAATGTCTACAAGGGCTATCTGATCACCAAGGTGTTCCCAGCTATCAAGTCGAAGTGGCCAAGGAAGGATCGTCGCCAGTTCATCTTCGTGCAACAAGATAATGCGAAGCCGCACGTGTCGCCAACCGATCCGGACGTTGTCGCAGCGGGCACAGAAGGAGGGTGGAACATCAGGCTGTTATGCCAAGCAGCCAACTCACCCGAGCTCAATTGCCTTGACTTGGTTGTTTTAGCTTCAATGCAGAGCATTCAACACCGTCTACCAAGGAAGGGCAGCGATGCGCTCGGTTGAGGACGCATTTCGGGAGCTCAAACCCGACACTGTGGACAACATCTTTCTTACGCTACAGGCGTGCATGCGGGCAATCTTGGAGGAGGCTGGCGGCGATCTCTACAAGCTTCCACACTTGGGGTAGGCCAAACTCCGACGTGCGAATGAGCTACCGGTAAGTCTATCGTGTAGTAGAGAGCTGTATGACGCCGCACTTGCGTTACTCCAATCTTCAAATCGTGGTAGTGCACTGTTCTTTAAATGAAAAGTACTTCGAAGTAGATACCTTTCTCCTTCTTTGAACTCAAAGTACACTTTATAAATTAGTATTTGTCGTGTATAAGATTCGGCCGTCACAGAAAAAACTGCCGGCCTATCATAATGACTTCCGGTGATCATTTCCAACCGGAGGAAGTACATTTTTTGTGCAGCAAATTCTTTCAATGCAACACGGTCAGTCGTCGACTAACATGACATGTTCTATTATGCTTTGCAGACTTTTTGGCACTTTGGAATGTAAGTTACATTATGTAACTCGCACGACTTATCTATAAATCGTCGCGATACCGAATTTCCTTCGGAACTGTTGGAGTCCAGGGTTATTTTAGCCCTAACCATCCAGAATTATCCAGGATTTTACTAACATATGCGTACAGGATTATCCTGGACCGAATATATTTAAATTACCGCAAAAAAAACCGCGTGCGGAATAGAGCTAAGTTTGTTCACCGCCGTGCACTTGAGAAGAAACGACCGCGACCTCGGCACTGGTTCGACAAGGTCTTCGCGGGCGATGTCGGCGTAGTTTTCCTTCGAGAACTACACGTGTCTTCTGCTTCAAGCGTTGGTGGGCTCGCGTGTCCAGGCGCTTTCATCACATCTTCGCGCGTGAGAATGGACATCGGAGGTCTACTGGCACCGTGTGATTCTGACGCAGACGCGCATGAGCACGACGGCGTGAGAGGAGAAGCGCAGAACGTAGACAGTGTGAGTCGTGGCAGTGAAGACTCCAGTAGTCAAGTCCAGCCTACAGAATCGGCATCGCGCGTTGTTGCCCCCGTTGCTATGAACAACCACTCAGCTCGTCTTGTCTACAAAGCCAACGCTCTCGTTGATCCGCCTCAAGAATGGCACGCTAACTGGGGTGCATGGTTATCGTACGTTTGAGACTATCAACAGCGTTCATGTCAAACGCTACCCATAAAAGAAACAATGAACAACAACCAGCGCAACGACAGGATTGTAGTTACTGAGAAGTACAAGCTCGGCAAAATTGATAAGCTACCTGCTTTCATAGATCCATACCAGCGTGTATACATTTGTACACACGGCTGGCCAGGTCGACCGCCTCGAGGCACCGGAGAGAGACCACGTCAGCACGTCCATTTCACTGGATGTGGCTTCCGTTTTACAGTCCAAGCATGCCAGAGGAACGGAATGTGGCAATTTCGGGTCGTTCATGGGACTTTTGTACACAATCATGACGTTACTGCAGATAGTTTTGCTGCGCTTCCTTCTTCTCGTGGATTAGACGACGCTCGCATAGAGGCCCGCGTTGAAGGAATGCTAGCTGTTGGCTCAAAGAGGTCGAAAATCTACGACTACCTTCTATCGCATGGCCAAAATGTTGTGAAGTCTGACGTGGACAACATGGTGCGGAATCACGTTGCTTCGCTTACGTCTACCGATGATAACGAGCGGACTGCCGTGGAGGTCGCTGGTTTTGCATCCGCAGATGCAGGTAACGTGGTAACAGTTGACGAGACGGCCGCCGGCGAGACGGGTGTAATTTCTCTGTCATCCTCTTTCATGCGGCGTATGTACGCTCGTTTCAGCGAGTTGCTTCTGATAGATTGCAGTCATAAAACAAACCGGTACGTTTTCAGTCTTTATTGTGTGCTCGAAGAACTTGCTAAAATTGTAATCTATTGTTTAGGTACAACTACCAGTTATGCACTTTCATGGCAATGAACGAGTATGGAGAAGGTGTTGTGGTGCAGCATTCTCTTTTGGAGACAAATGGAGACTGGCATATGGACCGGGCCATTGAACACTTCAAACGAGCAAATTGTGGAAGGTTCAATTTGCTTCGTGTGATCATGGTTGATAAGGATCTTAACGAATTACGAGTCCTGCAAAGCCATTTTCCGGATGTGCGGATTCTGATATGTCATTTCCATGTGATCAAGTATTTGAAGGAAAAGCGAGGTAAACCCGAATTCGGTAAAATTTCAACAGATGATGCCACGGCACTGGATGCTGTTATCCCCAGGTTGGTATATGCTTCAAGTGAAGAGGTCTACTCCCGATACTACAAGTCACTCGAGGCGATGTGTCACCGTATTGGTTTCGAGGGATTCTTCGACTATTTCGCACGTAACTGGGATAGTTCCCAAGACGTGTGGGTGATGTACCGCAGATCCGATCTTCCTCACTTTAAAAATCACACTAACAACCGACTGGAAAGCTTTTTTGGTAAGCTCAAGGGGTGTGTTGACTCCTCCATGGATATGGCTACATGCATTAGAGAATTGGTTGCCCACGATCGCCGAGTTCAAAATGAACACAAGTACCAGCTCGCTCGAATGGGACGGTTTGTAAACTCGAATTACGACGAGGAGATGTCGAACGTGCTCCGTTTCACGACTCATCACGTCGCACAGCAAGTGGAGTCGCAATATTCAATCGGAATATCAAAATCTAGCATTTATTCATACAACGTGGATGAATTTCAGGCTGGGCTTGTACAAGTTCGCGGCCGCCATAATGCAGCCCACCTCAGCACGGAGGAGTGGTCGTGTGATTGCACCTTCGCGAAGTCTATGCAGCTTCCATGTCGCCATGTAATTGCATACCGAAAACTCACCAACGCCTCTGGTCCTGTTATCCCTTGGTGCAGAATTGATGAAAGGTATATCTTTACGTTTTATTTCATTTATTTGCTGAGGATACTAAACACTTTTCAAACTTTAGGTGGACAAATAACTCGGTCTCTTTGCAAAGTGCTCGTCGGTTCAAATACAAGACGTTTGAGCGAGATGCGAAGAAACTGATGACCTCAAAACCGCGAAGTCACGGAGAAGCCGTGCGTGCTACTCATCTGATCGCTAGCGAACTAGCCGACATCGACAACGACGCAGATTTCAACGTTGCGTTACAGTTTGTATTGACGCAGTGGAGATCCTTTCGTCAGCAGAGGTATCTGTCACCACAAGGGCTAGACCACATTCCAGGAATAACATCCCATGGGTACAAATCATCACTGCCCCACTCTTCTGAGTCAATAGGCTACGAGAGTTCAAGCGACAGGGATCGAATTGCTCGTGAAGTTTTAGCTACCACGTCGCATTCTTGTGCGAGCAGCTCAGCACGCGAAAAACGCAAAGCAAGCAAGGCTGATCTTCACCATGGAGGGAGCTCCAGCGATGATGATGACATTGTTCGCGAAGTTTTATCAGCCAAACCAGTCGCTCGTAGCAAAACCTCTAATACTGGAGATGGAAGCCAAGGAGCAAGCCTCCAAGTTCAATGTGTCACTGAGCCGGAAATTTCCAGCCCAAAGGCTGTTGTGCAAAGAGGTGTTGCACCTAGATTTTGCGCTACGTCCGCAATCGTGCGCTCCACAGTGCCTGACAAAGTTGAAATCATTCTCAACGGAAACACCAGAAAGTCAGGAGCGCCAAAAAAGAAAAAGTCTAAGACCCATGCGGACGAAAAAACAAGTCGGATTTGGTTTGCAGCTTCGGAATCGGCGCGAGAGCTGGCAGGCCAATCTACGCTGATTGACCTACTTCAAACTCTGGACGAAGAAAAACCCGGCCTCTCTGAGTTGCAACGGCGACTTGCTGGTATTTGTGTCAAGTTTGGTGCAGAAGCAAACCGGAAACCCAAGTTCAAAAGGCAGAAGAACCCCATTCTCAACCTTGACGCATTTTACTTACTCCCGGAAAAGTTACTACGAGCGTGCTTGGATGTCCTCCCTCTATCGAATACCGTCGCGGACCCTATTGTCCTCGATGAGGGCGACACCAACGAATGTCTGTCCACTAATGAGCCTCAGCGTACTACAACTGATGTAGTAGTCATTAAAAATGTTGGTGTGTTCTCTCGTCAACAAATTGAGATATTCCGAAAGATTGATAATATCAAGAAAGCTGCCGAGCAAGGAATGGCGCTGTACCTTTGGTTACGAGAGAAAGTCTTACCGTCCCTTCCGGCGACCTACCACGATACAGTTAACGAAGTTGCGGACCGAGTGATCAACACGTATCCGTACAGCAAGATCGACGGATTTGCTGAGGTCCCTGGGTACCAATTCGCTATGCTGTACCGTGCAGTACCACCGCAATACCTGAACGACGCGTATATCCACGCTCTGTGTGATCGGCTTTGTCATGATATCCCGTCTGCACGTTTTGCTGGATTTCAATCCGCAACGACAAGAGGCAAGCGCAAAATGAAACATCAGGTGATGTCGAGTGATATTCTCAAGCTTGTTGGAAATCAAGCAGCTGAGTTGGAGGTAAAAACCATCTTCGTCCCAATTAACTTCAGCAACGCTCACTGGTGCAGTATCGTTGTCGACACGCACTCCAAAACGATACATTGCTATGATCCTGTCAACCAGAAGGAGTTCACGTCGGTAGTTGAAGTTCTCGCGATGAGCTTAAAAACCAAGGTTTTGCCCGCATTTCGCATCGAAGTCGACAATGATCCACTTCAGTTTGATTTATTTAGTTGCGGAGTCTACGTTTGTTGGATGTTCATCAACCGAAGTCTCTCGAGAGCGTCTGAAGCCACGGACATGGCAGTGCTGACGAAACGACGCTTTGAACTGTTCTACTACGTGCTCACAGGACGGTTGATAAAAGACGAGCCTGCAAGCACGGTTGAGTAGGTGGGGAAAAGTAACCGTGAAGGAAATGACCCACGACCGTCCTCACGACTTGATAATACACTTTGCATGGTTTATTGCCTTTATAAGCCACTTATTTAGCTCCGACTTCATTTTTGGAGAAAACAATGCACGTTAAATCGCTGTCTCTCTCTACAAGTCGCTTCTGTAGACCCGTGGCGAGCATTAGGAGCTCTGGAATTGTTGACACGTCTGTCAATGATAACATCTCATTGACACTGGCTTCGTAAGTGCAGCTACATTCACGACTGCCTTCATGTCAATATTCAATAGTTATGCTGAAACGACCTGCATCATGGTTCGCGTGAATCTTCCCAATCTTTCATCGTCTCCGAAGTATCTTCCCCATGTGATCCTACTACTAGCAGATGTTTTAAAATCCTGGACGAATCCTGGACGGGAAACATACGGATCCTGATTGAAGCAGGATTATAATCCTGAACTCCAACACCCGCCAATTCCCATTGTAATAGGGCACCCCTGTCACATCCTAAGAATAGGTGATTGACCAATAGAACTGCAAGAATGTACGACTAGGATAATCCTTTGTCAAAGGGCACGCGTGGATAAACGTGCACCTTCTGGCTCTAAAGACTTTCCAGAATTCTTTCACAACTGAGATGCAACACCGGTAGCATCGACAAACCCACTTACATGTATAAACACCATCTAAAGCCAAAACTCGAAATAGAAAAGTGTCTGCTCAAGGCTTGTGCAGATATCACGGCACACAGAACAGTGAAACTATCGCAAACGGTGAAGAAACCATTCCTATTATTATTAATAGTGATGGCGAGAACGTAAGAAGTCAATACGGGTCGAATAATACTATATTCCAGGGTCCACCGTGGATCCAGATTAAAAAGGTAGGGTTGGGCTGCTATTTTTTACTGCATTGTGCAGATTCATTTGCAAATCTTTGAAATCGATATCTTCTTTCGCAGGATTGAGACCTGCTAAGATTTGCGCCCCAGCTCTACACTTGTTTTTCAAATCCTTGATCTGTTTTTCGTCTCGCTGTAATGGGGGTGCCCTATTACAAAGGAAATTCGGTAGTGTTAACCGAAATGGAATGGGAGCCAAAATTTACAATTAAATTAAAAAAACTAAACTCAAAATTTTGGCTTGTACACCAAAGTGGATTGAGTCCACAGCTAAGTCCCGTAGAATAAATATCACGAGTGACCCAGCTAGCGTCAAACTTTTCATCACTGACCGTTTAGGGGAACATATGTTTAAAATACTAGCTTATACTATCCCCTGCTACGCGCTACGCGCAATCTCCTAAACCCTAAAGGCTCGCTACGCTCGCTCGGACAGAACCCTAAAAAGCCCGCTCCGGCTCGCATGCGTCGCCTCCGCTTGCTAGGAGGGCAATGCTGGGTCCTGGGTTTGCATCCGCGTGCTTCGCGCACGGACTGCCAAACCGCAGGCTGGCTCGCTGCGCTCGCTTCATGAAAGTCACAGTAGCAAAGGCTCATCAGAAAACATATGTTCCCCTTAACGGTCAGTGATGAAAAGTTTGACGCTAATTAGGTCACTCGTGATATTTATTCAAGTCCCGTACTCCATGGGCTCGCCGCGGATGCCGGCCGCCACGGACAGCGCACAGTGGCGAGCCATTTTATTGACCAGACGGTGATCCATACATGACATCGCATGCTCGACTGCCTTCTCGAGTAGCTGCATTCGCAGCTCGGTCTTCTGACCGTAGGGAACATTCATCATCTCCTCGTGGCTGAGCGAACGGTAAGCTTTGATGCGTGCTTTCAAGGCGCTGAAGCAGCCTGCCAATTGTAGGTAAACACAGCTTGTTAGAGCACACAGAGAGTAAGATGTAGCGTAAGCTCACGTACCTTCGATGGGATTGAACATTGGCGAATAGGGGCCCAGCCGAAGCAGCACCAGATCACATCGATCGCGGACGAGATTCTCGGTCTGATTGTGGGCAGGTGCGTTGTCTAAGATCACCACGAAATTTTTTCCCACGAAGTGCTCCTTGTACATGTGGCATCGTGCTGCTTGACAGCGTCATAGATGGAGTCCACAAAGTCTGCATTAACATCCATCTTGATGCTCCCACGCCTCTTCTCGTAATGAACTAGCCCAACCTCAGGCGAGACAGCACACTGAAGCTGCAGGTTAGCGCCTTTTGACGGCGGAAGCTTCACCACAGCACGCTCTCCGATTGGCGCCCGCCCCTGGGACCGTTTACAATAAAGATTGTAATTGGTCTCATCGTAGTACACAATAAAAGCCCCCTCCCGCTCGTGTTTTAGAAGCGCTTCTCCAAACACTCTACGCTTCTCAATGTTCTCTGCGTTATTGCGGTTCGACTCTAACCTACATACCGTAAAGTAGCATACATGTGTACATACATGTTAGTACGGGCCATCCCATTTGCAGTAGCATCATGCGTAGCATTACCGATCTATTTTACTGTGTAAAGCTTGCCGCACAGCTTTCGCCTGATAAGCGACGTGCTGACAAGGACGCCAAAGTCACAGAACAGCATATCACGCATTTGCGAAAGCGTATACTGACAGTTCTCTTCGAGGTAGTCTACCAGCGCGCTCTCCATCTCCAGCGTGCACTTGGTGATGGCCGCGCGCGCCCCGCCTCTCTTCTTTAGCTCTGGTGTCCCCCGCTCGACAATATTACGCGCGGTAGTGGGAGGGATACCATTGTGGTGCGCTACCAGCATCTAGTCCCCGCCTTCTCGATGAGCATCAAGGACGCGCGCGCGAGCGGCGAGCGTGTGCTTCGGCTCCTTCGGCATGGTACCGCTAGGATATACTGGCCACCAATTTCACTTTGGCGTAAATCTAAAATTCATTATTTTTTTCTCTAAATATAGGCGTTACTTCAGTTACTTCGCACGAAGTTGGTGTACACTGCCGCGAACTTGAGCGGGCAAAGGTATAAATAGGAGGGCAAACTGGATGCAATGTTTCCTATTCAGTTTGCCCTTCTATTTACTTCACTACTTAGTGTTCGTACTTAGTGGGAAATCATAGAGGCTTTGAATGCAAGTTGCTCAAGTCGTGTTTCGAAGCCGGTTTGGCTCCGAAATGGCACTTTCTAAAAGTGCCAAAAGGATGCTAATCCGTACTAGATGTGCTAGATCATGCAGGAGATGGTGTATGTGCAGTACTTAGTACTGATGGACCATCCACGACTTACAGCAATTCGTACTTGAGTACGATTTATAGATAAATCGTGCTCGATAAGTCGTATGAATTACAGTTCAAAGAACCAAAAAGTCTGCAAAGCACAATAAAAACAGTGCCTAGATTAGATACATAGGGATGACACACCGTCTTTTTCTTACTTTTTGTATAGAGAAAACCGCGCATTTTTTTCAAATCGCCAAATTATGGATGAGTGATCAGTGATCAGTGATCAAGTTTACGGTAAAAACTCAGAAGTTTGCCAACAATTTATATAGGGCAAGAACTTTCTACGGGTTTTACAATGAGCTCCCAGCTTACGGTACATCAACCACCCCTTGCGTCATGCAACAGGAGATCCAAAATGTGAGGGACGGCTCGATACTTAAAAACGTTGCAAAATAGGTTCGAATTTTCAAACCAAAGTTTGTTTCGTTATTCTAAAAAACCTCGAGCGGAACGTACCCTATATCCAATCTTTACCTTATCGTCATTCGTACCGTGTAGATCAATTGCATATTTTCATGCATTCTTCTGAATACAGTAGTAGGCATCAATAAAGAATACCCGACTTGCATACAATTTCCAAGATAAATTAATTATCAAATTATTTGTATTAGTTCGTAAAAAGAACCCAGAGCAAACGCAAATAGAGTTGAAAGAAGTTATAAGTTCTGCAGTCTTCTTTATTGAGGCACACCACGCTACTATTCAATTCACTTTAAACACTTGTTTAATAATGGAAACGCATCGTTGGAGCACAAGATAGAGGCTCAACGGCAACCAAACTGTTGAAACAGACACTGTTATAAAATATGTTAAAAAACTAACAACGACTTAGCTGTGAAGTCGAATATAAACGCTAGAATTAGTTTAACGCACTTGCGACTGGTCGACCACCACTTCCGCACACGGCAAAAGAGCTTCAGGCAGAGCGCCACGATGGACGGGTGACCACCAGTTCTGTCAGCGCGGGTCGCTATGCGGGAACGAGGAAATGCGCCGTTACGTGCACCCCAAGTCTACGACCTGCGTTTGACCTGGCGGAAATGCACGAAGTAAGTTTGAAGGCTGTACGATACCGCGTCTCCTGACGCGACATTACTCCTGACGCGAAATTACTCCTGAGAAGATCGGCACTATTTGCACGAGTATAGCGGTAGCGAGTAAAGTACCCGGGCATCGCAATAGCAGCTCGAGTACTGACGGCTTCAACACTCTACAACCGCGCGTCCAGCTGCTGGAATGGGGATGATCAGCTTGCAGCTGCGTAAGCTCCTTTTCGGACACAGCGTCGTCGTCAAGTATCGAAGCCTCCCAAGTTGCTGACGAGCGGCCAGCGGGCCAAGCTGCCCGTCCAGGTGCAGCTGCCACGCACGTTTTGGCTACGCGCGGCCGACTCAAGCAACGGAGTGGACGCCACCGCTGCCAGCAGAAGAAGTCAGGCGATATTCTTGATGTATATAGGATATCAAACCAAGCAGATCTGCGGTATTTGGTCGATGAAGACGACTCGAGTAAAGATGACTTGGAGATATCATGTACAGAAGTGTACTATGGTGCCTTAAACACAAAACATACCGATCTGCCAATGTTCGAATTGTAATTCTAACATATATGTAGTGGGCAAAGTAGACCCACTACCATAACTTACACGTGTGCGAACGTGCACGAGGAAGCGTAACTTAGTTTTATCTAGAGTTAATGATATACTCGGGTCTCTGAGTATAGATTAATCCAATTCGAATAGTGTTTTTGGGTTAAATGATAACTTCTATTTATACTTTATGTTTTTGACTCTCCTAATTGTAATATTTTAAGATAGGAGTCTTTCAATGACTTAATCCCGCTAATATGCATGTCGCTCATTGGCTAAAAGATGCTGTTTTCAGCCAATATGAATCCTAAGTGTGTATGGACGACACGGTGTGGTGATCGTAAATGTATGTAGCCGTTTGTATATCTTACGGTTTGTTAGCGAAAACGGCAGCTTCGAGTTTGAGAGCACACCAAAGTCGAGGAAGTATGCAAACCTCTACCAGATTTCGTAACTGTTAGAGTTACTAGTGACTGTAGCCACTTGTGAGTCACTAGTAACTCTAACAGTTACGAAATCTGGTATGCGTAACACCCAATTGCGACTTTGTGCGCCACGTTGTGGCGCACCAGCCGCATGGTCATGAATTGCTCCTCCAGTGCATGAAAAGCTGATATTTTCGATCATTCCGACTTTTTTGCATTAATTTTATATATGCTACAATAGTAATCAAAAGAGTAGACGATATAAAGCTAAGTAGATGGGTTTATTTATCTTCTTATTGATACTTCGTATTGCAGTACGCTCAGCATTTAAATTATGCAATTTGGTAGAGTAGTCCAGCATGATTTTTACTTAGCATCGTCGATTTATTGTGGTGTAGTGCATTCTACGACCTGATTGTAATGTACCACAACGAAGTAGTGAAAATATTTTCAATGCTAATAATAATAGAATACATGTAGTTTCATCGCCCAACGTGTCACATAAGGTAATACTGAAGTTGTACCCCCTTGGTAGTCATTGACATCTCGGTGCCTCTCAATTAGCTATATGTCTCATGTTAACGTAATGAGATATGACAAACTAGAGGCGAAACTTTGGTCTGGGAGGACAGTAATACTTCCTTTGTGTGGCGATTGATAAACAACGGTAGGAGATTAATGTAACATGAAATTGGTGGCAGTTTTTTAAAATCTGATGTAGCACCTTCCTAAAATCTACGCTGATTGACCTACTTCAAACTCTGGACGAAGAAAAACCCGGCCTCTCTGAGTTGCAACGGCGACTTGCTGGTATTTGTGTCAAGTTTGGTGCAGAAGCAAACCGGAAACCCAAGTTCAAAAGGCAGAAGAACCCCATTCTCAACCTTGACGCATTTTACTTACTCCCGGAAAAGTTACTACGAGCGTGCTTGGATGTCCTCCCTCTATCGAATACCGTCGCGGACCCTATTGTCCTCGATGAGGGCGACACCAACGAATGTCTGTCCACTAATGAGCCTCAGCGTACTACAACTGATGTAGTAGTCATTAAAAATGTTGGTGTGTTCTCTCGTCAACAAATTGAGATATTCCGAAAGATTGATAATATCAAGAAAGCTGCCGAGCAAGGAATGGCGCTGTACCTTTGGTTACGAGAGAAAGTCTTACCGTCCCTTCCGGCGACCTACCACGATACAGTTAACGAAGTTGCGGACCGAGTGATCAACACGTATCCGTACAGCAAGATCGACGGATTTGCTGAGGTCCCTGGGTACCAATTCGCTATGCTGTACCGTGCAGTACCACCGCAATACCTGAACGACGCGTATATCCACGCTCTGTGTGATCGGCTTTGTCATGATATCCCGTCTGCACGTTTTGCTGGATTTCAATCCGCAACGACAAGAGGCAAGCGCAAAATGAAACATCAGGTGATGTCGAGTGATATTCTCAAGCTTGTTGGAAATCAAGCAGCTGAGTTGGAGGTAAAAACCATCTTCGTCCCAATTAACTTCAGCAACGCTCACTGGTGCAGTATCGTTGTCGACACGCACTCCAAAACGATACATTGCTATGATCCTGTCAACCAGAAGGAGTTCACGTCGGTAGTTGAAGTTCTCGCGATGAGCTTAAAAACCAAGGTTTTGCCCGCATTTCGCATCGAAGTCGACAATGATCCACTTCAGTTTGATTTATTTAGTTGCGGAGTCTACGTTTGTTGGATGTTCATCAACCGAAGTCTCTCGAGAGCGTCTGAAGCCACGGACATGGCAGTGCTGACGAAACGACGCTTTGAACTGTTCTACTACGTGCTCACAGGACGGTTGATAAAAGACGAGCCTGCAAGCACGGTTGAGTAGGTGGGGAAAAGTAACCGTGAAGGAAATGACCCACGACCGTCCTCACGACTTGATAATACACTTTGCATGGTTTATTGCCTTTATAAGCCACTTATTTAGCTCCGACTTCATTTTTGGAGAAAACAATGCACGTTAAATCGCTGTCTCTCTCTACAAGTCGCTTCTGTAGACCCGTGGCGAGCATTAGGAGCTCTGGAATTGTTGACACGTCTGTCAATGATAACATCTCATTGACACTGGCTTCGTAAGTGCAGCTACATTCACGACTGCCTTCATGTCAATATTCAATAGTTATGCTGAAACGACCTGCATCATGGTTCGCGTGAATCTTCCCAATCTTTCATCGTCTCCGAAGTATCTTCCCCATGTGATCCTACTACTAGCAGATGTTTTAAAATCCTGGACGAATCCTGGACGGGAAACATACGGATCCTGATTGAAGCAGGATTATAATCCTGAACTCCAACACCCGCCAATTCCCATTGTAATAGGGCACCCCTGTCACATCCTAAGAATAGGTGATTGACCAATAGAACTGCAAGAATGTACGACTAGGATAATCCTTTGTCAAAGGGCACGCGTGGATAAACGTGCACCTTCTGGCTCTAAAGACTTTCCAGAATTCTTTCACAACTGAGATGCAACACCGGTAGCATCGACAAACCCACTTACATGTATAAACACCATCTAAAGCCAAAACTCGAAATAGAAAAGTGTCTGCTCAAGGCTTGTGCAGATATCACGGCACACAGAACAGTGAAACTATCGCAAACGGTGAAGAAACCATTCCTATTATTATTAATAGTGATGGCGAGAACGTAAGAAGTCAATACGGGTCGAATAATACTATATTCCAGGGTCCACCGTGGATCCAGATTAAAAAGGTAGGGTTGGGCTGCTATTTTTTACTGCATTGTGCAGATTCATTTGCAAATCTTTGAAATCGATATCTTCTTTCGCAGGATTGAGACCTGCTAAGATTTGCGCCCCAGCTCTACACTTGTTTTTCAAATCCTTGATCTGTTTTTCGTCTCGCTGTAATGGGGGTGCCCTATTACAAAGGAAATTCGGTAGTGTTAACCGAAATGGAATGGGAGCCAAAATTTACAATTAAATTAAAAAAACTAAACTCAAAATTTTGGCTTGTACACCAAAGTGGATTGAGTCCACAGCTAAGTCCCGTAGAATAAATATCACGAGTGACCCAGCTAGCGTCAAACTTTTCATCACTGACCGTTTAGGGGAACATATGTTTAAAATACTAGCTTATACTATCCCCTGCTACGCGCTACGCGCAATCTCCTAAACCCTAAAGGCTCGCTACGCTCGCTCGGACAGAACCCTAAAAAGCCCGCTCCGGCTCGCATGCGTCGCCTCCGCTTGCTAGGAGGGCAATGCTGGGTCCTGGGTTTGCATCCGCGTGCTTCGCGCACGGACTGCCAAACCGCAGGCTGGCTCGCTGCGCTCGCTTCATGAAAGTCACAGTAGCAAAGGCTCATCAGAAAACATATGTTCCCCTTAACGGTCAGTGATGAAAAGTTTGACGCTAATTAGGTCACTCGTGATATTTATTCAAGTCCCGTACTCCATGGGCTCGCCGCGGATGCCGGCCGCCACGGACAGCGCACAGTGGCGAGCCATTTTATTGACCAGACGGTGATCCATACATGACATCGCATGCTCGACTGCCTTCTCGAGTAGCTGCATTCGCAGCTCGGTCTTCTGACCGTAGGGAACATTCATCATCTCCTCGTGGCTGAGCGAACGGTAAGCTTTGATGCGTGCTTTCAAGGCGCTGAAGCAGCCTGCCAATTGTAGGTAAACACAGCTTGTTAGAGCACACAGAGAGTAAGATGTAGCGTAAGCTCACGTACCTTCGATGGGATTGAACATTGGCGAATAGGGGCCCAGCCGAAGCAGCACCAGATCACATCGATCGCGGACGAGATTCTCGGTCTGATTGTGGGCAGGTGCGTTGTCTAAGATCACCACGAAATTTTTTCCCACGAAGTGCTCCTTGTACATGTGGCATCGTGCTGCTTGACAGCGTCATAGATGGAGTCCACAAAGTCTGCATTAACATCCATCTTGATGCTCCCACGCCTCTTCTCGTAATGAACTAGCCCAACCTCAGGCGAGACAGCACACTGAAGCTGCAGGTTAGCGCCTTTTGACGGCGGAAGCTTCACCACAGCACGCTCTCCGATTGGCGCCCGCCCCTGGGACCGTTTACAATAAAGATTGTAATTGGTCTCATCGTAGTACACAATAAAAGCCCCCTCCCGCTCGTGTTTTAGAAGCGCTTCTCCAAACACTCTACGCTTCTCAATGTTCTCTGCGTTATTGCGGTTCGACTCTAACCTACATACCGTAAAGTAGCATACATGTGTACATACATGTTAGTACGGGCCATCCCATTTGCAGTAGCATCATGCGTAGCATATCATGCAGGAGATGGTGTATGTGCAGTACTTAGTACTGATGGACCATCCACGACTTACAGCAATTCGTACTTGAGTACGATTTATAGATAAATCGTGCTCGATAAGTCGTATGAATTACAGTTCAAAGAACCAAAAAGTCTGCAAAGCACAATAAAAACAGTGCCTAGATTAGATACATAGGGATGACACACCGTCTTTTTCTTACTTTTTGTATAGAGAAAACCGCGCATTTTTTTCAAATCGCCAAATTATGGATGAGTGATCAGTGATCAGTGATCAAGTTTACGGTAAAAACTCAGAAGTTTGCCAACAATTTATATAGGGCAAGAACTTTCTACGGGTTTTACAATGAGCTCCCAGCTTACGGTACATCAACCACCCCTTGCGTCATGCAACAGGAGATCCAAAATGTGAGGGACGGCTCGATACTTAAAAACGTTGCAAAATAGGTTCGAATTTTCAAACCAAAGTTTGTTTCGTTATTCTAAAAAACCTCGAGCGGAACGTACCCTATATCCAATCTTTACCTTATCGTCATTCGTACCGTGTAGATCAATTGCATATTTTCATGCATTCTTCTGAATACAGTAGTAGGCATCAATAAAGAATACCCGACTTGCATACAATTTCCAAGATAAATTAATCATCAAATTATTTGTATTAGTTCGTAAAAAGAACCCAGAGCAAACGCAAATAGAGTTGAAAGAAGTTATAAGTTCTGCAGTCTTCTTTATTGAGGCACACCACGCTACTATTCAATTCACTTTAAACACTTGTTTAATAATGGAAACGCATCGTTGGAGCACAAGATAGAGGCTCAACGGCAACCAAACTGTTGAAACAGACACTGTTATAAAATATGTTAAAAAACTAACAACGACTTAGCTGTGAAGTCGAATATAAACGCTAGAATTAGTTTAACGCACTTGCGACTGGTCGACCACCACTTCCGCACACGGCAAAAGAGCTTCAGGCAGAGCGCCACGATGGACGGGTGACCACCAGTTCTGTCAGCGCGGGTCGCTATGCGGGAACGAGGAAATGCGCCGTTACGTGCACCCCAAGTCTACGACCTGCGTTTGACCTGGCGGAAATGCACGAAGTAAGTTTGAAGGCTGTACGATACCGCGTCTCCTGACGCGACATTACTCCTGACGCGAAATTACTCCTGAGAAGATCGGCACTATTTGCACGAGTATAGCGGTAGCGAGTAAAGTACCCGGGCATCGCAATAGCAGCTCGAGTACTGACGGCTTCAACACTCTACAACCGCGCGTCCAGCTGCTGGAATGGGGATGATCAGCTTGCAGCTGCGTAAGCTCCTTTTCGGACACAGCGTCGTCGTCAAGTATCGAAGCCTCCCAAGTTGCTGACGAGCGGCCAGCGGGCCAAGCTGCCCGTCCAGGTGCAGCTGCCACGCACGTTTTGGCTACGCGCGGCCGACTCAAGCAACGGAGTGGACGCCACCGCTGCCAGCAGAAGAAGTCAGGCGATATTCTTGATGTATATAGGATATCAAACCAAGCAGATCTGCGGTATTTGGTCGATGAAGACGACTCGAGTAAAGATGACTTGGAGATATCATGTACAGAAGTGTACTATGGTGCCTTAAACACAAAACATACCGATCTGCCAATGTTCGAATTGTAATTCTAACATATATGTAGTGGGCAAAGTAGACCCACTACCATAACTTACACGTGTGCGAACGTGCACGAGGAAGCGTAACTTAGTTTTATCTAGAGTTAATGATATACTCGGGTCTCTGAGTATAGATTAATCCAATTCGAATAGTGTTTTTGGGTTAAATGATAACTTCTATTTATACTTTATGTTTTTGACTCTCCTAATTGTAATATTTTAAGATAGGAGTCTTTCAATGACTTAATCCCGCTAATATGCATGTCGCTCATTGGCTAAAAGATGCTGTTTTCAGCCAATATGAATCCTAAGTGTGTATGGACGACACGGTGTGGTGATCGTAAATGTATGTAGCCGTTTGTATATCTTACGGTTTGTTAGCGAAAACGGCAGCTTCGAGTTTGAGAGCACACCAAAGTCGAGGAAGTATGCAAACCTCTACCAGATTTCGTAACTGTTAGAGTTACTAGTGACTGTAGCCACTTGTGAGTCACTAGTAACTCTAACAGTTACGAAATCTGGTATGCGTAACACCCAATTGCGACTTTGTGCGCCACGTTGTGGCGCACCAGCCGCATGGTCATGAATTGCTCCTCCAGTGCATGAAAAGCTGATATTTTCGATCATTCCGACTTTTTTGCATTAATTTTATATATGCTACAATAGTAATCAAAAGAGTAGACGATATAAAGCTAAGTAGATGGGTTTATTTATCTTCTTATTGATACTTCGTATTGCAGTACGCTCAGCATTTAAATTATGCAATTTGGTAGAGTAGTCCAGCATGATTTTTACTTAGCATCGTCGATTTATTGTGGTGTAGTGCATTCTACGACCTGATTGTAATGTACCACAACGAAGTAGTGAAAATATTTTCAATGCTAATAATAATAGAATACATGTAGTTTCATCGCCCAACGTGTCACATAAGGTAATACTGAAGTTGTACCCCCTTGGTAGTCATTGACATCTCGGTGCCTCTCAATTAGCTATATGTCTCATGTTAACGTAATGAGATATGACAAACTAGAGGCGAAACTTTGGTCTGGGAGGACAGTAATACTTCCTTTGTGTGGCGATTGATAAACAACGGTAGGAGATTAATGTAACATGAAATTGGTGGCAGTTTTTTAAAATCTGATGTAGCACCTTCCTAAAAAAATGGCCAATTTACTGTACAAAACGCATGGAAGAACTTAAAGGTGCGCTCGGCCGGGGGCGAAGACCCCGGCCGAAATATAATTGGTCAGGCTGTTCAGCCAGCTAAAGCTGCTTTCCCAGTATAAAGCCAATCAAAAGTCTGGCATGGCCGCACAGACGAACAGAGAGACTTAGCAAATATATATATATATATATATTTAATCTGATTCATCTTATCGAGAGATGAAACTACTACAGACGAGGTAGAACTTTCAATTTTCAGCTAGGCTTCTAACGTGGCAAGATGCATCGACGCGGGGAAGGGGTGCCAACAATCTTTCCTCGGCGTAAACGACAGAAAATACCTGATCGAGAAGAACCTACACGTCTTCAAGCCATCGGAAACCAGTCGATGGTGTAGTAAAAAAGATCAGAGCGACTGGGATTCCTGGGACAGAAGCTACGGGGGCAAGGAATGGCAGCAGTCGTGCTAAGTCTAGTACAGCATTTATCCGATCGGGAAATAAGATCCATCCTTCCTATCACCGTTAGTCGAGTCACGCGTCTGCACAAAAATACAAAGTCTGGTGTTGAAAACGTTCACACCCGCCACCATGTTCCGAAGCATTGGTGCGCTTTTCATGATGTTGTATTGGGAGCATTTGAGGCTCATATCCCACTTTGATTTTGGAAGATGGATTTCTGTGTCCCTACCGCCGCCCCGACTATATTTTTTACGGAGCAGATCTAACGTGGTGAACAGTACACACTTGCTACAAAACGGGCTGATCCTGACACCCGCGTCATGAGTTACATGCGATTTACTTAGTACGCCTAACCTGGCATACGCTTGACCCGTAATTACGTGGATGAGTGCTATTGTTGCGTGAACATTATGTTGCAGCAGCCATAACTTACTGACGCTGAAAAAGACGTCATCACTCCAAGGAAGAGAATCCACATCAAGGAAGTTATAGTGCAGCGGCGTTGTGTGTCTGAATTTGTAAAGAAGTTTTCTGCTCTGCACGCTGCCACTTGAGATTATATGGGCGAGGCTTGGTAGTCGAGTGTTGGTTAGGAAGGAAATCCGAAAGTGAATTAGAATGAGTTAGGCCAAAATAACTATCATAGCCTAGTCTCCGATGCTTAAACAGGAATCGTACCAACGCACACCTCCTACTTCCAAGTATCAGATGCTGGGGATCCAAAAGTAAATGTTACAGATCGTATCCAGAAAGTCAACTTCAACTTGCCTTCTGTCAGCCAATCAGAAGTGCCAAATCTTGGGGCTCCGCCAATCAGATCCAAGTATTCCACCAAGTGTACCACAATTGCCTACAATCGGCAACAACTTCACAGCAAGCACGTGGCTTGATACGGAGACACACAACTAGACTGCGGAGTGTACAATCGCAACACCCCTTCTCAATTCGCAGTCTACCCGAGCATCACAGTGATGTTACTGTGCTCGAGTAGGTAGCGAAGAGCCTTCGTCGAGAGCCCCTTGGTCAGGAAATCAGCGATCTGTTTCTTGGACTTAATGTAGTCCAGTTCCACAACACCACTCGTGATGTTCTCGCGGATGAAGTGGTAGCGGATGTCGATGTGCTTGGTGCGAGCTTGGTAGCCGACATTCTTCGTCAACGCCATGACACCTTGGTTGTCCTCGTAGATCACCGTAGGTCCATCTTGTTCAGCACCCAAATCCTTGAGTAGTAGTCGCATCCACACCACTTCCTTCACACATTCGCTGAGTGCCATGTACTCCGCCTCAGTCGAGCTCAGCGCGACCGTCTTCTGAAAAGTCGAGCGCCAAACCACGGGGGCACCACACATCATCAGAATCATTCCGCTGACTGAGCGTCTGTCGTCGCGGTTACCACCCCAGTCGGCGTCCGAATACGCGACGAGCTCCGTGCCAAGCAATCCATCGTAGACGATTCCGAGATTCTTAGTCTTCAACAGGCACCGTACCACACGGATACCAGCATCCCAGTGCTTCTCACCGGGGTTCTCCAGAAAACGACTCAGCTTGGCCACTGCAGCTGAAATGTCCGGTCGAGTTCCACACGCCAGACACATCAGACTTCCCACGAGAGAGCGATACGGCTTCGACTTCATCTTGGCCTTGTCCTCCTCGATTTGGGGTTCGTCCGCCTTGGTCAACTTGACACTTGGGTCGAGTGGAGTCAGACACGGCTTCGCATTCTCCTGACCGAACTTCTTGATGATCGACTTGGTATACGCCCGCTGGCAGCGTCTTGGCCTCCATGTCATTGTCGATCTCGATGCCAAGGATGAATCGAGCGCGTTTGAGGTCCTTGATGCGAAACTTGTCCGCGATGCCTGCCTTCACCGAATCAATGATGGCCCGCTGGCGAGATGCAATCAGCATGTCATCGACGTAGAGACACACAATGCACCTCTCCTATAGACACACGGGTCAGTATCGGCAGCTTGAAATCCCATGCTCTTGAGATGCGCGTCGATCGGCCCGTTCCATACGCGAGACGCTTGCTTGAGTCCATACAAACTCTGCCGTAGCAGTCAGACGACGTCATCTTCACATTGAGCTTCAGCCAAATCCAGTAGTTCGCGAAGGCCTTCAGGCAGCACCAAGTAGATCTTCTCTTCGAGCTTTCCATACAAAAACCCAGTGTCGAAGTCACACTGGTCAATCTCCATTCCGTCGGCGCAGCACTTCGCGAGTTTCTCACGGATAGAGTTCAGGTACACCACCGGCGAGTAGGTCTCCTCGTAGTCGGTCCCAAGTCGCTGCGAGTACCCCTTGGCAATGAGACGAGCCTTGTACCGAACGACTCTCCCCGTCTCATCACGCTTCAACGCGAACACCCAGCGGCAGTCAATCGCGCGCTGGTGTTTGGGCTTGGGTACCAACTTCCATGTCTTGTTCGTCATCAGCGACTTGAGTTCACTTGCGATCGCTGCCTTCCATAGGGCACGATCCTCACTCGTAATCGCATCTTGGTACGACCTTGGTACCTCCTCCGTCGATGGCAAGCTGGTTGTCGTCCGACTTGGTGCGACCTTGGTCCACCTTCTGACGCTTCGTCCTGATCTCGGATGGCGCAACGACTTGCTTCTTGCGAGCTCCGGGTTCCTCAGGATCGTTGGTCTCTTCAATATGACGAGCACGCGACCGAGTAATCATCGGATGGGTAGTGTAAGGAACGATTGCTCCACCTGTCGTCACGTCATTCGGTGACATAGTCGGGACGACAACTTCAACTTCAGTCGAAACATCGTGAACAGGCACTAGTGCAGGTACTCGTTCCGAGCTTGGGTCCGTGGCAATCGGTTCTTCATCGTCGTCGATTTCCAGACGTGTCATCAGGTGGTCGGGTTCAGTCGTCTCCATGAACTTCACAGTGCGCACGATTTGCACCTTTCCCGTCGCCACGTTGAGAACGCGGTATCCCTTCACACCATCTTCGTACCCCAAGAACCGACACTTGAACGCCTTCGCACCCAGCTCCCGAAGCTTTTCATCGGCGATGTGGGCGTAGCCAAGTGCGCCAAACTCCTTCATGTTCCCTAGTTGCGGTTTGGTTCGATGCACGATCTCGTGGGGTGGCTTGATGGTCACCGAATTCGGGATCCGGTTCATGATCCAAGCCGCCGTGTTGACAGATTCTGCGCACCACGTCTAGTCGATTCCTTCATGGTAGAGCATGCAGCGCGCCATCTCCACCAAACTTCGCTTTATGCGCTCAGCCAGTCCATTCTGTTGAGGCGCGTACGGCATCGTCTTCTCATGTTTGATGCCGCTGCGGTCGAGGTAGGCCTTGAACAGCTTGCCCGTGTACTCGCCGCCATTGTCCGAACGCAGGCGCTTGATCGTCTTGCCCGTTGCGTTCTCCATTGCTGCCTTGAAGATCTTGATCTTCGAGAGCACCTCCGATTTCGCCTTCATGAAGTACATCTCGAGTAATCACCGATGAAGGCCACTGCGTATGTGCAGCCTCCAGGTGTCTTGGTTTGCATCGGACCCATGACGTCCGTGTGCACCAAGTCGAGTACACCTGCACTCTTGACCAAGTTGTCAGGGTGACGTGGGAAGTCGTCAGCGCGCATCTTTCTTATGCAACATCCAGCGCACACGTTATTCGTCGACACGTCACCTGCGATGCGCGGTACCCCATCGACCATGCTCAACACCTATTCATAGCGCTTGTATGGGATATGGCCAAGACGGGCGTGCACGACGGCCCATGGCTCCTTACGAGATGTCGTCGCCGCACGACACACCTCGTCCCCCACTGTCTTCAGCTTGTAGACATTTTCACAGCGCCTGACCTCCATCACCGTCACGCCACCAAAGCAAAAGACACACTTGTCCTTGCTGATTTGCGCGTCGACGTTCTTCTCGGCCTGCTTCGACACCGAAATGAGGCTCCCATCAACTTCCGGGATGTACAGAACATCCGACAATGTGACGGGTGTCCCGTCCATCAACTTCAATCCAACGGTGCCCTTTGCAACTGCGTCGATCTTGTGCCGTCCGCGGTCGTGATGCGGACCTGCGTCTTCAGCTCCGTCATGGACACGAACTTGTCCCGGACGCTGGCCATGTGCGAACTGGCACCGGAGTCCACAAGCCACTCCGACTTCGCCATTACAACCAGGGCTCGGAAAATACCATACTATATTGTATTTCCTGGACCAAGATCACAATAATAAATAACGCAATAGCAGCAAGAATAATAGATAATCATTGCAAAATACCCAATGTATTGCAAGACCTTACGTCGCTCTCCGCAAATGCGGAATCACTTACGAGGAGCCCCGCAGTTGGCGATAGGCATCGTTGACCGTGTTGACATCCCAGTAGCGCCTGTTCGTACGTAAAAACATCAGCATTTCAAAGTTCTCAGGCAACAACGACGCCCGCTGTGGCGTGATCACCAACTTGGCTTGAGAAAAGAGGCGCTCGTAGCGGTTGCTCGTAGGGGGCATTCTCTTCAGCAGTTCCGAGTACAGCGATAGCCCACCATGCGCTGCGCTCATCTTCTTAGCCTTCAGGACGGCGGTCGCGAAGTTCTTCTTCTTCTGCGCGTCGTCGTCTTCGTCCCTCTCCTTGCGCTTATCCCCAACGGCCGCTGGCGCTGTTGAGAACTCGAAATGACGAATGGCCTTGCGCTCATCGGCTGTCAACCGGCCTTCCCCATTAATAACCTGGATATTACAGGCAAATAACATGTTCGTTAGTAGCACATGATTATTACTGAAAATAATAACATACCTTCACAGCAGCCGTCTCGAAGCTGGGAGAGTGTACGATGCTTGCCGTGGGGCCGAGCTTTGGCTTCAGCAGCGGAAAGCGCTCAACAATAGAGTCGAAAAGCACACGCACATCTGCAAGTGACAGGTCGTCGGACTGGAGTGCAACGGTGACGCTGTCGAAAATCCGTAGGTCCTCGAGAAGGCTCTTGATACGTTCGTGCATTGCCGCCTTGGGGATGAGATCGAAGACAGCCTCTACTTGCTTGATATCGTCCCGGATACGAACATAGCGCGCCAACATCTTGAAGGTTGAGCCCCAACGGGTCACGTTCGGGCGCAGCGGCGACAGCTTCGTCTCGTCCTTCAACGCAGCGCGATTGTTGATGGTGCGCAACGCTTGCATCAGCGCGCTCACTGCGCTCACCTCGTCCGTGTAGTCCTCCAGGTACTTGTTCACCGCGAAGTTAAAGCGGTGAGATGCACAGCCAATCAGCGGGATGTCGCAGTTGCTCGGTTGGTGGCGCAATCGTCGCCAATCAAAACGCCAAGCTCTCCAGTGATTGGTTGTATTTCTCGAACACGCGCGTGATGAATGCGCAATGCGCTGGAGCCGTCAGATCGCCCTCTCCCATTGGTGCAATAGCAAGGAGCGGTTGCTCAAGTTTCCCGTTCTTGCAGAACACGCCAAATAGAGCAACATAGTGCTCGAAGTTGCACGTCCAACCGTCGTACATGGCGCCGCACACCCCTCGCATGTCGACACCGATCATGCCCTCGACAAGCGCCTTCGTAGTAGCCAGGTAGATCTTCAGGGTCTTCGAGCAGGTGGGATCTAGGGCAGACATCGCCCGGGTGATTGGGTCGTCGACCTCGCTGAGGGGCATGTTGCGGTCGACGACCCACGCCATCCAGCAGTACATGTTGGCTGCCGTCGGGTTGACAAAACCAAAGGCGGAGAGAGATCCAGCCTGGCTGAGCTGATGGGCTACGAAGTCCTCGACGTAGTTGGGGGGCTTGTCCTTGAGATGGCTGAGCAGGTTGGCGTAGCCACTTGAGGGAAGCTGCTTGCGGCGCGTGCCGCAGTAGTTGCAGGCGTAGTAGTGGTCAGTTGTCGCCGCGTAGAAGAAGCGACAGAGGTCGCGGTTCGTGGTCGAAGTCATAGCGTGGAAAACGGTGGAGGCCCAAGCAGGGCGAATAGGAAATGAGAGAGTGAGTGCGCGAAGCACAGCTTGGTTGTACGGTGGAGAAAGCTTGCTGTTGCCTCTCCAGAGCCACTCAAGTTGTCGTTTTGACCGGTCCGCGTGGACCGAACCGACAAATATAATATTACAGATATATCGGTGTCGATATCAATAATATGGCTTCTTCAAATATTACAATACTTAATAATTCCGTACAAAAAATAGCAGTACTATTGATATGAAATAATTTTTTTCCTAGCGCTGATTACACCCGTAGCCGTGAACGCGAAGTCCGACGCCTCCTGCACGACTTGTCCACGCCCCTCATAGGTCTTCTTCTTGCGGCACTATTATTCCTTGTGCCCGAGCTTCTTGCAGTCGAAGCACTTCCCGGAGAACCCGCGCTTGCGGAACTCCTTCTTCGTTGCAAATGCCTTCTCCCGAGCCGATGTCGAATCCTCCGAGACTTCAATACCAGACAGAGCTTGGATCGCGTAAGCCAACGTCATGTTCGGCGTGCTCTCGAGTACGGTACTGATCATCCGGTACTCTTCCGCCAAACTGCCCAGCAGCAGCACGAGTTGGCGAGTCTCGTCCAGAGCTTCACCAATCGTCTCCATTTGCAGCACCAGCTCCTTGAACCTGTCCACATGTGCCGCGAAACGCGCCCCGGGCTCCATCCTGAAGTTTGTAAAAACGCAAGCTCAGTTCAGCTGCGCTACGATGAAAGACGACACAAAAGTATCGACCAAATCAAAGCAGTAGATAAGTTGCAAATCACAATCGTGCGACGAAAACAAACGATTATTTATATTTCAACTAATTCATCAGGAACCGGTGGGCCTTCCGGGACACTCCATTTTTTAAGCGGTGGCGATAGGTTTCGAGTGGGTTGTGAGTTGCAGCGTATCCCCGCGGTGTGCGAAATGTCTCTAATTTTGCAAATCTGCCAAATCTGTCAGTTTCCACAATACCGATCCTCGACGACCCTTGAGTGCTTCAAACTAGCCGAAAGAAAACGGCGTAGCCGCGGATCACTATACTATGGCTACATTCGGCGTGCGCAATATCTCTGTGACTTTTTGCATTATAGTATAACCTCAGATTATATATGCCTGTATGTTTAGGATCGACACCCACTACGACCAAATAATTCTATCTGGAGTAATTGGGCCGGCTTTACAGGGGTACGCATGGAATCCAGCTGTCTAGAACCAACGAATCCTCGTTTTAGGCAGCAGGTCCCCGTCTAGAACTGAGGACCCCTCGGTTATCGTGCTATCCTCAGCGAAGAAAAGCAGATGAGGCATAAAAAACCGTTACTATAATACCTTGGAAAAGCTGAATCCGCTACACGAAGGTTCTATGGCTACGGTAAATAGCTGTCGCATCCGAACCAAACTCCACGCGACACATGCAAAGCGTAATTGGACGGAAAATCCCTGCATCGGGGACTAAAGGTCAATAAGTGTTTTGGCGTGCTTCTATTCGCACTTCTTTTTAATGCTGGGGTTTATCGCAACGTTCACTCACCACACTCGCGCTCAGCGTTCGTGGTGTCATCCTAAAGACACTCCACTTCAGTACGAGCTTGGACGCTTCGTTCATGTACCTCTTTAAGCTTGCGGTCATGTTTTCCCTCTGTTGACCCACTGCGCGGTCGCTTTCTGCTCTTTCTTGGGCTACGTCACGGTCGCATCGCTCCCGCTCTGTCTGGGATGCCTTGTTATTCCTCTGCAGCTAGGGCGCCAATAAGATATGTGATTGGCGACGTGCTGACCGTTAGGGACAAGATGTAGTAACTGCAAACGCCACGCTGTGTTCTACTGCAGGTTCAATGCAAAAGAAAAACCACCGCAACGAGATTATGGTGCTTGGGAGGCACACTATCGGTATAAACGCGACAGCCGGAAACTTTCACCACTTCTCCTGAACCATAAGAGACCGTGCCAAACGAAATGATCATTTTCATCTATGATTTGCTTTGAGAAAAACGGCTTTGAAGACTGGCCAACCAAACCGAACTTACTGGCACTTTCCCACAGAGTAAAGGTACACCTGTTAGTACAGCAGTATACACGCATATTGACCACCAAAAGACAGAAAAAAGAGCCGCAGCTGCATCCATACTTTTATTACTCTGGTGCACACTAAGGAAAACATTACAGGCCAGCCAGAGCCACTCCAAGAGGCACCGCCAGGTAGCAGCAGAACCAACGCCAGCGGCGCCAACAGGGCGCAGACCGCCAACCCCAGCAGCACCTGCAGCGGTGCCACGACGACGAGGGAGCAGGACTAGATACTTGCAGCGGCGCCGGCGCCAGCGGTCCTCCGTGACGAAGAAGACGTAGGCCAGAACGACCAGCACCAGCACCAGCGCTCGGTGAGCTCCGTGGGACCCTTCGCAATGGACCCACTCATGAAGAGGTTGAAGACGTTGGTTGGCGAGGAAGAATACTGTGGAAATAATGTAGACATTGCTGCATGTTTGCAAAAGCTAGGACGTACTCGCGATCTCTACATTGAATCTACATTTTCTTTTGCCGATGCTGTCAATACCAACGCTGCTGTCCTTGTGTACGTTGGAGCAAGCAATGAAGCCGCTGGGTACCGCAAGGTCGGGCGTCTACCATTGACGTCTGCTCACGTCCGTGCCTAGCTCAAACTCGCATCACGTTCGAGGATTGCGACGTACATCGAGGATAGAGCGCAAGCCTTCTACGATGTGGGTGTGGAGGGCCCACTGGATCAGTGCGTGCAAACGATTCCAGGCTATCATTCAAGACTGGACGTTGGCGATGCGCTTGCGCACGTGTTTCCCCACGAGATGTGGTTGCAGGTTGGCAGCAGGGAAACGCCCATGCTTGCCGATCACGGGAGGACGGTGGCTTACCTTCCTCCCTGCCAGAAAAGCGCTTTTAAAATATGGATGTTCTTCAGGACATTGGAAGACGCTCGTGCGGTGTGAGTACGCAACACGAAGAACTCGCTAAATTGAATACTAGCATGCCCATCAAGCTTTGTCGTCATCCAGCATCCTGAGGACGTAGTTTTCGTGAACCACTTGGTTTACCATGAGGTAACGCGAGGTTACCAAAAGGGAACTCCGACGAAAAATCGGTGGGATGCTGTTGGGGGAAACGTCGTCATCCTGCACCAAGATCTAGTGTTCGCTCATCGCTACGCTACGCGGGCTGCGGCAGCAGTCATAAAGGGGTCGAGGGATGTATGGTAGCGTGTTTTACCGGCATTTTGCGCGATGGAAGGTAGAAGGTGGAGTTATAGCAGCTTCGAGGAGGAGAAGAAACATTTTCTGCGTCAACTAGAGAAGGATCCCGTGTTTGCTGCTAGACGTAAAGCTTTCAACGCCCGTAAAGAGAAGGAAGAAATCGTAAGCGCAAACGCAAAACAGAATAAAGTTTTTTTTCTTTCAAAAGAGCTAATGTAGCGGTAACTATTGCGTTTGAGCTTGCGTAACGTGCGTTATCATATTTCTCTAGCACATCTTGTGTGAATGGTGTTGAAGGTTATAGTTTCGATTTTAGTAAGACTTCGGTGGATTATGCAGCTAGATCAAGGCAAGAGGGTTACGCAGTTATCACGTCGTATAGACATTGGCAAGTAGAACACAATGCAGCCTTACTTCAATGCAAAAGTTGCAAAATGAAGGCTAGCGATCAAAACGCGTACCGGATTTTCAATGGTAAGTACAATTATAAAATATGTCGTACGTCTCGGTCTTAAAATTTGTACCAGGTTTACACCGACAATGTTTATCATGACGTCTAACTATTAGCGTGTTATACGTGTTCCAATGAAGAAATGCATTCATATTGAAAATTTATGAGGCAGGGATCAAAATTCAGCAACGACTGGGGGATGATTTGTCGATATTGGTGATAGTAGCAGGTAAAGAGATTTCAAGTTTGTTAAGTGTGTATTAGGCTATATCGTTGTCTTACACGATAAGCGTTCTAGTCTACAAGTATGGACGGGCACAGCTGAAGGTGCAATATCTCTAAATATGGCGAATAGGTGTTGCGACGGAGCCACACATACTAATTTGAACTACGCACGTACCGTATAATACTTCTTCCATCCGACAAGGTCTTATATCTGACGATCATTATTGATCAATCACTTAGCACCATATTTTTGAAAATATCGATATGGAGTGGTTTGATTGGCTATAAACAAGAGTAACCCTGTGTAACCACTGAAGATTGGGTGTCGGATGGAAGAAGTATTATACGGTACACAAACAAACTACAAGATCCATGGGAAGCTTATTTTGAGTACTTAGACTGTGGTAAAAACGAACAAGTTCAAAGTTCCTTCATACGATTTCCGTGTAAAACTACGGCAACGAGGATAGTTGTAGAGATATTGCGGCCGATGGCTACCTCGCATGATGCCATCATGCAAAATACATAGTTTGAGGCCTGAGAGCCATATGACGAACAATAGCGATTGAAATTTACTACACAGACGAGTAAGAAATGTAATAGCCTTTCATCGGCTTGCTATTTAGATGGTTCCATATAGCTTGGAGCGACTTAAAAAAATTCTAAACAAGTAAACATGCATGTGTATTTATCGCGGACTAGCGTCCGTTCCTAGAAACAACCGTAGTACTGAGTGTGCAGCGCATGAGACGCAAGCGGTGGGCGTCATCGTGGGAGGTGGAAGGGAACGCGCTCTTCAGGGGGTGGATTCGTCTCATGCAACAACGAGGTTAAACCATTTTGCTGAATGTGTGCCGGCGGCGATATTGGAATGGCATCTGAAGGAACAGACAGTGCTAAACCGTCAAAGTCAGTGTTCTGCGGAGGCAGTCCGGTCACGCTAATCTGGACACCGGTTATTGATCGAAGGTGAAGGTCCCGGCCCCAATGTGGTTGCTGGCATCCCAAACACTCGCGCTCGTCAAGGGTGAGCAATCCACATTATAGACATCGGCCACATGATTGTGTAGAAACTCCTGAACGATTGAACTGACAAGTCCATTCTGCTCCAATAGACTAGAATCGATCACCGAATCTGTGCTGGGACCCACCGACTCGAATGGAGCCAAGGGCGCGATCCGTAGCAGGGGCGGAACCCTGGCTTTGGGTCACGTTGACCGGTACGGCGAATCCGTCGGTTCTTGAACTTAAGGTGCTGACCCCCAACGCCTGGAACACTTCAACCGAACGCGACACGGCCGCAGATCACGTGGGAACACGTTAAAAAATTGTGAAGTAGGGGCACATACACTCGAACGTGTTAATTCGCACTACCCATCCACCCGGCGGTATACCCGGCCCGTCGGACAGACCACTTTACAGCGGAGCGGTAAAACGTGGCCGCCGACCTTTTCTCAGCGTCCGTCGAGCAGCCTTCTGAGAGCATCATACCACTGGTCTGAGTTGCAGGCGTCCGTGAATCCCCAATGCCCGTAACTTCTTCAATATTGTCATCGCCGATTATTCCATCGCCTAGGTACTGCACTCGTACGATAGACGGCTCACCCGTATTGAAAACAGCAACACGGTTCGATGACATGAGGACATTCGCAATCTTTTTAGCCTCTTGAGGTGGGGGTGGGCGCGCGGACGTAGTACTAGACTGAACACAGATTGAGGTGCCTTCCGCGATAGTGAGAAGTTTAAGTATAAGGCGCCCCGTATCCACAGCCTTGCGGAGCGTGAAACGCTTGATACTTGCGTTGAAAACTTCACATGGATTGTTCGTCGTTGCGAATCCACCAGGAGGATGTAAGATCTGCCATCGCCAAAATCTGCTACTAAGCCACTGAGAATCGAAATACTCAATAAAACTCCACAGCCGATTGTCACCTTTCCAATCACTAGACACGCAAGCCCACACCGTCATTAACTTGCTCTGGCTAGTTGTGTAGTGCATGCCAAGAATACCACGGTAAACTACTCCACGAACGGTATCAAGTAGATGCCGGATGCGCTTCCGCACGTTGTAAAGCACGTGAAAAAAAACACATCAAATAGGTGGTGTCTTCAAACCCCGTAATAGTTGGAAGCGCATTGAGCTGGGTGGCCTCTGCGTCCCCCATGACCGCGCCAATTCTGAGTCTCGTTTTCATGTGCATCTGAAAAACCTTGGAGATAGTTGCGATCGCCTCGTAGTACTCGCTCTGTGTTATTTGACTTACAATGAATAAAGAGGCGAGTCGGTAAATGCGATGCGTGGCATTGAAGCCACAGGTAATGACAGGGTAGCCAAAGTCGCTCAGCTTGTAGGTAGCGTCCAAATGGAAAATCAGAAACTGTTCTCGAAGTTTCTTTTTTTTCATAAGCTTTAGTATCGTAATTTCCAAAATCAAAGGTTCGTCATCTTCTCCATTGCCCACAAAAGGGAATCCATCTTGATCTTTATGATTTCCAAAAACGAAAGCTGTGTCGGGATCTATATCTGACACGAACGCCTTTGACCGTACCAGCTCCGTAGTGCGAACAATCGAGTTTTTCGTTCCTTGTAGTCATCGTATATGCTTCACACTGCGCTGAACGTGGGTGTAGGACGGGTATCCTAGAACTGGCTTAGGCACGTCGGGTGCGCGCAGTAAGTCGCTCCAGATGAGCCGAGGAGGTACAGCGTTTTCGTCCATGCGATGAATGTATTCTTTCATCTCCTCCGTAACCTTAGGCCTAGGTGGTACCGCGCTTTCCATCTCTCCACGAGTTGCTCCATTGCTCAGAATGTTCCCATTGACGCTACGGGGCAATGACGAACTTTCCAGCTTGTCGGGTACTTCACCGCCCCCGTACTGCTCTCACAGGTTTCGCTACGGCAGCGCAGTCGGCGCTCCACCATATCGTGTTGCCCAGAGCAGATGATGCACGGGCGATCGCTTGTGGCACACACAGCCGAACAGCAAAAAGCTTCCAAGCGAAGTTTCACGTATTCATCCTCATTACAACACTCACTTAGTTTTGTCCAGTCTAGCGGTGGGGGCATCGCACTTGGGTAGGCGGAAACGCCGGGTAGCTTGAGAGGCCACCTGGTGCTTGGTGTCGCCCGAAAGTGTCCGCTGAAACGATGGATGGAGCAGACAGGCAGCAGTGGCTATGGTATGACGCGCCTGCATCACTCGGAATGCGAGAACGGCCGTTATGTCTACTAGCCACCAGTAATCTGTACAATGATGTACCATGCGGTGAGGTTTTGGATAATGTTGTCGATTTGTGTATGCTGCTGATTTGTTCGTGTCTATTGATGTACCTTTATCTGTACATACGCGACCGAGACTCTTTCCCACAAAATAAGTTTTTCTCACCGCCCAATTTTTAGGCAAGTGTATAGGTCGGGTTCGACCCAAACAAATAGCAATGGGCAGTATGGACAGTGTTCGCTGCACCAACGGAGAGCTCGGGACGCCGCCCCCAGTGACAGGTGGCTGTACCAGAGCGGGCTGTGGCACGATGCAAACCTTCCGCCGCGACCAAGGCTACATATACGATAGACTGGAGGCTTGTGAGGATTCTCTTTGCCGCGACAAGACTCCAAACGCCGGATCGGTCGCCGCGCGAAAATGGGTTCAGTTTGGACCCAAATTTGTTTGCATTAATTGGAAATGATCCTTCGGGACAATGGTCAAAATGATATTTTTGGGTCAACAGCGAGCAAAATATACCCCATGATTTGAAGAACCTGAAGTTTTAACTTTATCTTTTAGTGCAGAAGGAGGCCGAATTGGAGCATCCGAGCACTCTGAATCGACACAGCTGCTAAAACTGCCTCTAAGAAATCCATTTCTGACCAAGATATTTTTTTCAAGCGTCCACCACTCGGGGGAAACTGAAGGCCCATGGATGCTGAACATATCCGGAGAAAAAGGAGACGCGCGGCTTTTCCGTGGTGTGTTCAGCTCCGAAAACGAACTTCGGTTCGTAAGCATACTTTCGCTTGACGCGGCCTCATATATTCCTTGTCGGGGCGCCGAACGCATCATCTACACAGTAATAGCTTAGCTGCACACTTCGTGGCTGCCCACGACTAACTCCTGAGGCCAGTAGCAGCAGCATTCGAACATCTTGTAGTTGCGGCTAGTAGATGGCATTAAATATTATTAGTAATACCTTGATTTCAGGGTTGCTCCAAATCCAGTTTTTTTTTTTTTTTTTTTGGGGGGGGGGGGGGTTCAAAGTTCTCATTGAGTCTGCAACGGTTAAATATATCACGTGGTGGTCAGCGCGGTTTACCAGTTGAACGACACGCCAGACAGGGGCTTGGATAATATTGCTACTAATGTCAGTAGACGAGAACGAAGCTATAGCGCTGGGACGAGGTTGAGAGAAAATAATGAACTGACACCAGCATTCACTTTGAGAATTCTGACCGCAATACCACGTAGATGGTTCTGTGATGAATGCATTAGGTTGTGGCCCCGTAGGTGAGCATGGAAGGAAGCGCAATGGACTGTCCTTTTTCCGTTCCGTAACTCGTGTGGGCGATTTAATTCTTCTTTTGAGCATGCTACTTCGGGGACCACCTGGTCATATCAACCGGCACAAGGTCCGACGAGGCTTTCCTCGCCTAGATGACAGGAAATCATGCGTAGTATAAGGACCCGAGCAGCAAACACAATTCAGCCTCTACAAGGAGCGGAAACTACCCTGTCATCGCCGCAAGAGGCGCAACAGTAAATAGAAGAGGGAGAGGCTTAACCTCACGGACTTAGCGAGTTCACATGGTAAAGCTTCGTGGTCTCCGCGGTCATGAAGTTCTCAACGATAACCAGGCTCCAGTGATTGCGTCCAGACACAGGCAGAAGTACATAGCGTTAGGTACTCCAGTCGAACTGCTCTGCCAACTCTTCGAACAACCGCAGTTTCAGGCGTGGGTTTTGGGTGTACCTTGCAATTTCCATCAGTCCGTAGAGCTCAAACCCACAGCAGCAAACCACGCCTTGCTCTCTCGCCATGAACCGGTAAATGAAATAGTCCAAAGCCGTTTGCGTCAACGGACGCTCTGGTAACAGACTGTCCAAATCGTCCGGGTATACATGAACGACGCGCTCTGCTTGGGGGTCTTTCCACACGACCAGCGGGGTAATTTTTGACGACCGCGGTCTGAAAAACTTGTTCGGGGCGGCACGCTTGGTTTCATGCTAAGGCTGGCTTAGCACGACAAATTCGGCATCATCGTCGCTTGTCGCCCCTCCCGCATTCTCCTCCTCGCTGTTCGCGCTATCAGGTTCATGGCCTTTGCTGCTCGGTTTGCTGTCCGACTCGCTGCCCGACGCACTGCTCACGCTGTCAACGTTGTCGCCGTCGCTGCTGGCATCACCAGATCTCTCACCGCGCCTGTGGTGCTCCGATTGACATCGCTCTGACTGGTAGCGTTCTTGCCGTTGGTGCTTGCAGCATCCTCACTGCCTCCTTTGCTGCAGGACCTAGAACCAGCATTTCCACCTGAGTTACTTGCACTTCTAGCAGTAGTCCCGTCGCACGTTATCACTGAGTTGGCACTAGCCCGGTCGTCCCCCGTGTCGACAGCTGCACTAATACTTGCCACGCGCTTCTTCTTTAGCGTTGGCCTGTGGTTTTCTTGCAAGCGTTTTCTTTGTGGTTGACGAAGACAACCAGCGGGAGTTTGATCGCCAGTTGACGGTGGTATGTCCACAGCTACAACACCCTCTCCGGTTGCAATTTCTGTGTTCTGATCAAGCGAAGGCCGTTGAGCAGTGGTGGGTTCGGCGGGCAAAAAAAACCCTCAGGGGCCCTGGTCGATTGTCGTACTCCATCAACGTGGCGAGATCGTGCTGGGCCCAACCAGTGCAAATGGCTCAAACTTCTTGAACTGACGGCGCTGTAGTTGTCTCGATGGTGGTACATAGCTTCAAAATCGGGGTCGGATCGAATAGCTCTGCGAACATAGTCACAAAGCGTGGTGTCTGCGGAGGTGACGCTGGCGAGCGTTTCTTGCACGGCGCTCGAGGCCTCAGCATCGTGTACAACGCCATCTGCGTTGAAGCTGCTCTTAGATGTTGTGCGGTATACCTCGCAATTACTTCAACTCGCCCTCGCTCGACGGTAGGCATGCTGACAGCTATCTGAGCCCCCATGCACTCCACAACTGCGGCCGAGCGTGCCACAACTCCGTCAAAGTCGCCTTGTCGGATTGCATACCCAAGGGAAGTGATCTCGGCGGTGAATGCAGCACGCAGCAAGTCCGCTTGAAACTCGTCAAATTCGCGGAGTCGCGATCGAGTTTGCTGGTCGAAATGTAACACTGCACGTGTCGGAAGTGCCGTCTCCGTCGTTACTTCTTCGTGCACTTCCTCCGGGGTGGTTACATCTGCTGGAACCATTCTTGGATACCGAGTCCGGCCTTGACGACCATCGGCTATCCCCGTCGGGTTTCCGGCCAGCAAGAAGCCTGTGTCCGGATTGTCGAGCATGTACTTCCTCCGGGTATCAGGGCGCTCGCCTAGCCAGCAGTTTCACAACGCCCTACCAGCACGAGATCGTAACCAGTTATATGCGGCTTTGTTGACCCCGGGATCGTCTTGAGCAGCTTGTTCGCGTGCAAAGCGTGCGGCGCTGGAAGAGGCGACGTCTCCTCCATGGTCACTAGCGTAGACCCAAAACCCTCTGTGGCACCTCATCCGGAGCGCGATGGCTTTATGGTTTCCAGCAGACGGATAATTTGGCACTGAGCTCGGTCGATTCCCCGCGTCTGGTCATGGCGCGTGCCCCAACCATCCCTATTTTGCTATCGCAATGTCACAACGCACCATGTGCCGCGATGACACGCTTGCGTAGCTACCGCAAAGCATTGTTGCACTATCTACCACAGCGGTACAGTTCCTACCACAAAGGTACACTGCGGCTGTTACCGCAAAACTTCTCTGCGGTACGTACCACAAAAGCTCACTGCGGTACCGCAGATCGTCACTGAGGTACCGCACATTGACACTGAGGTACCGGACATTGACACCGCAGTAAGTTGCGATACAATCCTTTTCGTAATTTATACATTCCTCTCACCGGTTTATCCGACATTTTGTACGCTGCCACTACCAACCAACTATAAACCTAGTTCATGCGCAACCTGATCTACATGTTGAGATAACCAGTTCAGCGACTTGTGACGGGTTGTACGAATCACTTCAACGTCGGCGAGAGCTTGATCAATAGCATCGCTACCGTGTATCCCATTCTTCTCGCGATGTACAGCAGCCTTTTTCATTACCAGACCAATCACCTTGCGTCGTCGATCGAAGAAACGCCTTTCATGGCTATCACACCATTTCGTGCCAAACTTTTCTTCAAGGTGTTTAACCGCGTAACCACCTGGAAGTCCGTACGACCACTCGTTCCACAACTCGCGGACCGTTTGAATACCACGGCTAAGCTTGTAGCTTACAACGTCTGAGGAGCTGTCTGCCTCGGCGACGGTCTCGCTGCTTGATGGTATATCAGCGGCTGGCTTCTCCGGCTGGCCTCCACCAACAATTTTAACTTGGAGAAGCGCCGATCCATTGCTCCGTGGAGAAAGTATTATGACGAAATCAGCAAGAGTCCTTGAACACCTTCCACACTTGTTTGAATGCCGTTTACTGATGCTTTGAGTTCCTGGTGAACACCATCAAGCTTTGCTTTTACCGCGGGCATTGCTTTTTCCAGTTTTCGCTCGCTTGGATCATCAACGGAACTCATAGCAGCCTTTACATCTCTCTTGAATCTCTGAAACGATTCACTGTTGAAAATCTCATGATTCCATACTGGATGCCCCGGCATTTGATCAGTCAAAATAACCGCATCACAACCCGAAGGTATTGCAATAGTTCGAGAAATCCATCACCAGCGATAGACTGTTCACACTCCCCGGGATACCATTGTTCTGACTTCGAATAATCGGGAAAACACTCCAAATCGACATGCCATCACCAGAAAAATAGAACCCAAGTAGGCCGAGAGGGCATATATGACATTCATGTTCCTCATACATGCGCCTACTTCGATCCGCCCCACTTGGTTCGTTTTGCCTTGCCTCATAACCATCACCAAGGCTCGACACGCCGAATAGCCTTCATTTTCGAGTGGAATTGAGTGAAGATCCGCTAATTCCATACGACGGGCCGATTCACCACGCATATGCGCAAAAAGGGACAGCAAAAATACCAGCAAATCTCTTAAACTTGTTCCAGAATCTCTCTGTGATGTCCAATAAAAGCGAGCAATTTTCTGGATCTGCTCAGTGGTCGTATAGCCGTCCAGCATCGTATCCGCACCGCGATCGGCGAAGTTTTTTCGGCGCCGGTCATCCTCTTCATACTCCGTACTTTTTAGAAGCGAAGTGACAGCATCATCCCGTGGAGAAGGGTAGTTATTAATCTTCAAGCGTTTTTGCTGCCGCCACAAGTCTACCATAGCAGCAACGTAGCTGTTAACGGAAGACTTGGCGATTTTTTCGCATCTCCCGTCGCGGTCTTTGCGACGCTTTTCTCGCCCAATGACGCACTCTTCGAGAAAAAGATGAACCTTGGGTCCAGTGACCGTGTGTCGAGTGAGGTCGTTGAAAGCCGCGCCTTTGTTGTCACACCATTGCTTGAACTCGTGTTGCTTGTTCGTGTACGCCCGGGTAGTGTTCTGCGGGTGAATATTCGAGTACGTACGAAGCACCGATTCCTCTCATTCGCGTTTCGTCTGCCATACTGTCTGCAGTGGTGCTCTCGTGCGATGCTAGTGCGGCCTGGTTTCTTAATTCTCCATTGCTCCCGAGGAACGGTTGTCTTCAGTTCACCACATACCACCCACATTTATCGTATTTTATCCAATAAGAGCGCAGAAGACACATCGGCAAATAATTTCGTTATTTGACGGATTACAGGGCAGATAAACGTGATTATGTACCCTCTATAGCGTGTTCTGTTGAGGACCGCGCCCGGACCCCGGTGTTGATAATTGTTGTTGTCTTGAGCCGGTAGTTGTAGTTGTAGATGTAGATAGCCGTCAGACGTATGGGCCAATTTGAAAGTGGGGCCAGCTCCAGTTCTTCACCCGGTTGGGTTCTCTTTTCCTATAGCCCTAGTACCTGGCGGAGCTCTGTAAATCCACTTATACTTATTATACTTTACGAAAATCAAGTTCTTGTACTTCATGTATCTGCTTCTATCCGAGATTAGAAACTCGGATCGGTATGTCAAAAGTTGGTACTTATTCTAAACCACAACAATACTCTTCGCGTCCATGCTATCAGAAAGGCACCGCTACGCCTGGAAGTCAGGTTTTCATGAAAATCGGGCAACTGAACTGGTATTCGAGCGTATGCCGGTGTAAATTGGGCAGGTAACAAGCATTTACCTTTTCGCGAACGCAGTTTAACTTTATTGAATTATACTATACAAGCCAAGTTGTTAAGCCGTCAAGGGGGCAATTTACCCCCTTTCATAAACAAAGGTACTGTTCGGCACTGACTGCGCACAACTGCTAACTGTTTCCTATACCAAACGTACTTAGGTTGTTCATCAAAGGGAGCAAATTGCCCCGTTTACAAGGCAAGGTGCTTGCTACAGTTTTCTTCTTACAGACTGAAAATCGATATAGATGTCTCGGAGGATACCCGCACATGTACTATGTTATTTCTGCAACAAACGAAATGTATCTGTTATGTGGTGCGATCTTTACAATGTGTGTATGGCGAGCTGTATTCGATCCGAACTGGTAGCAAATTGGCCCTTTTATTGATATCGATTTATTTCAGCCCGCAAGCATCCATCGTTCCCGTCGCTTCCGGACCACATATAATCAGCATGGTCTTTAATCGTTGGCTATGAGGCGTGGCCGATGAAACCTTTGTCGCCCAGGGAGGGTCGTATAACGCAGCCGAAGACTGTTCCCCAGGGGTAGATCCAGAGAATCGACTTGAGAGTCAACAGCAAGAAGATAGACCCAGAGATTCGCAGCCGCAAAGCTTTAAACCCTGAGAATCACACTCCTTGGTTGGTGTGGGTACCTTGTGTAATCCCTGTCGGCTCGTTTGTCTTCGACGGAACGGCACTCCACCGGTTGAAAATGTAGCCTCGAAGAAGTGCGGGAGCGCACGTCTACTTCAGAACGCACCTCCACACCAAAAGGCAAACCCAGAGAATCAGATCCCCTGACACCCAGAATACCACGAATCCAGGGTCCAGGATTTCAGTCAACTCTGGGACTTGGAACTCAGAAGACACCTTGCCCCAATGACCTCCTAGCTCGATAAAACCAACAAATACAGAGTATACAAACACTACAACTAGCCGGCACTTATTCTTTTGGACCCTTGGACGGTGAGTCACACACACTAGGCTCACTCGAGTCTGAAATTCAGGGGCCTAGCTCCCCTGAGACTCACACAAACGCGCACCACCTCCAATAAAGGAGGAACATACAATCACTATCAGTTACCTTCCCTTCACACAAGCAGTCAATACAAAATTCTGGAGGCGACTACCTAGCACCCCAGAATACCCTCTGGAATAATATGAAATGGAGCACAGCAAGTGACCAAACTAGGATATGGAATAGATGGATCACCCCAGGAAGCTCAAGGCCGTCGCTGGTCACCACCTAACTGGACTTGAGTTTGATGGAGCCCACACAGACGGCTGTCCTTCGCCGTTGATGTGCCCTTAGCGTCCCGCGGTCGTAGTCTCGGGTCCTGCGGATTTCCGTCGGCAGGCTTGGCCGAAGTCACTTGCGCAGTACAGGGTAAAAGGAACTCTGTTTGGTTTTTATCAGCTACTTCTCTCTCTTTCTCTCTCTCTTCTTCGGGAAAATATCTTCTGTTTACTATGCTTGGGGTCAAAATGTCTTGTCTTGAGTATACCTTGGGATCAGCGGTCCAATCTTGCGATCGGCTTGCGAATCCATTGTCGCACGGCGTCGAAAATGCTAATTGTGGGTCCTTAGACTTGGTTTAGTATGGTGCAGGACTCCCTCTCGACTCCTCGAAAGTATCCAGTCTTTGCATCCACAACGGTTCTTCAAGGTCACGCATCACTTTGATTGCAGACTGACTGCGAACTGACTCGAATCCCTGAAAACCAGGTGACACTCAGGGTCATCTTCTGAAATCCTGGGAATTCTGAGGAATCTTGGGGAACTGTAGGGATTCTTGGGTGTTGGCTTGGGAAACACTTAAGTTCAGTATAGAGAGTCTGGATTTATGGTCCAAACCCAGAGAATCATCTTTGGAACTCTGGGTTACCTGTACTCAGGGAGGTGAACTCTGGGCCATCGTGCGGCACTCTGGGTTTCCGTGCGGCACTCTGGGTAACAAGTCTGCTGCAGTGCAGACTCGTGTGTATCTCCTCAAAGCCACACTTTTAGTGGGTTTAGCGGCCTCCTGCGCATGATCATGGTAGTAGGGGGTTGATTCTCAGGGTAATTTGATCCTCTGGGGCACTCTGAGCCACAGCAAGATGAGGCGTACTCTGGGATACATTCTCCAGAGACACTTTCCGCCAGACTTTAGGCACTCATCGTAAGGGAAAGTCCGCGGCTGGACTGAGTGTTCTCTGAAATTCTGGGCGTGCACTCCCAGGATTCACACTTCCAGCCAGTTGGGCCCATCTGCGGTCAGACGCTGGATTCATCCCGAGAAATCACTTCTCTCCCACAGTCGCCATCCATGTCACACGGGTACAGCCGCGCCATATCCAAGTCATCCACCAATCAGCATCCGATACAAACTCCAGGTCACAGAGGTGATGGCACATCGTCGGCAATTTTCTGGGGACCGCCTCGTGTCAGCTATCCCAAAGGTACCGTCGACAATGCTGCTGGCATCAAGAAAGCAGCCTATCCCACGGGTCTAAGACAGGGGGGGGTCCCAATACGCTGCTGGCTTTGGTACTGACAATGGCAGCAGCCGCCGCAACCAAAATAACGATGTTACGTAAGGTTGAGCCCTGAATAACGACAGCGGCGCTAGTGCTGCGAAGCCTCGGCGGGAAAGGCATCATAGAAGTGCTGTCAACACGAACTGAAACGCTTCTGAGGCACAAATATCAGGGGCCGAACCCAAGTTGCTGATATTGATAATGACAACCACCTAAGCGACAATAATGCAACCAGGGTTCCGGCACGTGGTATTGCCGCACAGGCATTAGTACGCGACTAGACCTACGCCTGTTACTAACGCAAACTTTGCGAGAGTTGGCTATATAACGGTTGTGGACATGTCAGCGAAGATGAAGTGGATGCCGTACCCCGCCTTATCCGCACGGCCCACCCAAGCCAGTTACTACGCTTCTATCGTGGAGAGGATGACAGATGTCACTCGCGCAGCGTGAAGCGCATCCTTCGGTACCTGCGCGGGACGACGTCGCTCATACTACTTTCAGTGAGCGCCCAAAGCGAGGCAGGCGACAAGTCGGACGCCAAGTCAGTGTCAGATGCCGTGCTAGAGCTGAACGGGATGGTGAGCGCATGGTCGTCCGAGAAACAGGCATTCACATGGATGAGCGACAATTGGTGCGAAACAACCGCAGTAATGCCCAGCCACGTGCAGTTTGAGATCCACAACAGCGAGCCGATTGCCCGACGAATTATGCTGTTCTGCTTCATGGCCGTGTCGTCGCCAAGCGGCCTGGACTCCACTTGGCGGGCTTACACGTGACCATCTTCATTGCGATCAGTTTGTTGTGTTTGAGAGCCTACGTGAGCTGCTGCAGTTGGTCTTGGCTTTGAGGGAGGTTGTCGCGGTTAACAAAGAACAGGCCAGACCGCTTCACCGAACGTGCTTATTGCATCCAAAACGGAAAATTGGATGGCAACAGAATGTCGGTGGTGGCCAAAATGGTGACGTACGGCAAATTAAAGTGCACTTTGGTCTTGGATGGGTTTTTCACGGGTCGTTGTTGCTGGCTAATACTAGGGGACGCCTCTTGATATCGTAGCCTCCAGGTCTGATCCGCGCTTCATAAATATTCATTTTGAGTATCACATAACGTTTGTTGTGCACATCGGCGTCTTAGCTTTGTACAATATCCACCAGCCCGCGGCCACTCATATCGATGACTGGCCCGAGTTCTTCGACTACCAGGTTTCGCACCGTTGATAGGAAATCCCCTTTCAAGGACTAAAGAGTCCATTGTCTGGTTGCATCTTGTTCCGCGAAACACAACCGAATTCCAGCTCAGTATCGACTGATCCAAATAACAGATTCAGCCAGGTCAGTAGCCAGATGATGAGCGTTGAGAAAGTCTCGGTACCTTTGGGATAGCTGACACGAGGCGGTCCCCAGAAAATTGCCGACGATGTGCCATCACCTCTGTGACCTGGAGTTTGTATCGGATGCTGATTGGTGGATGACTTGGATACGGCGCGGCTGTACCCGTGTGACATGGATGGCGACTGTGGGAGAGAAGTGATTTCTTGGGATGAATCCAGCGTCTGACCGCAGATGGGCCCAACTGGCTGGAAGTGTGAATCCTGGGAGTGCACGCCCAGAATTTCAGAGAACACTCAGTCCAGCCGCGGACTTTCCCTTACGATGAGTGCCTAAAGTCTGGCGGAAAGTGTCTCTGGAGAATGTATCCCAGAGTACGCCTCATCTTGCTGTGGCTCAGAGTGCCCCAGAGGATCAAATTACCCTGAGAATCAACCCCCTACTACCATGATCATGCGCAGGAGGCCGCTAAACCCACTAAAAGTGTGGCTTTGAGGAGATACACACGAGTCTGCACTGCAGCAGACTTGTTACCCAGAGTGCCGCACGGAAACCCAGAGTGCCGCACGATGGCCCAGAGTTCACCTCCCTGAGTACAGGTAACCCAGAGTTCCAAAGATGATTCTCTGGGTTTGGACCATAAATCCAGACTCTCTATACTGAACTTAAGTGTTTCCCAAGCCAACACCCAAGAATCCCTACAGTTCCCCAAGATTCCTCAGAATTCCCAGGATTTCAGAAGATGACCCTGAGTGTCACCTGGTTTTCAGGGATTCGAGTCAGTTCGCAGTCAGTCTGCAATCAAAGTGATGCGTGACCTTGAAGAACCGTTGTGGATGCAAAGACTGGATACTTTCGAGGAGTCGAGAGGGAGTCCTGCACCATACTAAACCAAGTCTAAGGACCCACAATTAGCATTTTCGACGCCGTGCGACAATGGATTCGCAAGCCGATCGCAAGATTGGACCGCTGATCCCAAGGTATACTCAAGACAAGACATTTTGACCCCAGCATAGTAAACAGAAGATATTTTCCCGAAGAAGAGAGAGAGAAAGAGAGAGAAGTAGCTGATAAAAACCAAACAGAGTTCCTTTTACCCTGTACTGCGCAAGTGACTTCGGCCAAGCCTGCCGACGGAAAAATTGCGCCCCACCAGTGCGGTGAGTCGACAAGCAGGTGCACAGGGGAGCGTTCAATGAAGTGCTTGCCGACCAGGAGCGCAAGCGACACATGCGCGGGAGTGTTAATGTCACGGTCCATACTGGCCAGAACGAAACGTTTGACGCGTGAGAGCGGGCGGTGGGCGTGATCGTACCACCCCGCGTCGCTGAACAAGGTGAGCAAGCCTATGGCGGCCAACGAGTCCTCAGAGGTCGGACGGCGCGCGATGCTTACCGGGAGCGTAACGCCGGCTACAATGTCCGCAGAAAAAAATGGATTTGCTGAGCCCTACTCGAGTTGCTCCAGTTTGGATCTAAGCCGGAAGTGCATACTTGTAAGGTTCCGGGAGTCGGCTGGTCAGCGCAGCGTGCTGATCGGCAATCAGAGCAGGCAAGAACATGTTCAGAGGAGGCGAAGCTCGATTCACTGATCGAAGGAGTTCAGTTTGAGGGGTGCGCACGAGTTACTTGCGCTGTACTTGACTATTTGAAACTAAGTGGGGGCTGAAATCCCATCACCACTGGTTTGTGTCGCTCCCTGAAGACTCTAGCTCGGAGCAGTAGCCCAAAACCTCCTGGGATTAGCAACTTACTCCTATTTCAAAGAAACCCACATTCTTGGCAACATTGGCAACAACCCCGATTGACAACATCAGCCCTACTCTTGAATTGGCGTCGTTACGACATCATGTGCACTGTCGGGTGTGAAACGAGAACATCCGAACCTCCTTAAGGCATTTTGTTGTGGTCACCTCGTCTAGATCCATACACGTTTATATTGGTTGGTACGTTCACTATTGGTGATCGAGGTATTGTTGGAGCTTATCACGTGTTTCCAAAAACCAGATCAAATCTATTTTTTATTTTTAAGCTCTGCATGTTACTACTAGAGCTTTCATACTCTTCCTACTTCTACGCCTTCACGGACATGTCTGTTAGCCCGATCAGCGATGTACCTGTTCCAATACCTTTCGCCACCTGCTCCAACCTGTCCGGCGCTTTCCGCGACTACTTATACTACTGCGTACGGACAAACTCGCGAATATGTTTGTAATGTATTTGTTGGGCTGCAACCGCTTCAAACGTAAATCTTGCCCTAAAGCAGCGTGTCCTCACTTCTAGCTTCGCTGCTTCTGCTTCGAACTGTTGGTAACGCTCAAGCTCCAATCTCTATTGCATCTCCCGAATCTACGCAAACTAGAGTTCCCGCACCTTAAAGGCTCTGTTGACAGCTCGCAGAAAGGATATTGAGCGCCGCCCTTGTGAGTTCCCTTCAAAGCCGTTCACGTTTTCGTTGGGAGAGCAGGTTGGTGTTTTAGGTAGACGAATCCGCGTGCTTATGACGATCCTTCCGTTCAATAGCCTAGCTTTGAATGACGAGCGAGTACACCTCACGTCGAGCAAAGACGCCAGGCAGGGCCTGTTTGCAGTGATGTCCGAGGAAACGTTTGCTAGTCCAGCGCGACTGTTTGGCAAAGAGAAAACAACGTGGGGACACAACATGGTAGTTCGAGTTCTATGTTTACTGTCGCGAGAGTGAGACAGCGGTGTCCATCATTCATTGGGCTACGACGACACGCATTAGGGGCTCCACCAGAGCGGTTGAGCGGTAAAGACAGGAGACGTTGAAGCGCGGAGACAAGATCGACTTCATATCCCGTGAGATGAAGTGGTACGGCGAAGGAGAAAAAAAGTAATGCCGTTCCACGTCTTCGCACGCGGAGCAGCAGGACGAGCGGCCGGCAAAGGTTCGACTAGTGAAGAAGGTACGGATGCAGACACAGAAATATCACAACGTGACTATGGAGGTGGCGGCACCAAAGGGTGCTGTGGGCACCCTTATACCGAGGCCGAGAAAGAAGGCCATTCTGCTCATGGTACTGACACTGACAATGGTTCGTGGGAGCCACAGAGGGCTGGTGCTGCCCACCGAAGTGTAGCGCGCAGAGGAAGGTAGGTGCTGACCTGGGATACATGTATGGACGGTAGGCAGGTGCTGACCACAGATGCATGTATGAAGCAATAGGAGGATCGAGCTGCAGCAACAGGAGATTGATGCAGTCCAGAGGATCGAGATGCAGCAACAAGCTTTCTAGGGTGCAGCCGTCGTCGCCTCCAGGCATCGTGCGGTGGCATACAGCAGCCCGCCACTTGGCTTAACTATGGGGGACCGGGCGGTGGGTTCTTCCAGCGCTGCACAGGGAGGCTGCCGCCGCACCGGTTGATAGCTTCACAACGAAGGCTAGGTCGAAGGTGTGCGTCGTTCGAGAGAGAGGCATATCTTGGTCAAGGTTGCTGCTATGCAGGTTGAAGTGGTACCAGCGCCATGATGTCAGCATGCGGTGGCTGAAGGCAAGACGAACAGGCAAGGGCGAAAATTATCAGACACAGAACACAGTATTGGAACCCCGCATCTGGAGCGTCAGGTTTGGGGTTCTAAGTTTATTCCGGGAACCTAAAAATATAATGTTTGCGAGGCACCCCACCACATAGAGCCTAGTCCATGTCTCAACACGATACAAGGGTGCTGAGTATGGACAACGTGTCAAAAACACCATCAACTGCAAAATCGTAACCGAGATTATACAAAGGCACCACAACCTGCGTACTTTCACCGAGAATTGTACCACGGGCATAGCCAATAGGAAAGCAGCACAGTCCATCTTCTCTACACCACTCATTATCATTGCTTGTGTATCCACCCTCACACTACCCAATCCGCATTAAATACAGATTTATAGCCAATCGTAGGCAGGTACAATAGCTGTACCACCTCATCCAGCACTTGAGATTTTCCAGCAAGCACTGCCTCGACTCCCTTCCCTCCTCCCAGCCTCACCAACACGATGCCTTCCACGCCCAACAAGCGCCATGTCTGGACGGTTCTCGTCCGTGCGTACCCTGCCGACGACGGTAATATGCTGATCGAGGCAATGAAACCATCAAAAATAACCAAGAGCCAGCTGCCGCCTTCGCCACAAACGAAATTTGGGAGGCTGGATTTACCGGTGGGGAGACCAATGTCGCCCCTTTCACGTTTTCGTGGCGAATGACAGCGGGCGGAAAGCCCTGGGTCGACCGAGGAACCGACGCGGATCCGTTCCTCATTGCAATTTCAACGAAGAACCTGCTGCGTAAAGCAGAGCGCGATCCGGCACCATTTATCGTACATATGGACGCCACCTTCAAGCTATCGTAGGCGTGGCATCCTATGTTCGTAGTGGGCGTCTTTGATAGCAACCGCACGTTTCACCTCCTGGTGATTTTGAAAGGAAGAACACTGCACCGAGGCGCTGTGTGCACTGCGCTGCGTGGATACGCAAGTGATCAACAAGCCTATGAAGGTTCTGTACGTGATGGGGGACGCGGAGGGCGCGCAGTGGAATGCGCTCCAACACGCGTTCAACAAGTTCACTACACTAATGTGTGGCTGCCAAAGCCTACGAGCACACGCGTCACCTTCCAATGGAGATCGGCCACCTAGTGATTCGTGGGCGACAGGACATGTACTTTGCCCGCGACGAAGCTCACTATTTGGAGACAAAGGGTCAGGTGGGGTAAGCAGCTAGAGCTGGCAACGTTCATCAAGTGCTTCAGCAAGCAGTGGCTTACCGGCAAGTTTGAGCAGTGACAGCGTTTTCGAACTCCGCGGGGCTTTTCGACTGCAAACAACCCCGCGGAGCGGTTTAACCGAGCTCTCAAGCGCGATTACACGCTCCACCGTCCGCACATAGATGGACGTGCTTCTCGTTCAGCTGCCCGCCTGCTGCAAACATGAGTCAATCAACGCGCGTCAGTCTGTCATCACTACGGCCCCTACCGCTGCGCTGAAGCGCCGAATGCATGAGCTGCGAAGACAAGAACTGATCTTCGAGCACGTACCCACGCGCAGCAATGTAACCTTCTTGTCCAACGACGCTGAGATCACTGGTGACATGGTGTACGTCTGCCAGCAGGCAAGCGTCCGGGTCTGCGGTCCGGAATTGAAGCGCACACGTGAGGCGCTCCCGGTTACCGCCCATTTGAGCCCCCCCCCCCCCACGGTCCAAATGAAGCTAAACGAATTGCGATTGGCAGAGCTGTCGACGTGAGCACAAACCGCTGTCCGTGTCTGTACAACGTGAAGTACGCTGCTTGCGTGCACTCGTTTATTGCGATGCACGATCGTGCTCACACAGATGAGAGCGAACGATTCTGCTACCGTGGTCCTGGTCGCGAGGCGGGCAAATCTGCGCAAGCTGCTGGAAGGCCTATGAACAACAGGCAAGCGCTTGGCGATGAGCGCAGTTAGCAAGTATGACACTAATAACCGTCAGTAAATATGTTGTGTATTTAACTCGTACGTGGCGGCGGAGATTAGCCAACCGCTAACCGAGCCTACTACCCCAAGCACGACCGACACCCAACCTGCTATTACAGGCTGCAAAAACTCTTTTCAGTTTCCAAGCAAGCCACGGGTTATTTCGTGTCAACTGGCTTGAAACGCTTCCGCGGCAGTGCGCTGGCGAGGAAGCCAGGGGTACAGCATCTCCTCAAGCAAGGGTCATGGTACTGCAGATACAAGCGACCACAGCAGTGGCAGGAAACATGCGGCCGGCGACGAAGCCGAGCACAGCAGCAGCAAGAAGTAAGAAACACACACCACGGGCCGCCGAAACGGGCCTCCAAAGAGCCGCAGTGTTATCCGTGACAATCACGTAAGTTCTGGAAGGGATGGTCCTGCTACCGCTGGTGGAAGCTGAGGCGAGGCCGATGAAACCTTTGTCGCCCAGGGGGGGTCGTATAGCGCAGCCCAAGACTGTTCCCCAGGGGTAGACCCAGAGAATCGACTTGAGAGTCAACAGCAAGAAGATAGACCCAGAGATTCGCAGCCGCAAAGCTTTAAACCCTGAGAATCACACTCCTTGGTTGGTGTGGGTACCTTGTGTAATCTCTGTCGGCTCGTTTGTCTTCGACGGAACGGCACTCCACCGGTTGAAAATGTAGCCTCGAAGAAGTGCGGGAGCGCACGTCTACTTCAGAACGCACCTCCACACCAAAAGGCAAACCCAGAGAATCAGATCCCCTGACACCCAGAATACCACGAATCCAGGGTCCAGGATTTCAGTCAACTCTGGGACTTGGAACTCAGAAGACACCTTACCCCAATGCCCTCCTAGCTCGATAAAACCAACAAATACAGAGTATACAAACACTACAACTAGCTGGCACTTATTCTTTTGGACCCTTGGACGGTGAGTCACACACACTAGGCTCACTCGAGTCTGAAATTCAGGGGCCTAGCTCCCCTGAGACTCACACAAACGCGCACCACCTCCAATAAAGGAGGAACATACAATCACTATCAGTTACCTTCCCTTCACACAAGCAGTCAATACAAAATTCTGGAGGCGACTACCTAGCACCCCAGAATACCCTCTGGAATAATATGAAATGGAGCACAGCAAGTGACCAAACTAGGATATGGAATAGATGGATCACCCCAGGAAGCTCAAGGCCGTCGCTGGTCACCACCTAACTGGACTTGAGTTTGATGGAGCCCACACAGACGGCTGTCCTTCGCCGTTGATGTGCCCTTAGCGTCCCGCGGTCGTAGTCTCGGGTCCTGCGGATTTCCGTCGGCAGGCTTGGCCGAAGTCACTTGCGCAGTACAGGGTAAAAGGAACTCTGTTTGGTTTTTATCAGCTACTTCTCTCTCTTTCTCTCTCTCTTCTTCGGGAAAATATCTTCTGTTTACTATGCTTGGGGTCAAAATGTCTTGTCTTGAGTATACCTTGGGATCAGCGGTCCAATCTTGCGATCGGCTTGCGAATCCATTGTCGCACGGCGTCGAAAGTGCCAATTGTGGGTCCTTAGACTTGGTTTAGTATGGTGCAGGACTCCCTCTCGACTCCTCGAAAGTATCCAGTCTTTGCATCCACAACGGTTCTTCAAGGTCACGCATCACTTTGATTGCAGACTGACTGCGAACTGACTCGAATCCCTGAAAACCAGGTGACACTCAGGGTCATCTTCTGAAATCCTGGGAATTCTGAGGAATCTTGGGGAACTGTAGGGATTCTTGGGTGTTGGCTTGGGAAACACTTAAGTTCAGTATAGAGAGTCTGGATTTATGGTCCAAACCCAGAGAATCATCTTTGGAACTCTGGGTTACCTGTACTCAGGGAGGTGAACTCTGGGCCATCGTGCGGCACTCTGGGTTTCCGTGCGGCACTCTGGGTAACAAGTCTGCTGCAGTGCAGACTCGTGTGTATCTCCTCAAAGCCACACTTTTAGTGGGTTTAGCGGCCTCCTGCGCATGATCATGGTAGTAGGGGGTTGATTCTCAGGGTAATTTGATCCTCTGGGGCACTCTGAGCCACAGCAAGATGAGGCGTACTCTGGGATACATTCTCCAGAGACACTTTCCGCCAGACTTTAGGCACTCATCGTAAGGGAAAGTCCGCGGCTGGACTGAGTGTTCTCTGAAATTCTGGGCGTGCACTCCCAGGATTCACACTTCCAGCCAGTTGGGCCCATCTGCGGTCAGACGCTGGATTCATCCCGAGAAATCACTTCTCTCCCACAGTCGCCATCCATGTCACACGGGTACAGCCGCGCCGTATCCAAGTCATCCACCAATCAGCATCCGATACAAACTCCAGGTCACAGAGGTGACGGCACATCGTCGGCAACTTTCTGGGGACCGCCTCGTGTCAACCGCCCCTCCTGGTCCGGGTCCATCAAAGAGGAAATAGCTCCGAACTGGTGAACCATGGCCAGGCCACAAAAACACACAGGTCTATCCACCGTCGACTTCGACACGGCCGTTGCACTCTGTCGACTCCCAGGGTTTCACTCACTTTGGCGGCACCCTGTCTCCCCAACAGTTGGTCAGGACCTATCTTCAAGGTTCTCCTCTCAAACGCAAAAACTCCAACGGGCAATGCGCGGTCACATCGCCATTTCGCAGATCGTCAACATGGCGGAGAGCGCGACTTCGGACGGCAAACAAGCGACGGCGCCAGCTCAAGGCACGGCGCCCCCCGGCAGCGCGCCACCTCCGACACAGCAGCGCACCGGCGGCGCCCCTGCGAGCACCGCACCAACAGGCGGCCAGGCGGGTAACTCAGCGTCCGGCGACACTTCGACGGGCAGCACCAAGACGGGCGTGACCAAGCGCGTCTCCTTCTCCAGCGCCACCGGCAAGACCTCCGACGCGGACATGCGCGAGGCCGATGGCAACGCCTCGACTGACGCTGTAACCCAGGAAACTGGTGACGCGAACTCAGAGCCCAAGGCTCCAGACGCAGGCGGCGTGGCTCCGGACGTGGACATGGAGGGCGCCCCTGAGTTCAAGTTACCACGACACGCGACGCTAGAGGACGTCAGGAGACTCATCTTCGCAGGCATGCTTCGGCAGGAGGAGGTCGATCCCCCTGACTTCCTGGTCCCTGAACGCCCCCCACTGGAAACTGCCGGCTCCGCCGAATCTCAAGACCAACGCGTATAGGAGCTCTCCGACGAGGATCTTCAGGGGTTGAAGGAAGTCTGTGGCGCCGACGCTGGGATCGATGTCCTATGTCCACGTCGTTCGCCTCTTTCAGCGTTCGAACTGGACAATACCCTGAATTCCATCGGTATTCGACGCGAGATGGCCTCACTCCTGCGTCACTTCAACAGCACAAGGCTCGCTGAGCGCGTCTTCAAGATGACCGGTTACCTGCGTCGAGTCCTCGGGGCCTACCGAAACATGCGTTCTCTGGCTGACTCTCAGCAGGGTTTCACCGCCACTCAGGAAGTAGTCGACACGCGACGCAAGTACAAGGAACTGAAGCGCGCCTGGAAATTAACGTGCGACTACTGGTTCCTGGAGGTCCAAGAGGCCCTGAGCAAGGTGGATGACGCTGAGTCCAAGTACAAAGTCGCGCTGGGCGAGCAGAAGACGCGGTATCAAGACGAGATTGATTCTCTGGGGCCCGAGAAGGCGCAACTCAAGGCGCGCCTTGCCGACTCTGAGGCACAAGTGCGAATCCTGAAATCGCGTCTTGAGTCAGCCACCGTGGACCCCTGGAAGTTCTCCGATTTCCTTCGAGAGCACACAGACTTCACGGGTAATTGGGAGCGCCTCCACGACCTCTTCAAGCTCTGCATCAAGGGCTCGAAGCCTCCCGAATTCTGGGACACTGTCATCAACTCAGTGCGGATTAGCAGGTTGCCCTCAATGGACTCGCGCTGAGGATGGCGACGACAGCGGTGTCAGCACCAAGCGGTTTGTCGGCGCTTCGGACTCTATGCAAAAAATCAGTCTACCGGTAAGTACAAATTGAAATTGGCTATGCAAGCAAACCTTATCAATCATCTGCTTTGCATCGGCGAGGTATGTGGCCAGCCGTCCAAGGCGACATACACACTGGGTCTACAACTGCGACCGAGGGAGTGAGCTTGAACTTCCTTGGCGAAGGCTTGGGTAGGTGTTGTGGTAGATTCGCAGTGGGGGTTCTTTCACGCGGGTCTGGGTAGGTAGGTCCCGTTCTTGTCCGTAGATCTTGTGGATCCGATAAGCAGATCCGGAGTGTCGCGTTGCTGGAGGTGTTGTATCCTTTTTTCCTTTACGTTGCTTGCCGCTACCTATAAACGCGGAAGTGGGGGGGCTATCCAGCAGTCTGTCACGTGTGCGAAGAGCAACTCACTTGAATAAAGTATGGATCGATGCAATTCCCAATACAAAGAACAAGTGTGTGGCCCTCAATCCAATTCGCATCTGATTTATGTCAGCCTATACCAAGCCTTCCCATCCGGTTTCGATCCTACCCTCTACTAACTATCTACTCTGTACCCTACCAACCAATATCCTGATCAAGGATCTGTACCTAAATCAGGATACAGATATCGAACCCGATGGTACACATTACCGGACCGAATGCCGCTGGCGATGCCCCTAAAAATCCCCGGTCCACATCACGACAAAGACACACCTCATCATCCTTGCACACGTCGGAAATCGCCCTATGACGTTCTCGATGCTAGAGATGGCTCCTGCGCTAGCGTGTCCACACCTGCGTTACAGCACAGCGACCGCTCGCAGCGCCACCACCCGGTAGTAAATGGGTGCAAAAGCTGCTTAAGCATTTAAATCCAACGCCATGACGAGGCTGCTTTCCACCAATATTATATCGCTGTTCTAACGGTCGTCATGTATTGGATTACGCGCAAGCCCGAGTCGGTCGGTGAAAAACTGGTTCATCGCTGTAGATACGGGTCGTATCTGCTTTTCTTTAATGCCAACATAGAAGGTATCGTTTACCTTCGGCAGACAGGACGTCACCGAATAAGTTGATAAAATTACAGAATCGAATCTGGTGGGTGTGCTTCTGGAAAAAATCACACTACATGAAACGAAGTTAGACCTAATCGGAAAGGTCCACAGTCAGGTCCACAATTCTGAATAACCAACACACAGAAACAGACTGCCGAGCTAAACGATACAAATTGTACAACCACCACATATTCTGTAAGTTCCTCTATACACCAGTCAACTTACGAGCCGTCACCCAAGGCACTTGTCAACCCTGGATGCGCACTCACTAACGCGCACCACCCTCGCCGAATGATTTAACAATACAAAATATAAGTCAATCTCATCACGCAGTAGTCAATCAATTCAGTATGGGGGCTCTACCGCCTTAGATACACAGAATGGAATATGATATGATGGCCGGGTAACGCACGTAAAATTGAAAATAAAGCTCTCATAGATCACATCCAGGACGCAACACCCCAGTCCTTGCCAACACCTTTGAGTCCCGCATTCGTTAGTCCTTGAAACGTCCTCCATGTCACCGACCGCGCGAAACCTGGGTCCACGTGTAAGCTCTTGACGACGTCCCGTCGACGGATTACCAGCCCGATTTAATGGAGACGTCCGCATGTTCTCGGCAAATTGGTTTCGGTTAGTTTTTATGTTTTGCTAGCTATCTTCATCACTTTATTGACATCTAATGAATGTTTCACTATGCTTGCCTTGACATGGATAGCTTCGGTAATGTGCACGGATATTCGATTTTCTTGTATTGAGCTTGAGTATGCTTGTTTTGGTTTGGTTATGGGGCGACTTGCCGACGCCAAAGCTTCTTCGGCAACATTCATCATCTGGCGACCGAGGTTCTGGGGGGCGTCGTCTCATCATCGCCAAACAGGACCTCTACGTCTAATCACGTGAGCCATTTGGTGTCGCTAGGTGTTCTTGGCCAACCCCGTATGTAATTGCCGCTATGGTGTAAACAAATACGGCGGTGCTGAACTGGTGGCTGGTGCGTTCTCAGTCTAGTACGGGCAAAAGGGTCGAGCCGACTCGATCATCCGATCCGGACCCATTCGATGCGGCACCTTGTCACCCAGTGTGTCGCAACCGTGTGCACCACAATCTAGTCCGGCAAACAGTGTTCTTCGTCCAGGGAGGTCTTGGGCGTATTGGTTCACGATCGATGTTTTGTCGGAGCCAATGCAGGCAGCAGCTGTAATGCGATGGCTGGTTGCCCTTGGTCACGTAGATTTATCATTAGAGCAGATGGATTGTCCCCGAATACCAACCCAACCGCCCGATACCCCTCACGAGTTTCCTAGTGTGTCCACTCTTGCATCGCGGACTCATGCTGGTCACTCACTGGACAGTCGGAACGTCCTTCCATCCGGCGTGGTAGTCCTGCCTGGCAAACAGTCACGCAATACTGGTTAGTAGGCCTTACACGCATCCCATGTAACCGATGGTACAATTCTTGCGGCTTGTTCTCTACATGAGCTGCTGTGGTACACCTTCGATTTTAAAAGGGGGTTTCCAGAACCATTCTGACACTTGCTACACCACTCTCTTGTTGAATATTACCAGTGGTAGCAATGAAATCATGCCTTTTTTATAAAACGTTTATAACCTGCATAACCGTTCATTTGAACCTGAATAATACACATCTACTGGTGGATACACCCCTATATTTTTGTCCACGATAACTTGCTTTGAAAAGGCCTTCGATGGATGGTTTTCAATTTGCGACTCCTGCTAATATTGGAAGCCGAGAAATCATAATAAACCATTGGACATGCCCAGCATCTATTATGGTGTCCAAAAACGCAAACAATCACAATAACAGCAGCATCCACACTAGCTCCCGCCTCTCAAGTCACGCGTGAGTCCAGTAGCCCACGACGAGAAAGCCTTTTTGCTGGACGATACCAGAGCAGCATTCACGGTTGTGGGTTGATCACCATCCACGACCGCAAGTTTACCAACTTCATCCAGTATCATAACCAAAAGTGGAGCTTTCTACACGGATTAAATGTCATGTCTTCTTTGACGAAGGAAGCACAACCCAGTGATCTTCTTGTACCCTCCAGCGTAAATTCCGCTGTTCTGTAAAATCACCAGGATAATGAGTCAATGTACCGTTGTCGAACTGTTTCCACAGATCTCGATGGTTGTGGCGAGCTACAACCTCATGTTAGTGGTTTCCAGGAAGCAGTCAGCGCTGCGACAAACATGAAAACTAGTGAGCTCGGTCGCATGCTACACGGAGTTTTGCTTTGACTTTAATCTACAACCAACCACCAAAGCCTGCGACATGGCTCATGAACATGCTAAGCTTATATAGTGAACCGGAAAAATTCTCAAGGCATGACACTTCCGCGTCATCGGGTATGTAGCTGAGGATCCAGCTGTAGCGGAAGGTATGCATGCATGCAAGCTATAATTCAGTTGCTGCTGGCACCACAAGCAAACGTCGCCTTTTCAAACATTTTCATCCTCCTCGCAACCATGTTAGTAACAGTTACGTGATCAGTTGCAACAGGCTCCTTATTCCTTCTGTATGAAGGCGCGCGGTGCTTAAGCGTATTGTTTGGGCAACTTACAAATATTTGAGTGCCTTAAAGTCAACAACTCGTGACGCCGTCGCAATACTACAACAATTGGCTTAACCGGAGGAGCCAGCTGTAGCGACCTCAAGAATGAAGTGACACGATGTGGAAACAGATTATTGTCTGCACCCATGTCCGACATCATCGATACGTGGACCTTTCGGTGAGCTGTGATTGGTCGCATGAGATGGAGATCCGGTAGAGACGAGTGTGACGTGTGGATTGTGGATGTGTGTGGCGATTTGGCGGGACCAGGCACTTGCAGCAAGCATGGGCTCACAGGATTGGAGATGCGCCCACCGGATGAGCGCTCATATTCGGTGCGGAGTGTCCGTCCGCCGACTTCCCTACCTGCAGGATAGGCCCAAGGCGCGAAAGTGTGGCCAGCGAACGTATCCTGGCCACTGCCTGTATTGGCTCAGTCAAGTTGTCGGACCACCCCACTGAATCGACCCCACCAGACATGATCACGCGTGCACAAGACCCTGTTGGATGAAGCCTCGTGTTGTCCGGACCGGACCGTGGTGCACCCGGTGATGGCGTACCGAATGGAGAAGTGCCACACCGGATGGGGACGGACCGGATCGTTCATTCGGTCCGGCCCCCGTGCCCACACTAGATGTCGACGCACCAAGAACAAGTCCGGTGCGCGCCGCGTGTGTTCACACAGCGGCGTCGATTCGGACTAGATGAGACCAAGATCGACCAAAGCCTACGAGCGGTACCGAATGAGCCGCACGTCCAAGGGAGAGGTCCAATTCCACGGTGTACCCAGGTACCTCTGTCATCATCTGATGAGTGTACCCGAAGAAGTGTCGTCGTCAACAAGTCTCCGCATACCGAAACCAAGACGAGTATACTGAAGAACTGCCAAGAAGCACAAGCATATCCAAGACAAGCGAAGCATAGTGAAGCCTACATTAAGTCAGCGAAGTGATAGAAGATAGCTAGCCAAACGTAAGATCTAAACAGAAACCAATTTGCCGAAGAACACGCGGACGACTCTGTGCTCGGAGCAGAAGTAGCACCCCGACTTTGACGTCTTCAAGAGCCCTCCGGGAGACTGCCTGCGCGCGGTCTAGGCACGTTTAGGGACGCTTCCAAGGCCTCACTGGTGTAGCAAGCACCGGTGTAGTGGGGACTCAAAGGTACCAAGGCAAAGTCGGCAGTGACTGGGGTGTCGCACCCTGGAGTGACTTGTGAGAGTTTTAAAATGACTGGGGTGTCGCACCCTGGAGTGACTTGTGAGAGCTTTAAAATATTTGCGTGCTCTAACCGGGCATCCATTTCATATTCCCTACTGTTTGTCTTTGGTGGTTGAGGTAGTCACCCCCCAGACCGAATTGATTTACTACTGTGTGATAGGACTGATTTAGATTTTGTATTGTTCCCTCATTCTGTGAGGGTGGTGCGCGTAAGTGAGTGTGCGTACAGGGCTGACCAGTGCCTTGGGCGACGGCTCCGAAGTTGACTGGTGTATAGGCCCCCCACCCAAGGGTCTCAAAGAATAAGTGGTGGCTGTATATTTTGTGACGTTTAGCTCGGTATTGGATTTCTGTGTGTTGGTTATTCTGAATTACGGATCTGACTGTGGTCCCTTTCATTCGGTCTGACCTTCTGTTCATTCGGTGTGGTTTATCCCAGGAACACGCCCAGCAGACTCGAGTCTATAATTACGACAACTCATTCGGTGAAGTCCGGTCCGCCAACGGTAAACGATACCTATAGGGGTTGCCACAAGGACACACGCCAAACACCGGACCGCATTAGTGCGATTCGGTGCGTCCAAGCGGTTCCAGGCCCGGGTCATTCAGTGTCCCGTGGGCTGTTTACCGCGTGGACAAACTCTGGTACTCCGAACCCGAATTCATTCGGTCCGGCATAGTGCGCTATACACCTGGACGATAAAGGCGTTCACCCGCCTCGCCTCAGACGCCACACTAACGTCTCAACCTTTCAATCACCAAGCGCTAGCGCAGGAAGTGCCGACCATTACGCTAACGAAACCGGAATTAGCGGAGTGTAAATGATTTATCGAGAAGATGTGGAATACCGTCCCTAATGGACATTCAGTATTGCATGCGAGATAACCCCGTTCAGAAGATGATGGATGTGCTGCGCCAGCCGGTCCTTCTCAAGTATGCATCCTCATGCCGTAACATCCAGTTGGAGTCAGGAGCCCCATGGTGATAACAGTCTGAAAACAACGACTGGGTATTCAAGGCCATTTCAAGGTAGGAAAGATAACGGCGGTTACAGACTGTGACAGCGACTGGATATTTCAAGGTGATTTCATGGTAGGAAAGATAAGTGATGGTTCATATGTGTCTTCGGCATTGAAGAAAGATGACTACATGATTGAGTACACTGTCCAACCGACAACGGGCAAACTTGAAGCGGAGGACACGAAAGAAAAGTAGCGTCTAACCGAAAGGAGAGGTCAGCTAAGAAATGCATCTGTGTAAGGAACTTGGGAAGCGCGCAGCGGTTTTCGGACCACGCGTGGTGTCCCAAAAGCGCGTTCGAGGAGTACCCAACGTCAGTTTCAGGGGTTTGCGTTCTGTTGCGCGCGAGTTGGCCACACCGATCCACCATGGTCCAGTGGAGAATGCACTATGGGAGTCAGACGTGCAAGCTGTATGAACGCTCTAAGTGTGTCTGGAAGTTGTGGTTGTGTGAGGACTCAAGACGGTACCAAGTGTACCACAATATAATTGACCACGTGCGCCCCGCGGCGGTGGATTGCGAAGGTACATACGAAACCGTGATAACCGCGCAAATGAAGAAGTTTATCATGAAACAAGATTAGTGTGCCGTCCCACCACAGCTAATTCTGAGCAGCATGCATCGTTCGACAGATATTGGCCAACCTACCCACGGATACCCTTCCCTGCCGCAAGTCTCAAATTGTGCCAAGTATTTGCGCCGTCGTCAAAGAATCAAAATCCACTCCGCATAATCTCAATCGGCAACACGCATTCGACCCCACCGTGACGATGAAGGTGGCCATCCGTACGTGGGTAAAGCGACTGGCGATGACTCATTTGTGATTGGTGTCACCAGTCTTGCATTGGCCACCGCTTCTATCGAGTTTGCTTCACCAAGCCTTTTCACACTCTATGTGTGTGAGCTCGCTAGTCCGGATGATTGAACAAGTGAGACCCTCGGCTCAGCTACACATTGGCGCGGTCATGGGAGACGCTCAAGACGCCCAGCTCAATGGATTTCAGCAGGTAACACCGTTCGACTCAGCAACATATTTGATGTGTTTTCTTCATGTGCTCTACAATGTTCAAAAACGCATGGCAAAGCGTCTAGAATGTCCTGGTATGGAAGCCAAATCCGAGAAGTTGTTTAACCGGCAAGTCCGCAAGACCAAAAGTGGCGCGCTGGGGAAGCGCAGGGAAACACAAGAGCAAGTGGTTCCCAACATTACCGCAGAAACATGCCGCTAGAAGATACAAGCGATGGCCGCCCACCGTTAGCGTCTAGGGCCCTGGACTCGGACACGCGAATAACTCCCTCACAATGTAGTCCCTGTGGTTAAGTGAATTTAAGCACAACTTTGTAAGGAATTATTGTAATATTGTGTCATTCCGATGTCTGTAGAGGTCACATTCGCTGGTTTTCGATGTGTCACCGCCTTTTGATCGGTCACCGTCACCGCATTTCTATCGGTCACCACATTTCTAGCCGTCGCCGCATTTCAAACTGTCACCGTGTCCAATGTAAGCATTGAATTACAGATGACCACGGAAAAATACGCCAGCACTGACCACTATCCTCCATAGTAAACGGTCAAAAGTGAAGTCTTATTCCTAGAGAAAGGTCAATAATGTAGAAAAAGACGGCGAAGAAGTTACGGTCGTGACAAAGAAAAGGTGGAGTGTATTGTTGTGGCTACAAGAATTCCAGAGCTTCAAAGTGCTGAGGAAGCGCCTTTTCAAAACTCTCAACTACAATGTCCTCATCAAGGCTGTTCCCGGCTATGATAGTAACCAGCTGAAAGCAAAAGCAAGAAAAAAATTGTCATTCAGCGAAGATTTTATATATTAGTTCAGATAACACTTACGTTGTTGTCTCGACGCTCATTTTTCATATACAAAACCAAAGTATGTGAGAAAGGGATCATCTCCTTTCTCCCTTGACCTTTCATGGCCTTGCTTTTCTGCGAGCCGCTGAAGCTTGTAATCTTGTCCTCGTTCTTCACCCAGTCGCGCACGGTCCAACGCGGCACGCTACTCTGTTTAATAGTTTCATCAATGCCTACCGTAGCAACCATGCGAAGCACTTCGCGCTTATACTGCATTTTGAAGGAGCGCTTGGCGCGCATCTTTCGTTTTTGCTCAATTCGCGCAGGACGCCATGCTTCGCGGTGCTCTCCGTGCTAGTAATTTTTTGTAGTATTGGTTGGTAAAAAATACGAGCTCGTGTTCGTCTGATTGGCTAAAATACAAACATTGTTTTGTATCGGATCAGAAGTCGGGACTTGTCGCATGGCGTATTTTTTTGTGGAGCGTATTTTTCCATCGTTATCTGTAGACATTAGTCAACAAAGACAAACCAAAATCAATGCCCATGTCGCTCTGATCGCTCTCTGCTTCGTCCCACTCTTGACTGCTCTCGTCCTCGCCGCTCTCTTGGGCTTCGGTTTCGATGGCCCCGCCGCAATAACGTCTCGGCTGCAGGTCGTAGATGTTGGTCTGGCGACGGTATTTGCCCATCTTCTTCGAATGCATCCTGCGGAATATGGGCTTGAACTGGAGTTTCTTAATCTCTCTCAATACAGCCTTACACACGAGTGTGCTTCAAACATCCTCTTCGCTACTGTGGAATAGCACCTCACGAGATGTCGCGCCAGAGGACGAGTGACGAGAAGTGCCGGGAAAGATGGCAACCGACGAGACGGATGGAATACGACGCGTCGGGATGTTAACGGGATGATGGGCCGTGGGACACGCATACCGGCGGCGGAATCAGGCTAATACTGGCTGATTCGACGAACCGGTTCATACGCCCGGTTATGCAAACCCCGTCGACCCCAAAAAACCGTCAACCCTAAACCCCGTCGGGAAAACCCCGTCGAGGAAATCCCGTCGAGGAAATCCCGTCGAGCTCAAGTTGTGATTACGTTACGCAAATCAGGTTGAAGAGCGGTAGTGCAAGCACGACAGAAGTAACGATAGGTACAGAGCGGTAGGCTTAGCAAGCAGTAGTACAGAGTAGCCAGTAGCAAGGACATAGGATAGGGTAAGGACTCAGTTCCGAATTTTCTCTGAACCACTCAGACCTCTCCCCTCCGGAAGATCGCCAGGTTCTTGAGAACCACCAAGCGTCGGCAAGCAGAGCCGCAAGGAATACGCGGCCCCCCGTCGTTTGCTGGCTCGGGTACTCACCCCCCTCAAACCCCGTGTTGGAAACGAAGGCACGTAAAACGTATACCGGTTAGGAGGCGCTCGATAACGCGCAGCCTAGACGAAGGACCGCACGGCCTGATAACCGCTGTGCACAAGACCCCGCGTCGGCCCGATAACGCCACGCAACAAACCCCAGGAAACGCCGGCCCGATAACGCCGCACGCCCGACGGGATCTCCGAGGAAACGCCGGCCCGATAAGTCCGCACGCCCAAGGAACAATCGACGCCCTAAAAAAAGGAACAAGCGTCCACTCAACCCCCCCCCCCCCCAACTCTGAAGCTTGCGAAGACTTGGGCGCTATATTCGAAGATACGCTACTCAATATCCGGGAAATTGCCCGTCGCGACCGCAGATTGGACGCGTCGGGTTTGTGCGAGGACGAACTCCACGGTTTCTGTGAGGCCGCTACTCCACACTACGAAGTATCCACCGTTCCAAAAAGAGAGATTTCTCGTTTCGTTAAGCCCTTCATTTTCGTTAGCGCTTCACGACCCTCTTGCTCAAAATCGTGTCGAAGCTACCGCTACCCGTGCAAATACTGGCAGCCCTGCTGCCACTGAAGGTCGTACCGATATGAGGCGGGTCGTGCCGCGGCCGAGCAAATCAATCTACCTCTACTTGAAGTCAAGCTACTGCTAATGGGGTTGATCCACTACTGATTAGGGGCGGGCAGCTGCTGCTAGTGGCACTGGCGGGCTCTTGCTGATGCTGCTGAGGGTCAAACCGCCGCTGCCGGCTACTTGGGGTGGTGGTGCCGCTGCACGGGCTGCTGCTGATGATGATGTTGATGCTTGGGGTCGTAGCGCCGCTGTCGCTGGCGGCCGTACAGCTCCTGCTGCGTTGGGTTGAGCGGCTGCTCGAGGTGCTCAGATGCGAAAGTGAGGCAGCAGCACTGGCCTGCATGCCGCTAGTCCGCTACCCACTCAGTGTCTACGTCATCTGCCAGATGCAATGACGCAATGGCAGCTGTTTTGATATGGGGGAGGGGGGGCAGTGGTTTGAGCTGTGGATTTCATAGAGTAGTATCTGTGGAATTCCCTATTTTGTCTGTAGGGTCCACCTTACCTCATCCCATCGTACTTTATTCAACTCTCAAAAACTGTACACCCGCTAATTCCTGCCTCAGTACACCTAGAACCAAGGATAAAGCTGCACACCTGCAAGCTTAGCTCGCAAACTAATGAATGGATCAGCCACCGAAAGCCTACGTGTTTCTTTTATATGCAGGGTTCAACATTAGTGCTACTAGTGCAATATTCAGGGTGCTCTAGTTGAGGCACTCGTGCCTCTCTGCCACAAACGGGAGTTTTGAGGTGCATTACTTCTGGAAATTTGAGGCACCGCTACCGTCTTACCGCGCGCCAGCCGCCAAGGCGCTCAATTAAAGTAAACAGCCCACTGGGCGTTGTATTCGTATACACGGTCTAGGCGTTCAATTGAAGTGTTAAGACCAAAATCAGAAGAAAGCGAATGCTGCACGAGCATTCTCTATTAAATGTGCATACCATCTACCTGCACGGCATAATATGATCCCTGCCGAGCAATACAAACGGATCGAAAAGGGTTCGTGACGGCGTATGTGTATGCTGAGGTGACCCTGCACTCGTCGTTGAGTGTTTTTACCTGAATATTGCTGGAATGCAGCTGAGCCGCTGCGAAAATCTCGAGCTCGCTACCGTCTCTCTCTCCGTTCCTGAGCGAGGTGATGTAGTTGTCATCGAACAACCCCTTCAGATCATCCAGCTCTCGCATGTAGCTCGTCAAGACGTGAGCATAGTCCCCGATACTGCTTGCCAGAGAGTGTAAGACAGCAAAACAGACTTGAGTGCGTGTCTTCGGGCAGGTACCAGGCTGGCGGTTGAAGGCATATCTGCTCCCTCTCATCTTCTTCGTCGCCGCCGACCAAGTGTTGGTACAGCAGATGCCACTCATGCATGTCGATACTAGAGGAGATAACCTCGCGCAGCGGAGGATGCAGGGAGGTCTTGTCAAATGAAGATCCCGCGACAAGCCCACATAGCCTAAACGCCTTCTTGACCTCTTTCGGGTCCTTGGTGGCGATCCAGTCCAGCACCCACTGCGAGACCACTGAGTAGTGCGATACTTTCGGGCTCCCCGCCTTCGTCTGAAGACTCTTGTCCTTAAGAGCTTGACCCATGTACTTGTCGAACTTGTCACCGTAGAAAACTTGAAAACTTCGATTTACTGCCACGTCCAGCGGTTGCAGTAAATTGATAAGGTTTGGCGGTACCAGGAGAACGAAAATATTGTAGCCCTGGAGCAACTTCACGTTAAAAAGCGTGACATGGCAAGCGTACGAGTCGATAATGTACAAAACGGGCTGACGGTAAAAATGGGTTTCTTTTCTGCTGCAAATGACCGTTTTGCGCGCTCGAGGAGGATTGCTTGCGTCATTCCACATACCGGTGGCGTTCACGTCGACGAGAATGCCCATGGGGACGGCTGGCTTCCGCTTGAGCTTTAAGAAGAGCACGTGAGGCGTCAAAAACTTTCCGTCTCCAGTAATCGCGAAGGTGGCAGTGAACCGTTTGTGGCTGCTCCCACCTTTCTTGAGGAGAACCTCTCGGCTGCCATGAGTTGTAATTGTGTGTTTTGGCTCCGTTTCAAAGTACATCGGCACTTGATCCATGTTGATAATATTGCCTGGTTGTATGTTGTGCTCTTGGATGAGTTTTTGCGCCTTTTCAATGAGCTCCAAGCAAGTTTCCTTAGCGTCGCTAGGAAGGGTCTTCGTCGTGGTTTGGCGCCTCGACACGAGGTTGTATCGATCTTTAAAGCGGCCAAGCCACCCAGACGAAGCGGCAAACGTCAGGTGCGGGTCGTCCTCATCGTTGTGCTGCGAGCGGTAAATATTCAGCGCTTGGAGTCTGATGTATTTGTCTTTGACCCTCAATCCCTTGTTATTGCGGTCGACAATCCAGCTATGAAGCTGTTCCTCGAGGTCGTGATGCTGCGCCTTGCGTCCGGCTCCAGGCATTCGGCAAGCCACGCGTGTACCAACTTGGCGGTCTTTAGATGCTTGTTGTAGTTTGTCTAGATTTTTAACCCAGTCGCGGACCATCGACGATGTGACCTTGTGCTTTTTGGCCAGAGCGTGGAAGCCGCAGCCTTTGACGTTATGCTTGTACTCGCGGGCAACGTTGAATTTAAACTGGAGGCTGTAGCTCGCACGTGTGGTGTAGTAGCACGCACAAAATCGTCAGATGTGGCACCCTAGCTACAAACACTACAACAGCCGAGCTAGTCGGCCCTTGTTGGCCTGCGCTGAGATGTCCCCCAGCGGTTCGGCCCTTCCGGGACAGTGATGTCTCGTTCTCGCCGAGACCAAGTACCCCAAGCCAGTCAATCACGGAAGCCAGCTGAGTTACCTGACTCCGGAATTAGAAATCCCGTGCCCTCCGCCAAAGGACGGACGACGGCCCTCGCGGGCTTTTACGGGTCGCCGAGAGCAAAGGCTGCTCGACTCAGCAATCAGTGCCCGGGACGTACGGGAACACCGGCTCGCAGCGGTGGCGAGACTTTTTCTTGCCCAACCCGGGCCGACCTTAATCTCTTGGCGCTACCAGTCAACACCCTACAAGCTATGCCTCTCGGGTGCTGACAGCAGACATAATCCGGACCGTGCAGGGGCTTACTGGAAGCGCGTGCACGTGTTGTGGACCTAGAAAATTCTGCTCTGTTGTTTGTTATCTCTGTCGGGCGCCCTGAAGGGGCGCCTCCACTATTCCTAAGCTCCTATACAAATACCAAATGAAAGTGGGCGGTTTTGGATCTCGGCCGACTCTTCACCGAGCTCGGCGACGCTTGAGCTCGGCTAAGCCGGATAACCTGTCCGGATAACCCCTTGAAATCGGCTGAGCCGGATACGGCGTGTCCGGATAACCTGGCGAACTCGGCTGAGCCGGATAAGGTGCCGGATAACCCAGTGAACTCGGCGGAGCGACCCGCGAACTCGGCGGGGCGACTCGTGAACTCGGCAGAGCGACCCGTGAACTCGACTGCGCAACTCCCGGACTCAATTGAGCCTGGTTACCGTATCGGGCGGTACATGGTACCGTTTAGCCTGAGCTCGGCGGCTTGAACCCCCCACGATCTCTGCTGAGCGTGTCCAGTGCCTTCCTGAACTCGGCTGGGTCTTCATCACTGGGTCTGCCACGTGTCACCAGGTCGGGGCCGGTGTGCCTTGAGTTTCTGACACCATCAGCCGAGTTCAGCGGCCCATCAGCGCATTCTTGCCCACTGAGCTCGGCGGACGGTCATCCCGCCGAGTAGAACTTGGCTCCTGGTACGTTGTTCCACTGCGGCCTTGGAGTGTGACACAAAACTTGATGTTCCCTACACCACACACGCTTTTTTTCTGCTGACATGATGTACAGTTGAAGGCGAAGGCGTTTTGTCGAATGATCACAGAGGTGCTTTGAAAGCAAACTAAGTAGAACGCCGATGGTACTGGACGTGATGGGAATTGGTTGGTAAAGGACTGTTCACCCGAGCGTGGTTGGTGAGGGTGAGTGGGGGTGGGTTGGCATTATCAACTGTTTTGATAGTAGGGGTTCGTTCTATTTGACCATGCGTACAAATCGAGGGTGCCACACAAAAGAAATCTGGCACATTCTCGTATTGAGCGCCTAGGCGGCTGGTGCGCGGTAAGGCGGTAGAGTTTTCATACAAATCTAAGATAACTGGCAGAAAAGTACACCATTTCCCAGGCAGACTGGTTGGTTTCCCAACCAAAGTGGTTCAAATCATTTTTCGAGAAAAACCTCATATCACTTTTCCCAGGTATTTTCAAGCAAAGTGGTTCTGTCGTAAATCGTTCCCAAGCGAAGTGGTTTCACAATCATCGAGGATTTAGAGCCATTTTGAAGAAGTCAAAACGTAGCTTAGAATAGCCTTGTGAATGTATTTGAGGGGTCTATCGTGATCTACATGACGTGAGCATTCTAACTAAGCTTTTTGCGTCGAAAAATAGCAACTTTTGATTCTTACAGACCAAGCCCAAGACGTGGACTGGTCCGTTTTAGCCCCATATGGTTGGGCAAACCATTTTGCTTGGGAAATAAACAGCTGTAAACCACTTTGGTTGAAAAATTCCCCTTTTCGTCGCAGTATTATGACCTTCCCGCACCACTTTGGTTGAGAAAGCAACCATTTTGCCTGAGAAATGGTGTAGAGCCTCATGGGCGCCAATTCGAAATTATTTGGGTCCGCTTTTTGTTTAAAAACGACCCGTAAACGTAACTATTTAGGATTTCCCCTATATTTGTACAAAATGTCATTAATACGAGGTACAAATAGTACTACTAAAATGTCGCTCGAAGGTAGCTCTTCCTTGCACCCAATCAATCCGATGTCGCGTTGGTCATAGACAACCTGAAACGATGGCGGAGGAGCTTGACGCCGCGGCCTTTGTGGGCGCCCTGTACCGCAAGGTGCTGCTCTCTGTGAAGGCGTCCAACGCGGTTCCGTCCGAGGACGATGGCTTCCACTTCCACAGCCAGTTCAGCGCCGAGTTCGCGGCGCGCTCCAAGAGCTCCGGCGCCAAGGCCGAGGCGCTCGTGCGACTGCTGACCAAGCGCCGGTGCGGTGACGCGGACGGAGACGACGCCGGCGACAGCAGCGACGAGGACGAGGACGAGCAGCAGGAGCTCTTCGACGGCCCGGAGCCCAACGCGCGCGTCACGGACTACGCCGACATGCTGCTGGACGAGGCCACCAAGCACCTGGCGCGCTTCGTGCGCGGCGAGACGGAGCCTTCCGCCGACGCGTCGACGCTGCGACCGCTGGAGAACAAGCCGCACGTGTTCGAGACGAACAAGAAGGCCAGGAAGAACGAGAAGGAGGGGCAGGCCGAAAAGAAGATGGCTCGAGGAGCGCAGGACAAGCCCCAAGACAGATTCGACGAGAAGATCGACAACTCGGACGCGCCCTTCGTGTCCAAGCTGCGCGAGAAGGTGCACGCGCTCAATGACGGTGCTGCAGTTGTTGCAGACGACGAGGATGATGAGATGGCTCCGCGTCACCCGTACTTCCCGGAGATCAAGGCGCTCAAGTACGCGCCCTGGCAGTTGGAAGCGTCCGACGAACCGTACGAGATGGTGGAGCTGGAGAAGGCATCGTACCTGTGGGTGGACTCGGAAGAGAAACTGGTGCAGATGATGAAGTCGCTGACTGCCGTTGAGGCCCGCGTGATTGCGGTGGATCTGGAGCACCATAGCTACAGGTCGTACATGGGACTTACGTGTCTGATGCAGATCTCCACTGCGCGCGAGGACTTCCTGGTGGATACGCTGGCACTTCGTGGCAAGCTGCAAACGCTGAATCAGGTCTTCTGCGACCCGGCGAAGGTGAAGGTGCTGCACGGTAGTGACATGGATATCTTGTGGCTGCAGCGCGATCTTGGGCTGTACATTGTCAACCTGTTCGACACCGGTCGCGCGGCGCGTTTGCTGCAGTATCCGCGCTTCTCCCTGGCGTACATGCTCAAGCGCCATTGCAACATCGACGCTGACAAGCAGTACCAGCTGGCTGACTGGCGCACTCGCCCGCTCGACAAGAACATGGTCAAGTACGCGCGTGAGGATACGCGCTACCTTTTGTTCATCTACGACCGTCTGAAGAAGGAACTGCTTCAGGCTGGAGCGAAGTCTCGTGAAAGTTTTCTGTTTCAGACGCTTCAGAACTCCAGCAAGCTCTGTTTGCAGGTGTACGAGAAGCCCCAGCCGACGGAGGAGGACGCGTTGGCACTGGGCGAGAAGCTCAAGGGCACTGTGAACACCCAAGAACTCTCGGAGCTCCAGAAGCGTGTGATCGTAGCTCTGTACCTGTGGCGCGACCGCGTCGCTCGTCAAGAGGACGAGTCAGTGGCCTACGTGATGGCCAACCACGTGCTCATGAAGCTTACCAAGCACCTTCCAGTGCGCTCCGACGAGCTGTTCCGCGCGTGTCACCCTGTGCCGCTGCTTATCCGCAAGCATGCACTTCAGATCACCAAGATGATTGTCGCCGAAAAGGCAAAACTGTCAGAAGAAGAGTCGAAGGCAGCGCAGGCTCCTGAACCCGTCGCTGTCAAACCAACAAGGAAGACGTGGAATGAGGATGGAGAGGAGAAGATAGTGACTTCATCGAGTCTGAAGCGCGTAGGCCGTGCTGCGTACGCTCCTTGGAAGAGTGGTCAGCGCAAGGCTGGCATTGCTGGCGATGCTTCAACTGGATCGTCGTCGTCCAGCACTGCTCAGCCTATGGCTCTCGGAATTGACGTTGCCGAGACTATTATCAAGGAGCCGGAGACAGCAGCCGAGCTGCTCGAGAAAGTCAACGCCTTGGTGGCGAGCACAACGTTCACAATTGCAGAGAGCGAGCCTGTCGAGACACCAGTAACGCAGCCGGCGTCCTTGTCCGAGACGCCCGCCAAGGATGACAGCAGCGAGCAGGAGTCCAAGCCCAAGATCCCTCAGTCCATCTCGGAGGCCTATCACATGTCGAACCGGTCCAAGCGGCGGAAGATGGACACGTCGTCGGCTTCGCAGGTCAAGGACCGGGCGCAGGCGTTCATGCAGAAGGTCGACGGAGACGACAGCAAGGTCGACGAAGAAGACAAGAGTGGCTTCCAGAGCTTCGATTACGCTGCTGCCAGCTCTCAGGTCGCTGGAGCCAAGTTCGAGTTGAAGAAGAACGAGGACGAGGACCGACGTGGCGGTCGCGGCGGTCGTGGCGGTCGTGGCGGCAACAACAAGAAGCAGGCCGGCTACAACCCGTTCGTGGGCATGAGTGGCAAGGGCAAGAAGGGCAAGAGCTCGGACGAGCCGCAAGCTGGCCGGAAGCCTGTCAAAAAGATGCACCACATGCCGAGAAGCGCCACGTTCAGATAGATTGATGATTCACCCTAGGTATATAGGCTTCCTCTCCGGCCATGCTACATGTTAGATAGACCCAGCCAGCAGGAAAAATATACACAATCCTTACCACAAGGTCCACCATCAACGTCACTTTCCACCAACATTGTAAAATTACTGGTCGCTGATTGGTCAAGTCGCACATGGCAGTTTTTTCTTAGCGTTATATTATACCTCTACATTTTAGCGCCATTTTGGAAAAACGGACCAAGCAGCCGACGCGATCTCCGATGGCTCGTAGCGCCGCGCTCAAGCGCGTCTCGCCCGCGTCGCTCAAGTCGGAGGAAGGGGAAGGCGCCGCCAAGAAGCTCAAGGCCTCGGTGGACGTGGCCAGCGAGGCGGCGGCCACGGTGCGCAGCGGGCCGCTCGAGGCGGAGGACAGCGAGTCGGACCCCATCGACGAAGGGGACGACGCTCAGACGTCCACTTCAGCAACCAGTAACGGCATCAAGCATGACGAAGAGGACGGAGAAGAAGGTGGGGCTAGTAGCGCTACTCTTCAGCTTTATTTTCATGCGATTTTGAGCGTCGTTGGGCCAGGCATCGCTGACTTGTTGAATTTTTACTTACCTGCCTCGTAGACGTCGAAATGGCTGATGCGGAGGCCTCGGCGGGCCAGGAGACAGCAAAAATTAAGGCAGACAGCAAAAAGAACGGGGCAGCCAAGTCTGCGTCTAAGAAGCCAGTCAAGAAGCGCGCAAAGCCTGCTGCGAAGTCTGCTGCCAATGGGAAGACGAAAGCTGCCGCCAAGCCCAAGGCAAAGGCTAAGCCTGCTGCGAAGCCGAAGGCTAAGGCTGCACCGAAGCGGAAGACCCGGACGCAGGAGGATAAGGTGAAGGAGAACGCGCCGCTTGCTGCGCCATTCTTCGTGGAGACGGGGGCCGAGTGGAACAACACGAACATCGACTTTGACGAGCTAAGTGTGCTGAGGTCGAGGTGGGAGCTGCCTGCAGCTTGCCATATTTTGTGGCTGCTGCAGAGTCCGCTGACACTGCGCTTCTCCAACACGCTGCTTGAGTACGAGGCAGCGCTGCTGAAGCCGGAGGATAGTCCCGTGCTGGAAGATGTGTTCACGAAGCTGCTGCTGAAGAAGAGTGAGCGCGAGTGCTTGAGCGCTGGCATTGGACTCAAGTACGAGTGGTGGAACAAACAGCTGCGCATTTACTACCTGGACATGTACGACAAGTGGTACGCACTGCTGCGCAAGGCAGGAGAACGGCTACCTGAAACATTTTCGCAAGATGAGGACGATGACGATGACAGCAGCGCGGACGACAAGACCGACGAGCAGGTGGATGTGGAGCTGACTGACGACGAGTGGCTGACGCTTGATATCCTGAAGGCGCGCCTTGAAACGCTTGGCATGGTTTGCCCGCTTAAGGTTAGTGCTTTGTCGATTATAATCGCAGGTTTTGACGGTGATGTGATTCTAACATTAAATGTTTGCATGGATACATCTGCAGCACCAGTCATTCGCGGACTTGTCGATCGAGTTGCGATGCAAAATTCTGTTGAACTTGTGCGAGGCCGTGGTAGATGATCCGGCCAACACGTACGTATTTCTCACGATCAGACGAATCTTATGACTGAGTGAGTGCTCACTCGCTGTGACTGTTTTGTGACGGGGAACGAACAGTGAATATATGCGCCAAATGGAAGACGATGACCTGCGCGTGGAGCCGCTTGGCAACGACCGCGCCGGCAACATGTATTACTTTTTCCCGCAGTTCTACGAGGAGCGGCGGCTGTACAGATTGGACCCGGAGACCCAGCAGTGGGCGCTCTGGGCAAAGGGGGATGACGCCTTCCGCTCTATGCTGAAGGCTATGAAGGAAGTCCGTGGTCGTAAGATTCGCGGTGAACAGGAGCTTCTGGATCATCTGGAGGTCATTGTAGAGCAGATTGAGGATGAAGACGAAGCGCGCGCCCGGCAGCTGGAGAAGGCCAACCGCCTAGCGATTCTCGAGGCGATCCCTCGCAAGCGTTCGCTGCGTCTGCAGGTGAAGCAGCTGGAGAAGATGGAGAGGCACCAGGAGGAGCTGGAGCATCAGAAGGAGCTGTCCATGGAGGAGATCGCAGAAATGAAGCGCGCCGAGTTGCTGCGCAAGGTGGAGAAGGAGGCTGAAAAGGAGGCTCGTGACGCCGAGCGGGAGGCTCGCCGCTTACACCGCGAGCAGGTGGAGCGGGAAGAGGCCCAGGCTGAGCGCGAGCGACGCCGTCTTCGCCGTATTGAGAAGGAAAAGGAGGATGAAAGGCTGGAGCAGTTAGCCCAGGAAGAGCGCAGGAAGCAGGAAGAGGCGCGCGAGCTCCGCGCCCGTCAACGGCACGGGGTAGAGGAGTGGCAGCAAGTAGAGCAGGATGACCAGGGCGCGGTGGAAGATGCAACACCGACAAGCACCGCAGCAGAGGCTCCTGAGCAGGTTCCAGCGCCCGCAAAAACGCCATGATGCGGCATTGGTACTGCCGCTGAGCCAGAGCAAACGATGCATTCCTTGGGTAAACAAACAAATAGAGAGATCGACCGGGTGCGGCGAGCATGTGACAAAAGTTTTCGGCATCAAACTTTGCCGTGTTCAACGTGAAGTTCACGTTGAACCGCGATATCTGTACGTAAAGTGAGTGAAACGCAAGCGTAGAGTTGTCGTTTTTGCCTTAGAACCGAAAAGCGCGAAGTAATTCAGCCATGCCGTGTCCATGCTCGACGTCAAGCACTTTTCCCTTGAAAGCCATGATCTCACAGCCAATGGACCAACTTGGTAGGGGCTCATGCACGTTAAAGCGCTTTCGTGGACGGGCACATCCGATGCCATTCCTTCCGATTTGGGCTCGCTGCGTCTTTGCCGGCATGTTGACGCCCGGAAATCCGGGACCCCTGCATTGCCATGCACAACTTGTGCTTGCACAAAGCCGGCGAGGCCACCGACCAGCTCGGCTTCGCAGATGCAGAGCTGGTCGCCGGGTTCACGGAGACCAGTGGTGCCGTCCGCGATCTGTGATTCGCGCCGTGAATTGTACCCATCGCATAGCGTGGCGTCGAAAAACTTTGGCAAAGCTGGGGCGGCGGTGTTACATGTACAGCGTGACAGCGGACGGCGCGAAGTTCTTGCTGCCAGTGGAGACTCTGGATCTGCGTGGCCGTCGAATGTCCAACGCGCCGCGCGGTATACAGCGCGGTGCCCGCCACATCAGCAGCTTCACTGGCTGCGTAGTTTGTGGCGCTGCACGGTGTCCGAAAGCCTTCAGAAGCGGTGACAAAAAGCTGGAAGTGAGCAACACTTGTGCTTGGACCTCGCCGCGTCTTCTGACCCTGCCGGCGGCGACTATGGAGGCCATATGCCGCCGCCGCAACTTCCACTTGAGGCTGACTGCAAGTCCATGTTGCCACTGTCCGGCGCGAACCTGCGCGCGCCGCGACAAGAAGCAACGGCGGAGTTTACCAGGCCCCTGGATAGGCCTCTATGGACTCTTTACCAACACTTCGAGCCGAGATTCCTGCGACAAATGCACAGGGAAAAAACAGCAGATGGTGGACATCCATAGAATTGTGCCCCTTGAAGTACACCTCGCCATACTGAACCCAAGTCGACGCGCGCAATCGGCGCGGCACAACCCTCAGTTGGCAAAAAACCACGGACATCACCAGTTGATACCCAGAGGGATACCTACCTGCACATACATGCGCACGCAGCAGCAACAGTACGAGCCGCTGGGCACGCTCGCGCCCGCGCTCTTCGGCAGCGTGCAAAAGTGGCTCCACGTGCCGTCGGGCGAGTGCGTGGCCGTCAAGCGCATGGAGCTGCGCTTCGCCGCGCGCAAGCGCTGCAAGAGCTCGGAGCGCGCCGTGGACGAGGACGTCTTCGCCGAGATCAAGATCAATCTGCGCGTGCAGGCGCTGGGCGGCCACGCGCACGTGCTGCCGCTGCGCGACTGCATCATGGAGGACGAGGCCGTGCTGCTCGTGCTCCAGTTCTGCGAGCGCGGCGAGCTGCTCGACCTGCTCAACCGGCAGCGCGCCGCCGGGCTCGAGGTCGACGCGCCGCGCTACTTTGCGCAGATCCTGCGCGGCGCCGAGTTCCTCCACGCCAACGACATCGCGCACCGCGACCTGTCGCTCGAGAACGTGCTGGTGGACGCGTGCGACTGCTGCCAGATCACGGACTTCGGCTTGGCCACGCAGTGCTCCGGCACGATGGCAGTCAAGCCGGTGGGCAAGCTTAGGTACATGGCGCCCGAGGTGAGTGCGGCGCTGGTGTATGACGACGCGCTGTCGAGCGAGTACGACCCCAAGGCCGCCGACGTGTGGGCGCTGGGCGTCATGCTGTACGCCATGGTGGCGGCGCGGTATCCGTTCAAGGAGCCGCTTCGTCGGGACAACCGGTTCAGGTTGCTGGAGGACTTTGGAGTGGATTATTTGCTGGAGAAGGACGACGTGGACGTGAGTGGGAAGGAGGACGTCGTGGACTTGCTGAGGAAGCTGCTGGTCGTGGACCCTGCCAAGCGCGCGACGCTGGCACAGCTCGAGTCCCATCCGGCGCTGCCCGCTGAGGTTGAGAGTGAGACGCGACCGGCGAGTCTGACGGAGAAGCCTGAGGACTCGCAGCCTCTGCTCTCTGTAGCTGCTAGCAATGAAGACGGGCGGCGACGCGCGCGGTCGCTTGGACGCTTCACCGGGAAGGGCTCACTGGCGTCGGTGGGCCCCAACACTCCGCTATCCAACGCTGAGAAGAGCAAGCAAGCTCTTGCTGCGTCGGCACTGAAATCAACAGCAGTGGCTGCAGCTCCTGCCACGGGGTCCAAGAACCCTCGCAGGTTGCTGCGGAAGTGCTTCGCCACTGCGCGAGCGTAAGGCACGCGTCATGCTGTATCTTATCTATTAGGCGGTCCCCCGCTTCACCTACCTACATTATCAATCGACATGTTGTAGACTTCGCTTCAACGTGAAGCAGCAGTTCAAGCAGATGCTGCGGAGTTGCCACGGCGGAGGTAAACCTCTTCAGACCCGTTGTCAACTTGTATAAACAGTTATCAACACCTCCTGTACACTATGCTACGGCTCCCTCGGTTTCCTCCTCAACTGGTGCTTCCTGGGCAGGAGATTCCTCGACAGGTGACTCCACTGCGAATTGCTCAGCAAATGAAGCGCTGACAGCGGGCCACAGGTCGTCGCACTTGTCCTTGTCCTTGTCGTGCGCACTCGCCAACGCTTGCTGCAGTGTACTGATCCAGTGCTCGAGAGAGGGCACAAGGTTAGCAGCTTGTGCCACCGAAGACTTAACTGCCTTGACGCGGACGCTTTCGAGCAGATGATGGAGCTGGCCAGCTTGGTAGAACACAGTACGCTCGAAGAACTCCATGTCCCGGAGTGTATCGCACAAGGTGTCCACGTACGCGTCGACGAAGTCTGCAGCAGGGCCGTTTTGCAGCCAGTGAGAACGTTCGAGAGCAAACGCAATGCTCTCGGCCGACAACAGGGACACGAGGGAGAAGAGGTTGCGCCAGCGACCCAGCAACTCCTTCTGAGGCGAGAGTTTGTCAGCCGCATCCGCGTTCTTGCCTCGTCGACGCTTCTTTCCGTTTGTCGTCTGCTCTGTCGCCTCCACTTCCTTGCGGAAATCAAGCATCAATCGAGCAAGCCAGGCGAAAAGTGAGCCCAAGGCCTTGGGAGGCGTGAAAAATTCGGAAGGCTGCAGGTCACGAAGATCATCCTTCTTGCTCAAGCGCTTCGCAGACTTCTCCACCAGCAACGACGTTTCATCGTTCACGTGCGCGCACTCTGCCATGACCGACACCTTCGCGTACACTTCGAGCAATCGGATAAAGCCGAACGAGTTAGCTTTGTAGGCTTCTTCAACTTCGTCGGCGTCGAACTCGAGAATTGGTCCCATGCACGACTCCAGCACTTCAACTATGGGCTGCAGCAACGTTTTAAGATCCTTGACAGACGGCAGCTGAGCAATGTACTCGACCGTGCCAAGAACCACGACGGGGTTCAGCGCCACTTCGGCCTTCTTGGATTTCTTCGTCTTAGTACCGGTCGCCTCAGCACGGAACTTGTTCTTCCTCCATTGCTCAAGGAACTTGGCTAGTTTCGATGTCAAGAACGGAAGCTGCTCCCACTGCACCATACAGTCAACCATCGACTCGAGGAGCTTCCTGCTGGAGTTTTCGTTCATCTTCATAAGGTTTTCCACCAGACGCTCCAGTAAGACACCTTCGGACAGGTCTCCCAGATAGCCGATGATCCTCCAGATTGAACTGAGTGCCTCCTGGTCATAGGGTCGGTCTTCGCTGTACGCGAGAAGAAGTGCTTCGAGCGACTCGACGTTTAGCTGTTCACGCAGGAAGGTCTTGCACTCGGAGTAGCGGGCGTCGCCCATCACCTTCACGTGCACACTCTTGAGAAGATTACCGATGACTTCCAACACGACAACCTGGCCAACCACGCTAAAGCTTTCCTCGTCTTCGTCATCTTCATCTTCGTCATCCTCCTCAGACTCTTGAGGTTGCTTTAATCGCCGAGACACGAAGTTTAGGGAGCAACGAAGGAGGAGAGCGGCCAATTTGCACACCGATCCGACAGAGACGTGCTCCACGACGTTCGCATAGAAAACCATAGCAGCTTCTGGGTTCTTCCTCACCAGAGCGAGACATCGGGCCACCTGCGATGAGCCACCCACACTCTGCGGGAAGTATGAGTTCAAGAACAAAGAGACAAGCTGCTTCCGTGCCAGAGGACTATCCCGGTCCATGACCATGCGGCACAGGAGGTCATTCACCGGAACAACATCGTAGAAGTGCAAGTTTCGAATGCTCTTGATTCGGACCAACAGAGCGCCGAACTCAGCACGGACCTTCTCGTTTCGATCATTGATCAGTGGCGCTAGCTGTAAAATACGACCACAATGTTATCAGTATTCTCAATCCATGCCAGTCCAAACTATCTTGCGTACCATGGGGAGCAGCGGCTTCAGAATTGAGTGCGAGTTGTGGTTGTCCAAAATGAATTGGATGCCTTCAAATACTGCCGCACGGACGCTGCTCGATGAGACGTCATTCACTAGATCCACCACAAGCTTTGATATGAAACACCGAATAGTCTCCGCGGGCAGCAATTCCCAGTACACGGAAAGAACTTTAGAGACGCCTTCAATTGCTGCAACTCGCAGTGCAGGGTGAGAATCGCCCAGCAGCTCTTCGAACGTGTCAAACTGTTTCTGGAGTGTCAGGTCCATTGTTTCGTTGTTGAAAGCTGGGTCACGGAGCGGGAAGTTGTCGAAGAGCAAGATAGTCGCTTGCCGCCGGACAGAATCATTGGGGGCCTTCACGCCTCGCCACAAGATCGGGCTGCAAATACGGTAAAGCATCTCGTCGACACCGGGGTGGCGCTTGTTCTCGAAGAAGATTTGCAGCACTGTGCGAACTGCGTTGAAGAGGGAAGTGCTGCCTGCGTGAACTGCGTCGCGAACGTATCGCTGAATGCACTCTTCTTCAATTTTCGATCGAAACGCGCCCTTACTGCCAACCCAAGCCTGCATACATCACATCAACAACACTCACTATAAGCACCCTTCCGCTATACTCAAAAGCTACGGGAAACCCCTACCTTGAAGTAGATGTTGCCGTACTTGACAAGGATCGAGTTGCGTTGGTTCGGGATCTGGTTCCTGATCGTCTCGTTGATATCCTCCATAAACGGCACGTGCAACGTGAACAAGAAGCTCAGAAACGGCACCGCATCCGGCGACCGGAAGAACGTCGGCTGGATGAAGCAGCGCAGCAGGATATCTCTCAGCAGGCCGCTGCTATCATCATCAAAGTCCAGCAGCGGCAAGGCGTCCTTAATCGCGAACAACCTTCGGATCGGGTGCTTCTTGGAGTTGAAGCTCCCCGCAGGCGTAGATTCATAACTACGCACAATCAAGTACGGCAGCAGCTGCGTCACGAGCGAGTGCGCTCGTCCGCAGAAGTTGTGCTTCCAGCAGGCTTCACACAGCAGCGAGATGGCTTCCTGCGTGGCCAGCACCTGCATCGCATCCCCTCTGAGTCTCAGCAGCTGGTCGTGCAGCTCCTGCGCCACGGCAAAGAGCTCCTCCTTGTCAATAGACGCGCCCTTGGTCTCCACCAGCAGCGCCGTGAACTCGGCGATGCACTCGCGCGCCTTGAGGCGGCTGGCCTCCGTCTCCTCGTCCTCGCTGGGGGCCACGAGCTGCACGGCCGCGGGGTAGAAGGCGTCCAGCTGCTCGCGGGGCAGCGCGCGCACCTCCTCGTCCACCTGCGCCTTGTCCGGCTGCGTCTGGGCTGACGCCGCGGCTTCGGCGTCCTCCCCATCCTCTGCGTCGGCCTCCTCGTCGTCGCTCTTCTTGCTCTTGGCCTTGGCCTTGCGCTTGCTGTTGCCAGGCTTGCGGCGCTGCACCTTGCGCTGCGCCATCACCTGCGCCAGCGTCGCCGCGTCCCCATCCTTGAGCGCCGCGATGGCCTCCGCCACCGACGTGGATGTAGCCATGTCGATCGGAGTGCGGAATTCAAAAACTGGCGGAAAAAATGTTTTTTTTATCGACCAGATGTCAGTCATGCGAGGGATATAATAATTTCAGAAGTGTGACTTTTGGAGAGATCCACACAAATTTCCCCCCACAAGACACTCAACGATCGTTTGGACGCCAGCAAGCACAGCGCCCGAGTAGCTACAGTACACTAGAGTTGATCATGGAGACGGCGGACCTCGTGGTGGACGGCACGCGCACGTCGGGCAAGGACGTGCGCGAGCAGAACGTGACGGCGGCCGTGGCCATCGCCAACATCGTCAAGAGCTCGCTGGGCCCCGTGGGCCTCGACAAGATGCTCGTGGACGACATCGGCGACGTGACCATCACGAACGACGGCGCCACGATCCTCAAGCAGCTGGAGGTGGAGCAGCCCGCCGGCAAGGTGCTCGTGGAGCTGGCCGGTCTGCAGGACCAGGAGGTGGGCGACGGCACCACGTCCGTCGTCATCATCGCCGCGGAGCTCCTCAAGGTGCGACTCGAACGCCCCTTAAGATACTTTTTTCTATTTCGTTGCCTATCTCTTTAGGCAATTAGTGGGGTGATGTGTAGCATTGGTGACGAGGTTGTTATGGTGCTGGTGGTTGCAGCGCGCCAACGAGCTGGTGAAGAACAAGATCCACCCGACGTCCATCATCGCCGGGTACCGTCTCGCCATGCGTGAGGCAGTCAAGTACATTAAGGAGAACCTGAGCGTTCCTGTGGACTCGCTGGGCCGCGAGAGCCTCGTGAACGCTGCTAAGACGAGCATGTCGTCGAAGATTCTGGGCCCCGAGAGCGACTTTTTCGCCAACTTGGTCGTGGACGCCGTGTCGTCGGTCAAGGTGGAGCAGGAGGGCGCCAAGGGCAAGATTAAGGCCAAGTACCCCGTGAGCTCTATTAATGTGCTGAAGGCGCACGGTAAGAGCGCTCTGGAGACGCAGCTGGTGGACGGCTTCGCTCTCAACTGCACCAAGGCGTCGCAGCAGATGCCGACCTACATTAAGAACGCCAAGATCGCGCTGCTGGACTTTGACCTGCAGCGTCACCGTATGCAAATGGGCGTGCAGGTTGTCGTGAACGACCCGAACGAGCTGGAGCTCATCCGTCAGCGCGAGATCGACATTACCAAGGAGAAGATCCAGAAGATGATCGACGCTGGTGCTAACGTGATTCTGACTACCAAGGGCATTGATGACCTGTGCCTCAAGTACTTTGTGGAGAACGGCTGCATGGGTGTGCGTCGCTGCAAGAAGGAGGACCTGCAGCGCATTGCCAAGGCCACGGGCGGACAGGTTGTCCTGACCCTTGCCGACATGGAGGGCGAGGAGACGTTCGACCCCTCGACGCTGGGTGAGGCACAGGAAGTTAGCGAGGAGCGTGTCGGTGACGGCGAGCTCATCTACATCAAGGGCTGCAAGACGCGCCAGGCTACTACTGTGGTGCTGCGTGGCGCCAACGAGAACATGCTTGACGAGATGGACCGCTCGATGCACGACTCGTTCATGGTAGTGAAGCGTATGCTTGAGAGCAACCAGCTTGTCGCTGGCGGCGGCGCCGTGGAAGCGGCTCTGTCTATCTACCTGGAGAACTTCGCCACGACGCTCGGCTCCCGGGAGCAGCTGGCCATCGCCGAGTTTGCCGACGCGCTGCTGGTCATTCCGAAGACCCTGGCCGTGAACGCCGCCAAGGACGCCTCGGAGCTCGTTGCGCGCCTGCGCGCGCACCACAACACATCGCAGAGCGACGCCGCCGAGAGCGAGCTGCGCTTCTCGGGCCTGGACCTGCTGGAGGGCAACGTGCGCAACAACCTCGAGGCTGGTGTCGTGGAGCCTGCTATCAGCAAGATCAAGAGCCTGCGTTTTGCCACGGAGGCGGCCATCACCATTCTGCGGATTGACGATCTGATCAAGCTCAACCCTAAGGAGGAGCCCCAGCAGTAGGCTGCCAGCTTCCCTTTGACATTGGGTCAGGTGGTAATAGCGTCTATAATAACACTCATTTCCCACTATCTGTCTCTGGTCTTGTAGTTATCTACTCGTTGCCTTCCGCTTGTTCAGCTGCCTCGGCCTCTCGTCGGTGCTTGAGCTCCACTGCGGCCAGGCGATCCTCGTCCGTGAGCGGTTCACCGTCAAGTTGCGTAAGCGTTGGCGCCAGCAAGATGATCGACGAACGGTAGTCGTCGACTTGAGTCACGGGGTTACCGGTCAAGTTCAAGCTTGTCAGCTTGGTGAGCTGCTCAAGCGGCTGCACACCCTCAAGCGCCTCAATCTTTGAAGATCAAAAGTTTTGTTAGATCGTGCTAATTCTCCCCGACGAAAACTAACCAAAGGCATCGTACATTGTTTTGCTGGAGCGAAAGCGTGCGCAATGCAGGCAGATTCTCAATCCCACTCAGCGTCGTGAGTTTGTTCTCATCCTGATGGCCGAAAAAAATCGTGTTAGCCGATTCAGAACAGTTCATGACGTCGATGAACCGGAAATTGACGTACCAATGACAGAGTCTCCAGCTTGGCGGATGCGTCGTTGGCGAGGCTGCTGAGATCTTCAATGCCATTACGAGATGCCTCCAGAGTGGTGAGTGACGGCAAACTCTGAAGACCAACAAGATTGGCCAACGCATTGCCTGCAGGGGGCGAAATGTTAGTGTGGAGCGTGGGATTCCTCGAATCGACCCTTCCGAGTAGATAGATACCATTAATCTTGAGCACTGAGAGCGAGCCAGACTCAAGCCCTTGCAACGCAGCGATTTGATTCCCGGAGATATCTAGCGACTGCAATTGAGCAAAGTCGGCAATACAGTTGCTAGCAGCAAGAGTGGGCGAAACCTTACGGTACCTGCAAATACTGCTGTGGAAGTGATGGCGGCGCAGCAAGAGCGTTTTCAGACAAATCAACGCAGACGAGATACTGGAGCTCTGACAGTGGTGAGGCGTCGGCGATGTGGTTCTTGGATACGTTCACATACAGCAAATGCGAGTAGCCCTTGATCGGCTCGAGGCTCACCAGGCCTTTTTCCTGCATATCCAAACGAAAACACTTAGCATCAACGTAGTACGAACAGAGCAAATGTGCTGACGACGTACAATGACGTCGAGAGCTGTGAATGCGTAGCCCGAGTCGTCTACCACGCGGTCCACGCGGGACAAACCCTCCATGTACACTTGCAGATTGACTTCTTCCGCCATGCTTGATGCTGAAGGATCTTTTGCGGTTCTTACTGTGTCCGTCCGAAGGAGCTCTTCGATGCTACAAGTCAAAGACAAATTAGGCTGGTAACGGCTTAAACTGTCCAAACCGCAAGTCGAAATCGAACCGCTGGAGAATCACTTGACAATGACATCGAGTCCACGGCGTCAATCGTCTACGCTGCTGCCCGCAGAGGCCTACTCAACTGACGACGACTCGGACTGTAAGCCTTCAGTTCTCTTTCCCCTCATGCCTGATCCTGGAGTTGACAGTTAGCCGAGTAGACTTGCCATGGCAGATCGCTTTCCGCGTGAAGTTCCCCAGCGATAAACTGGGGCTGCGATTCCATCCCGCTCAATTTCCAGACACGGGCAATGGCATCTACAACATTCGTCTATTGGAGCTCACCAAGGCAAGCAAATTATTCTGGAGAGTTTGAGTCACTATACTGATAAAACTCTTTCGAAACAGGGACCCGATGGCAATGGACCAGCTTACAATTACAACAAGCATCTCCAGCCTGGGCAACAACACTTGTAAGTATGCGTCAATTATGCTTTGCTAAGCACGACTTACCGGCGAACGTCGTACGTAGAACGCTGCGTCCGGGACTGTACTTGACCCACATCAACGAAACTCATCTGGTTGAAGTGCCTTGCGACGAGATTATCGAGAGGTGAGTAGCCCCCAGCAGAGCCACCCCAATTCAACAACTGATAACATGTTGCTGTGCAGTCTGCAGACTACACCTCGACCCATTACCTTGAGGTTTGTCGACGTAGAGGCAGGTGTCGTTACGCGCCACGAGCTGCGCGACTCGTTGCAGTTGGATGGTGAGGCGCTATCTGCTGCTATCGCGCAAATGCCGAGCTCCGCGCAGTCCCCTCCACGACGTCAGAGTTCTTCGCCCAGGAAGCTTGGAGCGGGTCAGAACGCCATGTACAAGATTATCCTCCTGGGAACCGCAGGCGTGGGCAAGAGCAGCTTGTTGGCAGTGACAGCGAATGGTGACGACGCATACATGGTACGGCTTGCTCCAGCGTCCTCAAGATATAGTTACTTGATACTTATACTGTTTCATGACTGCAGGACCGCCGTCCACCGACATTGGAGGCCGAGTTCGGCAGCATCGAGTTCCCCGACCCGAGCAACCCCAGCACGCTCATGCAAGCTCGAATCTGGGATACTGCCGGCCAAGAGCGCTTCCGAGCCATCACCCGCTCTCACTACCGCCGTGCCGACGGTGCTCTGCTGGTCTACGACGTGAGTGACGCCACTAGTTTCGACCGTCTCGGCGAGTGGCTCCACACCTTGCGCGAGACTGCAGGTGACTCTCTCACTGCCTCAATGGTGCTCGAGAACAAAGTGGACAAGCTGCCCTTACCTCCCAAACCTTCCAGACCCAAAGGGTACGCGCAGCCCGACCAAGTCCAGGCCTTCTGTGAGGCGGAGAACCTCTTGTTCACTCGCACGACGGCGAAGCTCAACGCTCGAGCGTTGGAATGGGACGGCGCGACGAAAGTCTTCGACGCAGTGAAGCAGCTCGTGCTCAGCATCCACAAGGCCCGCACTCGAGTGCTCTCCCCCTCCAAGACGCAAGACGCCGGCACAAGCACAGACCCGGTTGTGCTGGCCAACACCATGACCAAAAAGACCAAAACGACGGGAGACTGCGGAGGCTGCAGCTCGCACTAGGTGGCAACACTACGTTTATTTTACTTTTTAATACAGTGTAGTAGTAGTAGGTAATATACATCCATACAGACACACAGCTTGGCTCTCTATCGAGATACTGAAATGTTTGGTCGCACATACTTCTTACACCCAATGCTACGAGATAAAAACCCTGAAGGACCAGCACAAAGTTTGCTCGCTCTAGGACGGTCGTATCGTGCGCGACGACAAATAAGTCGACTGCCTCTCGGGGGCTCAAGGAGGCGGCGGCACTTCTTGCGGAGGGGCGAGGCCCCCCTCCGTCCAGCTATACACACAGATGCCTAGACAGATACACACAGATACGCAGAGCTGCTCTCGCCAATGGCGCTCCGCCACCGAGTAAAACTGCGAGTCCGATGTGAATCCTTGGCCCCGGCGCTGCAAGGGGTCCACTACTAAGGTAGACCACGTGCCCAAGTCCACATACAAAAACCAAGGCAAAACCTTCTATTTGCGAGGTTTCGTGTGGCCCACACCACGGCGCTTACGCTTGCGGCGAGTCTGGTTACAGGTTACGTCCAAGGTCGGCACCGCAGGCGTCATCGACTCAGCATAGTGAGCGCAAGTCAGAGCGAGGACTCAATCCCAGTCCCGCCGCCTCCCACCCAGAGATAGCCATGCGTCGCGCTCCGCCGCCAGCGCTGCTGCTGCTGCTGCTTGTGTTGCTGCTGGCGTCCGTGGCCCGCGCGCTCGTGATCGAGAGGTACGCGCGCGTTGTCATCGAGCTTCGTCTCTTGTTTGTTAGAGCAAGTTGACATTCTATTGTGCTCCCTTCTTGGGTTCGGTTCTTGTTTGTTTTCGACAGTCCGAGCTGCCGGTTAATGACGCATGTGTACGTAATCCTGTCGATAATGTCGAAAACGCGGAGATCCTGACGTGGTTGTGCTTGTCGAAAACAATTTACAGCTCCGGCGAGTTCACCAACCTGACGCTGCTCGAGACCGGCGGACTGCAGAACTACGAGGTCGTGCCAGGTAAGGATATTACTATTATTAATTTTTATTTATTTATTATGCGTGGTTACTTACTGACTTGATTCGGTGTCGTTGTGGCAGTGTCGCCGTTCACGGCCTGCGAGCCGCTGCGCGGCCAGGACCTGACGGGCAAAGTGGCGCTCGTGCTGCGCGGCGACTGCAACTTTGTGCAGAAAGTGTGGCACGCCCAGCGCGCCCACGCGGCCGCGGTCGTGGTGATGGACAACGAGCTGCGGCACGAGTAGGACCTCTTTATCTCTATCTCTGGCTATTGGGACCTCCAACTGACTGGGGTTTTGTTGCTTGTTTGTTGCTGTTGCTGGTGCTGCAGACCGCCGTACCACATTATCATGATGAAGGACGACATGGCGAGCAGTGTCCGCATCCCGTCGGTCTTCATCTCGTACGCGTCGGGCGAGTGGTTGCTGGACGCCATGAGTCGCGCCCTTCCGTGGGACCCGCTCCGGATAACTATTGATTCGAACGGAGAACGTGAGCTGGCTGTTGCTGTTGCTATTTGTATAGAGGTGGGGTGGAATATTGACTGGCGAGGGTTTTGCATTGTCTTGTTGCTGTTATTGCAGTCCCGCAGGCGTCGACGTCGAACCGCCTGTTGAAGCGCGTGATCGCCTACGTGTTCTTGATTTCGATCGTCTGCGCGTTCTCGAGCGGCTTGAGCTTGCTGTCGTCGGTGATTTTCCAGTGGGTTGGCAAGACGCGGCGAACTCATGCGGCCAAGCAGCTGCCCATCGCGAAGTACGAGCGGAATATGCAGCGGACATTGCTGGAGCACTTACTGGAGGACCAGTTCGTACTTGATCGCATCCCTCTCGCGGAGATTGAGAAGGTCTCCAGCGCTGATACCCACGTTCACGCAGAGAGCGAACATGTCGTTGCCTCCGCAGCAACTCCGCTTGAGACGGGACATTCGATGTCGAATGGCGATGATGATGTTTATCTTGAGAAGGAGGAGGCCAAAGCGCAAGAAGAAGAGGAGCTGGTGAAGCACGAAACGACCTATCGGAGTTCGGTGGACTCGGAGTCGGAGACGTGCCCCATTTGTCTGGACGACTTCGAAGATGGAGCCGATGTCAAGGTTCTGCCGTGCCAGCACTTCTTCCACGTCGACTGCATCAACCCATGGCTCGAGGGCCGAAGTGGACGCTGCCCACTCTGCAAGCAAGACGCTATTGCCACGAGTACGTGAATGACCCAGTATTGCTGTGTACTGTACTCGAGACTAATGATTTGTGCTCTTTCCTCCTACAGTTGCCGGAGCGTCCAAGAAGATCTTTGGCTTCCCGCTGCCGCGAATTGATCAAATTCTCCAGCAAGAGCATGTACGTCTCCTTTTGCAGTATGAATGATTGCAAAAGTGGGAAAAATTCTAACGCTGTACTATGCTGTACGCAGTGGGTCCACACGTTCTTCCTCATGCTCCCTGCAAGCTTCATCAGCTGCCTAATCGTCAACGCCGCCGCCTCCATCATCGGCACCATGTGGCCGTAAGAAGTCCCCCGTTGCTTCGATGCTTCCCTCGACATCCTCGTTTCTATATCCACTGAGAGGGAAGCACGTAATGCGGGCTCGTAGTATTTATCGCAAAATTTCCAGCGGTGGCCTCTCTAATGTATTACTCTGTAAATGCACTCACGCCTAATGATTTTGTGTGTTCCTACTGCTCGTTTTACAGCTCAGCATGCTTATCCTTGTGGTGTTTTCTCCACCAGGCACGAAGGCCTTTGTCCTCTGACGATTTCGGCTTTGCAGGCTTCTTCTTCTTCTTCATAAACTGCCACCATCTTCTCTTCGTCGGTTCAGGCTCGGGAAGCGGGCGTTGAGACCAGCGACGCAGCTTGATGAAGGCGTACCGAAGCTGTGTGCGCGTCGAAGTCATTTGGTGGAACTGGTTAACGCCCAGCAGTTTGAAGATGGAGAGCGCGGCCTTGTACGGGTCGGCGTACGACGCCACCAGAGACTCTTCGTCCTGCAGATCCGTGGGCTTCGGGCCGATAACTGACCGCTTGGATCCAGGCGCCTTAGGAACGGAGATCGACTCGTATTCCGTGGCTGTAGTGTCACCTCTCAAGTCAGCGAACCCTTGCTGGACGAGCGCCAACGCGTCGCTGCCCGACATTCGAGAGAAGTACACGGCTCCAGTGGCCCCAAGCAGAACGATCATCGCCACGAAGTGTTTCCGACCCGCAACTTGCAGGAACACGAAGGACATGACGACTTCAAACACCACCAGGCACACGAATGTGAGTTCCAGCGCAGTGCTGGCGATGTGGCCGCGTCCAGGGCTGTACGGCAACACATACAGCATGTTGTACTTGGTGGTGCCGAACTTCAGGTAGAAGTAGAGCGCGCCGAACGGTGTGATGATTGGGGTGATCACAGTCCCCAGCAAGATGACGAGGAAGACACTCAGCACCAGCGCGTACTCGTGGCCGTACGAGAACGCATTGGGTCGCAGAGCCTTTTGCACTTCCAGAGACGTGATGGAGCGCGCGTGGACCCACGGTTGCAAGGCCATGGTATCAGCACAGCGAGTGATGTCGACAATCGAGCCAAGGAACGCACGCTGGCACACGTACGAGATGAAGAACGTCCCGGATACTTTGTAGAGGAACGACTCGATGTACGAGCGTCCACCAGTCTTCTCGATGTCCGACAGTGCCAAGTACACGGCTGTGACTCCGATACTGGGCAAGATGACAGAACTCTGTTAAATCGAGAGAGAATAGAGAGTTAGTCGCTACCAAAGTTAATGAATTATCAGCATAAAGCCTTCACGTACCACGACCAGATAGGTGAAACCTTTAACGAGGAAGCTTTTAACACGGCGCGAGTGACTGAAGGACGGTTCGGACATTGTCAAATGGAACAGGAACGCCAACAAACACCAATTCACTGCAATCTACAAGGAAGGATAAGATAATAATAATGAGAAAACAAACCAATGTCCAGCCATACCGCAGCACTTTACTTACCAAAAGAAGCGATGGCAGATAGGACGCCACCATCGCGAGCAGCATGGTGTTCCGGCGGTTGAGTCCACGATACACGTCACTGCTCGAGTCGAGCTTGATGAACATGAGTACAGCAGTGGGTGTGGAGAACAGCAGCAGCAGCACCAACGTAGCTATCTGTCTCGACATAAAGGCCACGGATCTGCGGATCGTGTACGGTCGGTACGCGAGACTTTGCCAGATCACATCGTCAGGCTCGGGGGCGCTCTTGAGGATGACATTGCGAAGCACAGGGGCGAGTTGCTCCGTCACGGAAGCTTCAGGCTTCTTCAAAGACGCCAACGGTCTCTCACGAAAGCCTCGGCGCTGGAAAGACTCGGCTGTGTTGATCACACGACCGATACAGGTCTGACCACGGACGTTCCGGACGAAAGCGTTGCGTGTTGCGGTCGAGTCGAAGATCACGAAGGCCGCGCCCATACATTTCCGCTTGCCGAACTCGTCCAGCGCGTCTTCCGGGAAGAAGTCGAGCTCCTCACGCAGAGCGAAGATCCTCCTCGCCGCGGACCTGTCGTACGCCTCCACAGTGTTGTCGTCCACTAGACTTTCGTACAGTGTCTCAAATTGGCTGTCGGATCTGCTGCCTCGCTTGACTTTCCCAGCTCTCGGACTATGTCTTGGACAGCAGCACGTGCAGCAGTAGCAGCAGCACTCGCTCACCTTCTCATGGCGGTAGATGTATCGTCCCGGCTTGCAGCGCAGATGCCACCAGGCCACCTCGAGAGGCTCTGGAGCCATCACTGACCCCGGACAACACAGCAGATTGTAAGACAGCGTGCCGTTCTCGTACGCCTCGTCGAACGTCAGGATCCGGCTCAGCTTCTCCGAGAGAACGCGTCGTCGTTGGAGCAATTCGTGCACTGCGCGGAGATCCCGGAGCACAGTGATCTCGTGGACTGAACCTTGTGGAGGGATGGCAGTTTTTAAAGCCTCGAGTAACGAGCTGTGCGATGTGTCGAGCGGGAGTCCGTGCTGGATGAAGATACTGCGAGCCCCCACGATATGCTTTGCTCGTTTACGCAGCGCAGAGGCAAGTTCGTGTTGTCTTCTCAGTAGACTGAGCACTGCAAAGGCTACGAGGTAGCAGTAGGCCACATGAGCCCAGTACCAATCGCTGTGTAGCGGCACGTTGCTGAACGTCGTGGCTTGGTACGTGTCACCCCCTTTTTGACCTCGAGCACTGCCCGGCACGTAGTTCTACAGATCAACAACACTAAGTTCATGGTTTCGTGTACCTATAGAGAGCTGTTTAGCCAACGCACCACTGGTAGCATCGCCGCGAGGCTGAAGAAGCTAAGGATGGCGAACAAATGACCGCAATCCCTGAAGAAATGCATGCTCAGAGCAGCCGGGATACCGCACGTCGAGCTCACATAGTCGCCACTGGGTGATATGTCCCAGAACTTCTTCATTCGTTCTTTCAGCGTTGCTCCCTGGAGTTCCCCGTACTTGGCATCGAACGCATCAGATGACAAATCGTCGTAGTTGCTGCGTTGGAAGAGAGCCTCCTGGTGGCCTCTCCAGATCGGCAGGTCCACACGTTGCACCCTCCGCCACGCGAAGAAGGCCATCCCACCGACGAAGATCAACAGGTTGAACAGCAACTGGAACCAGATGCCCTGCCATCCCTCCTCACTGCCCGCGGCAATAGAAACCACAGATCGCTCCGCACTGAGTTGGTAGTATTTGTCCACGTCGGTGCCACCCAGCGAGTAGTCGAGGTAGAATCGCCCCGGGACTCTCCCGAACAGCGAGAACTTCTGCTTCTGCTTCTGACTCTCCGTCGCATTGCTGGCGTGAGTGAACACCAGGGTCCGTGGCGCTACGAGCGAGTCCATCCGCGTGCCGTTGCCGTCCGTCAATGTCAAGTCCACGAACATCGGCGGCGCGTTCGGAGGCACCCACGTGTCGACCTTCAGCTCCACGCGCGCGTCCTGCATGACCGTCGTGATCCCCGACGGCACGTTCACCACACTCACGCCGTCCCCATAACCCCCCGCAGCCAGGAACGCTGTGGCGACAGCTATCCGCAGTAGAAAGCGCGGCATGAACGCCATGCCCGCTATCGCCCCCAGCTCCGATCGCATTGTCATGAGATCCTTTGGGTGTGTCCAAGAGCCGTCTCATCCAGGATATCGGTGACCTTTCATGATACGAAACGTGCGGTCGTCGTTCGTCTACACGCAACGCTTGGCACGACTTGCATTATTTCGTGGCTTTTAACTTTAGAAGTAGGAGAAGGAGTTGGTGGACCATGAACCGAGCGAAGCGTCCAGCATCCTCGTGTCGCCACCTACGCGGGCGAGACGCTCGTTCACTAGAATGTCGTAGATTTCGTGGGCCCGCTTGAGGTCGCGACCTCTGCCCGATCGACTGGCGAACAGGTCGTAGAGTTCCTGTCGGAGCTGCAAAAGCTGCAATGCATGAGCAGCTCGAGTCCTGTCCATCGGAGCATTGCTGCTACCGTCATCGGCTTGTGGCGTTGCGTACGCGGGCGATGAGTCGTGGTAGATGGCCTCGATGGCAGCCTCGAACGCCGCCTCTTGCGTGCGCCACTTGAGCGCCAGTGAGCGCCACTCCTTGTCCTCGTTCTCCTCTCGGATAGACAGCGATCGCTGTCGAGTTCCTCCGTCTCGTGTTGCTGTTGCTGGCTTCTGCATAGGGGCGTAGGTCGAGACACTCAATAGACCATTGCGTAAGAGCAGCAAGGCGACGGACGTGAACACGCGCAGAGGCATGAACGCGTTGAGTTTGCGTTGACGCAGCGAGTTGTGGAAGATGTTCCGGAGCTCCCGTTCAGTTGGGCCGAGGGAGAGCGGCGTGAGGGTCGCGACGAACGCGCCGTCGTCCAGCAGCTTCACCTGTCTGGACGTGTCGTCTACGGTGCGTGACGCTGCGAGGCCGAAAAGTTCCTGCACCCAGTAGGAGAAGAGGTGGAAGTGGTTCATCTCGCCTCGGTATTTGATCAGCAGCGCCAACACCTCCTCGAAGTAGACCCATTTCGGCTCTTCAGCTGCAGTTGAGGACCACAACTGCATGGATTTCTGCTGCTGGTGACGAACGATCGGACTCCTCGGAGCTTGCGCGTTGTACTGCTTGGAGTGGAACTGGTTGAAGTTCGTCGGACGCACCATTGCACTGGTACGACGGGGAGATCCAGCCGGACGTCGACAATTACCAGAGGAGTGGGGATTATTCTCTTCAGTCTCGGCCTCGTTGATCGACGACACGGTCGCTGCTTGAGTGTCTGGGTCCACGAAGTAGGTCGACAAGATAGCCTCGAACTGGTGATAGCCGTTCGTCGGCAGATACTGTCGATACACGACGTTTTCCACCTCAGTGAAGTGCGTGTCGCTCTCGATAATAGAGTTCTCGTCCTCAACTCGGAACAGCAGCTTAGCCAGCTCAAGAGCGTGAGGGACATCGATCACCTCGCGCATGGTCACGGGGTGGAACATCGGCTGGCGGTGATACGACGAAGACGCTGTGCCTGCGGGGCTGTCGTCTCTCGACAGGCGGTTCGCACACAGATAGCGACACACGCAGCAGAAGACGAGCTCTTCCTCTGAGCGTTCACTGGCCATGAACTCATGGAAGCGCTTGACATCCGCGTCGATGTCCGCGAAGTCGTTGATGCTCTCATGCAGACTGGCCACTGCAGCGTCAATCAACTGCGGCAGTCCCAGTCTGCACCGAAAATGCTCTCGAGTCACCTCCTCGATACTGAACTTGACTGGCATCGCCTGTTCGCCCGGTTGGTCTGCAGCGACAGCTCTGGAGAAGAGCTGGGACCGTTGCTGTCTCCACTCGACGAATGACAATGTGAGGTGGCAGCGTGAAGCGATGATGTCTGTGAGACGGCGTGGAGGCAGCTCCTTCAGCTTCCCGACGATCGTATCGTAAATGTCGGAGATGAATTGCTTCAGTGAGACCAGTCGCTTCCTCTGCTCTCGTGACGAGAGTGCTAGGGCTAGTAGAGACTCCGTCTCGGCCATCGCTTCTCTCGAGGCAGGGTAATACGTCGCAGAGCTCCACAAGCTGTCGTCGAGATGCAGCTCCGCGTAGTTCTGCAGTCGCATCGCGTCTCGCTCTCCAAATGGAATGTTGATCGAGTTGTCATCGTAGTCGGCGAGTGTGTCTCCATCGGAGCGGGCGTCGATGTCGGTCTGCTGGCTCACGTCCGTGCCGTCCTTGTTGTCTTGTATCTGCTGATCCAGATCGTCTAGCAGCTCCGTCTGCGCCGCGTCGTCGCTGTTCAAGTCTTCACTCCTGTCGTCCAGCACCAGCTCTTCGTCGTCTCCTACAGGCTTCTCCTCCGGCACGGTGCCTAGCACAACGTGCAGTGAGCCTACCAAGGCTTGCGCTTCTTGCATCGTTTGCTGGAATAGCTCAACGTCTTCATCGTCGAATATTTCCGAAGGCGCGACACTGGGCGGGCGAGGAGGCAATGCTTGGTCCTCATCATCAGACAAAGCAGCACCTTCACTCGTAGTTCCATCCTCCTCGTCCTTCACGCTTCTTGCCTCACCACGTTGGAACAGGGAGATGACAGTCGCCAGCTCCCGGAACGTCGTCAGCAGTCTAATGAGCGCTTGTCTGGGGTTGGGCTTGCTCTGTTCGGTGGGCTCTTTGACTTCCAACTCTTCGTTCGCACTCTCGCTATTGTTTTCAGGCGCGACAGGAGGAGTCACCACTACAGTCGGTGCGGTGTCGATGGGAACAGGGGCCGCAAGTGTTAGGTCACTGTCACTGCCGAACTTGAGCGTGGCCACAGCTGAGAGCTTGAGCTTGGCACTGCGTCGTCGGTTAAGCAAGTACGCACGGACGTTGGCTTGCATCAACTCGACCGCAGCGTTTTCTTCACGTCGTCGAAGAATTGTCCGCATGACGGCGCGACGGTGCAGCGCTAGCTGGCGATCGCGGAAGCCTCGATACGATCGCTGGATGTCCATCGCTGCTGCCTGCTTCTCCACGCGGAGAGTGATACGAGTCTGCTCCTTCCGCGCCTGGTACTTCTGGAACGCGACCTGCAGTCGCGTGGCTGCGAGATGGAGCTCCTTGGTCGAGTCGCGCTTGGAGTTCAGCGAAGGTCTGCTGACTGACGATGCGTCTCGCTGTCGCCTCCATTCCGCTTCTTCATCATCGATCTCGTCTTCGCTGTCTTCTTCACTCTTCTCCAGAATATCCTCATGCTCTCGTCTTCTCCCTCTCTTTCTCAACTTATACGCCTCGTGCGCTGCAGCCACGGGCGGACCAGCTTTCATCTGTTGTTCAAGCTCCTCCACCTTTTGTTCCAGCAGTTTGTTCTCTTCGAGCGCGTGCGCGTATTTCTCGGACAATGAGGACAACCGATCGTGCTGCTGGTTGTTCTTCTCGTCCAAAGCGTTGACTTGTTTGATCAGCCGAGCGACTGCGGCGTCGTATCGTTCACGGATCTCATGGAGCAGCTCGCTCTGCTCTTTGCAGATGCATTTGATCTGTCGTGCCAGCTCGTGGAAGCAGTACGAGTAGATCTGAGTCTCCTGGCTAGTGTACTCCACCATCAGCCGTCTCCGCTCTGCCAGCACAGCGATGTCGGTCTCCGTCTCAGGGCCTCCAGGTTCACTGTTATCTTCAAACTGGGGCATGGTAGCGCGCATCTTGTCGAGAGTTTGGCGGAGGTACAGCACTTGCTGGCGATTGTTTGGGGTCAACGCGGGGAACACGACGGTCTCCCATTGTCCTTGGGCGTTGAGCGTCGACTTGTACTGGTTCGGAGGGTAGTTATGCGGTAACAAGACCGAGTTGGTCTCCACAACGAAGAACTCGCGCGGGATCATGGAAATCTCGGTCAAGTCGGAGCTGTCGTCTCTCAATCCACGCGAGGTGCTGGGAGATTCTGCATCCGTTCGACTGCTTCGAGGCATTGGCACGTGTATGGATACTCTTGGAGACGGTCGGATGATCTTGACGGAGCTGCGCTTCCTCGCACTGCTGCTGCCAGTAGACTCGACTCCATCCACGCGCTTGCGAGAGAAGAAGCCGCCAGCTTTGCTGTCGGCCAAATTCAACGGAGGCAACATCGGTTAGTACAATAGCAGAATGAACCAGACTTTCATCTCAAAAATACATGCAACACACACGGTGCAAGAACTAAAATAAAATTGCACTTGCGGGGAGATATGAGACCGTTCGCTCTTCGGAGGATTCAATAGCGTTCATTCCTCCGACCCAGTGTGATAGACAAATACTTGCAGTACTCTCCCAGAAGATACTGCGTTCATGTAAAATATTTACACTTGGTGCGCCGGGATATCGTTGGGCTCGTCGTCTTCGAGCGGATGCTCCGGCATCGTGATGAACAGTTGCGTCATTTTGCGCTGGAACCGCCGGGCGTACGGCTTAGGCGGAATGGCCGACACTCCTTTGCGTGACTTCCTCAGGACACGCACCTTGTAGGCGCGCTCTAACCGCTTCGACACCGTCCACTCCTGTAGAATGTCCACCAGGCCGAAGTAGTACTTGCTGGGACCGGAGACTTGGTGCGCGTGATACGCGTGGCTCTGAGGGTAAACCGCGCGCTCGGGTGGACCCACTGAGCCCTGCGACACATCGGACAAGCGACCTCCAAAGGAGACCTCTGAGGACTCCGATGCCCTTGTTCCTTCCGACAGGACGTCGTCCTCACTGGGCGAACGATGAGTTCCGACTAGAGTAGGGAGGAACTCTGCGTCGGTCTTGAGCTCGTGACTGTCGGCACAGAACGCAGTGAGCTCCACGGACTTCCGGCGTGAAATCCCTCGCTTATACTCTGTTGTGATGGTGAAGTGCGAGTAGTGCGTGCCAATGAGAAGACTGTAGTCCATGATGCCGGCGCTGGCGAGGTAGTTGCTGTCTCGCGTCAGCTGCTTCACGAGTTTCGTCGCGGTGTCCGTATCCAGCTTCAGCCTCTTCTTGAGATCGTTATCGCGTAGAGTGATGTCGGGATAGTGCTCTTCTCCCGGTAGAAAGCACGGTTCCCCTGGCGCACCACCGAACGTGAAGAACCGGTTGCACTTCGAGCAGCGGTACTTCTCGCCTAGAACACACGCGGGGGCATTGCGGTCCACCCAGGATCCCTTGATGTCGTACCTGCGATGAATCACCTCCGTCGTGCCCAGGAAGTTCCCCATCACGATGAAGTAGAAGATCTGGCCGTACATCTTCATGGCGTGGAAGCCAAAGAAGCGAGGCAACAGCGTCCCAGGGTTCCACTTGAGGTAACGCAAGTAGCTGGGCAGCAGTCGCAATAGCACGTCCTTCTCCTTCGACGTCGTGCTCTTCACAAGGTACTTGCGGTCGCACGTGTTGAAGACGAAGGCGCCACTCCGACCTTCGCTGATACGCTCGTTGATCGTCGAGCGGAACGCGAAGACGTACTCGGCGTCATTCACGCCGTACAGCTGACGAATCGAAGCGAACACTCGCGGCTGGAAGTCGTAGAACTGCATCTCCGTCAACGCCATGGGCATGAAGGTGAAGCGCATGTTGCTCGGGTTGTCGCGCGGCTCCTCCACGACTCGAACGGTCGAGCTTCTCATCTCGCGCAGGATCGGCATTGATCTTGGCGGGATCGTCATGGACCCCACGTCATAACTTGACGAAGCTGAAGACACGAGCTGTCGAATCCGACGCTGGGGAGACCGCTGCCAGTCCAACTGGAACGTGTGGTTGTTGCCGTTTTCGCGTCGCATCCGATGGTGATGTTGGATAGACTCGATGATGCCATTTGTAGCCATGTGAATCATCTGCTTCCTCAGCGCCACATTCAGCTGAGGGTTCATGAGCTTCTCTTCGTGTTTGTGCGAGTCGTCGTGCTTACTGTCGCTCGCTTCGGTGCACTCCGAGTTGGTAGCGCAGGGTGAGAACGACCCGCGCATCGACATCCCATTCCCACACGGAGACTGGAGCGCGGAGGCTGCTTTATCATCGGAGTAAACTGAAGGGAAGTATGGCGCATTGACCACGATCCAGACGATAATGTTGACACAACCCCTTGATGCGTGCATGAAGGCGCTGAGGTCGATGAGCTCCTTGAACAACGTGCTGCCCAGCACACTCTTAACCGTCGCGGTGTTGGTCATCGCGAAGAGGAAGATCATGAGGAACGACCACGAAATAAAGACAGCACACGTCAACATTCCGTTCGACAGCACGCGGCGTCGCACCTCGAACGTCTCCTCCAGTCCACGTCGTAGCCGAGAGCGGACGTACGCCATGCACGCGAGCCCGAAGAGCAGATACACCACGACGCACACGTGGTACAAGATCCACTGGTGCCAGAAGAAGCCCGGCATGTCCGTGTTATGGTGGAACCAAATGAACCGTTGATCTCCTTCATCCTCCGCCTTCAAGCAGTCCGGACTCGTGTCGTTCTTGTCGACACACTCCACCTCGGCGTCGCCCAGGAACCAGAGCACAAGGCCGCACACTATCCCACTGAGCACCGAGTAGAACCAATACACGCGGAAGTTGTGCGCGTACGACGTGAAGGGGTTCGTGATGGACTGCACCATGTCGATCGGGATGGCGAAAAACCAGAACTCGCCGGCGATGAGCAGCGCCTGAGTGATCGCGGCGATGCGGAACGGCAGCACGACCGAGTCCGCCGAGAACTCGGTCACGCAGTACTCCGCCACGTAGATCATGGCCAGCAGTAGGTCTACCAAGCTCTTGCTGAAGATCAGTGGGTTCGGGTGCGCTCTCACCGCGGGACTCGTGAGGAACGACACGATGATGACCAACGTGAAGGCGCTGGAGGCGATGGCTCCCAGGAACAAGTACTCGTCCGCGCTGTAGCTCCCCACTAAAGCGATGGTGGAGCAGGCCACGCCCACGAGCACTAGCAGCCCCGCGATTGCAACGACGAGACCGGAGAACGGCCCCGTGACTAGAGCTCGGAAGCAGCTGAACATGGACAGCAGACCAGCTCTACGGCGGCTGCGTCTGCGAGCGCTGCGTTGCCTGTCTAGCCGCGACTTGGAGAGCTTCTCGGTTGGATCACTGGACAGCGAAATGGAGCAGAAGGACCCACTGCAGGGAGGGTTAGTTAGTGGTGAGGTGAGGAATGACACAAAATTACACAAGTGAGACGCAGGATGACGCACTGGTCTTGCCCGCGCAGCAGCGCGTCGCTCTCGGAGGCCGGCGGCGGGTGCCCCATGGACGCAGAGGGGCAGGTTGGGGAGTGGCCTGCTGCGTGTGCAGTGCGCGGGGGCGTGACGGATGCACACACACGCGCAATGAGGTGAGGAGGCGTGGGGCAGTCGGCTGCTTGACGTCTCTGCCAGCTGGGCATCTGATTGTACCGTGGTTTTGGTACGATAGGTCAGAAATGTAATTTTAATCGAATAGGGAGTGTGGACGTCGGAGGACATGTGGCAAGTCATGTTGAGGTGATACAAACTGGATCCTTTATGGACCCTTTTTTAGGTGAAGAAGCGACGGAGCACGCGGTGGCGCTCGGACGTAGCGACGGCGCCGAGGACGCAACCAGCGAGCACGGCGGCGCCGAGTGCGGCCCAGTTGGTGGACGAGGCTTCGCTTGGGCTTGGCGCGAAGAACTCGTCGATGTCGGGGCCCATGGTCACGCTGGCGGAGCCATTTGAGGGCATGGACAGAGACCGCGTCTCCCGCTCCAGGGATTGCAGGAACTCCTTGGACACGAGACGCTTCTGCTTGAGGAACTGGCGGCAGTACGTGCGAGGCTGCTGGAATAAGCGGATGCGAGAGCTGGAGAGGCGGAGCTGTGGTACGAGATAAAGGTTTTGTAAGCGTAGTGATAGTGATGAGGGGGTCAATGGCCTCACAACGCTAGCGTACCCGAACGCCGATGGCATGAAGAGCTGTGAGGATGTCTGTCATGTTATCCTTTCGTCACATCATGGGAAGCAATAGTTAGTCCGAGTGAGATCACGAGCGAAGTGTAAGAGGAGCGCAGAGACGCACCACGTAGCACTTCGCAGTACTGGGCTTCTTCCCCACTGTGCACGTCACAACGTGCTCGAGTTTCGGCTCATTCTCGGCAAAAGCGTGAACAGCTACCCAATACAAGAACGTTAGATCACAGCATGAACAGCTAATGTTTCGGCACAGACGTACCCTGGAACACTTTCTCATCCGAGTCGTCGTCGCCCACGACAAAGACAAACTCTGGTACATCCACCTGCTCTTTCAGGACCTTCAGAACCAAAGATACCGCCACAGCCTTGCTGACTCCAGACTGGTGCACCTCCACGTATCCCTTCGCACGGTTGATCGTTGCCTCACCGCTCTGTAAATGGTAATACAAAGTAAGAACTATCGGGTGGAATCAATCAAACACTACTAAAACTGTACCTCCACAATGTGTCGAAGTTGAGCGCAAAGTTCCAGTGACTGGATCTCGCCATACTCTTGGTCGCTGTTACGGTAATCGTACAATAGCGACGCCGCATTCTCGACAAGGAAGGAACCGTTTGTTCGCGCTGCATACGCCCGCATAACGCGTTTCGCGTCATCTTTCCAGTCGAATGTCCGCTTGTCCTCATCGCAGACACACTCCCAGTCCCCTTTGCCAGCTTTCCTGATGAATAATCCGTTCTCGGCAATGAGATTCAAGTTCGGAATGGAACCAAATTGGGTCTCAAGCGCCTCACGCTGGGTGTTGCTGGTGATAAACACGATGTTGCACGGATCGGCACACAGTGTCCGCAGATTAGCCCGCGTTTCGTCCGAGATCGGCTTGCGAACTTTCCCGTCAATGTACCGAGCAGCGGATTGAACGGTACACTCGCCACCATACCGATCGCTCACGTCAAAAGTCTGTAGAACTTGATCAGCGCATTCACCTCGATACGAGTACTGAGCTCCCTCCTCGTCCAAAATGCTAGCAGTCGAGCTCAAGGTTCCGCCATAGTCCAGAATGAAGAGGCGACGCGAAGTACTGGTGCATTTCTTGACTAAATCGTCGACATCCAGGCTCACGAAGCCAGACTCGAACCGCATAACTCGGAAGTCGAACCCAAAGCCGACTTGAACAACTTCTCCGGACGAGGCATCTCGTGTCTTGTCAGTCACAGCTTCAATGTCGGCTAGAAGTCGTTCACCCCACGGCGTCGCATCGGATTTCCCCACCAGAAACTTGTAGTTCAGGTAGAATCGATTGTGCTTCTCGTAGTAGCTCATCGAGCAGGCTTTCGCGAACGCAGCAGCCATGTCGTCTGTCTTCCACGGGTTCACCGCCAGACTACCGCTCAGTATGCGGCTGTAGGCGCTAAACTCCGACACGATCATGATGCCGAAACTGCGATCCAGACCGCCAACATCCGCGCTCCCACGCGGGCTGCTCCACCCAGTCGAAGCTCTGGATTTGCTCAAAATGTTTCGGTGTTGAGCGATCATATACTCGAAAGGCAGTAACGAAAGCCCTCCGCGAACACAAGTATCCAGGTAGACGTCACACATCCGCCATAGGATCACTCGCTCAGCACACGTGGTCTTCCGCTTCTCCTCAAAGTACACCACGACGCCTCCAGGAGGTGCATACCGGCGATTTATCTCCTCTGTGAACTTCAGAACGTACTCACGAGTTCGGTGGTAGTCGTTGGGCCTGGAGTCAAGAGCGATCCCGATTTGTACGAGCACCACGGACCCTCGTTTATCCGGGTGAGTCGCTAAGAAGCGATCAAAAGCTCGGAGCTTCAATGGGATGGCCGTGAGTCCTTCCAAGCGATCAACAGATCCGATCACCAGTCGGTGCTGCGTTGGGTCTCTCCCTGCTGTGATGGCATTCTTGACGTGCTCAGCGAAGTCCAGCGCAGCGCCATTCGCATCGGCTTGGTTCTGGTCGAGCATTTCATGCAAATGCGTCACATCAGGCTCGACATGCGAGCAGGAAATGTGGACCTTGCGTCCGTTGTACTCCATCACCAGCATTCCATTCGGACACGTCTTGTAATCCAGTCCCAGCAGCCGCTTGCAACTCGTGAGGAAGTGTCTCGCATGTTCAAAGATCAAAAATCCAATGTGATCCGCACACAGCATCGCACGAAGGATCTCCGTGCGCATTGCAAGGCATCGGAAGATCTCGCTTGATGGAAATGGTACGTGCAAATACATCGTCACGATCGCAGTGCACAGGCGACGCAGCAAGTACGACGGCAGCATCAAGAAGTGGAAGTCGTGGAGCCACACAAGATCCCCGTCATGATAACTCTCCACCACTCGACGCGCGAACGTCCTGCACTCCATCAACGTCAGTCCCTCCTGAGCAATTAGTATCCAATCAACCTCTGCATCTCCTACCTGTTCACACTGCAGTAGTCGGACCAGCACATGTCCTGGGCCGCGGGGTTCCACGACACGGGGTCGCACCACGCGCTCTTGACGCCCGAGTTCTCCTCCTTCTTGCCGCCTCCGAACCACGAGTGGTCCCTCTTCTTCTTCTTATTCTCTTCGCAGTCCAGCTGCAGCTCGGCCGAGTTGTAGACGTCCACGACGTTGTGGAACACGGGCCAGAGCACGCCCTTGCAGAAGCCCTGGAAGTACCGGTGCGCCACGGGCGGTTCCAGGAACACGGGCACGCAGCGCAGCGCCAGCAGCTGCTTCTCCAGCGCCGCCTCCTCGCTCTTGGCCACGAACACCTCCGGGCAGCCGATGAAGAGCGGCGAGTACTGGTCCGCGTCCCTTACGAGCGTCCGGTAGAGCATGGCCGTGGCCCCCGTGGCCCACGAGACGCTCCAGCCGCTGGCGGACGCCTCGCTGCGCTCGAACACGAGCGGCAGCACGTTCACCACGATCAGCACCGTCTTGGGCGGCGAGCGCATTGGCATCGGCATCGGTTAAGTGTATGTATGTATGGGTGACCTTCACTCCGGGCGAGGCGCGACTCGGCGGGTTTCGGAATGAGTTGAAGTTAAAATAGGGAGGTACTACCGTGCACCCCTTGAAGCTCATCTTATTTGCTGAATAGTCCGAATAATCCAAAAAGCTGATCGGATCCCTATGATACCTACGACCTACGATTGGATTGGGCTGAGTCATCCTAGTCAACGCGTTGGAAGATGAAAAGAGACTGGGAGTTGGTCCAGGACACGCGTTGGTTTGCAAGATGCTGGGCCATTCTGAAGTGCTGGGACCGTTGCAGGGTGTTTTTGTAGTCCAGGACGAGCGTCCCGGGCCGGAGCTCGGTCTCGAGCTTGCGTTGGACCTGCTGGTACAGCTCGGCGTCCCAGCACTGGGACGTAAGTAAGAGGATGGCGGTGTCCTGCAGTGGCACCGTGAGCATGTCGGCGCAGATGAAGCGGCATTTGTCCTCGGGAATGCGAAGACCTTCGCGGGTTTGCTCGGCCTGCTCATGCAGGAACGGCAGGATCTCGACACCCACGCTAGAGAGACCGAGTGCGATGGCTGCGAAGAGCACGAGCGACCCAGAGGACGACCCAAAGACCGTTAGCTTTGCAGGTTTCGAAGCACGTGCGATGGCATCCACCACGGTGCTTTGTGTGAAGAGGTTCAGCCACGTCGGGAACGGGGTGCTGCCGAACGCAAAGTTCTCCGCAGAGTAATCACCCTTGGGGCCTGAAAACTCTTGCTGAGCTCTCAGAAGGCCCCGATGAAAAGCGAGTTCCTGCTCTTGCGCTCTTAGCCTCGTGATCATCCGCTTCAGCTTCTCGACGTCTGCTAAGTCGACACCTTGAAGGTTGTGGCTCGACAAAACATCATCAAGATGCGCAACAGTATCAAGCTCTTCTTGAACCCTCTGGAGGCGCTCCTGCCGAATGGTCTCGATTGTAGGGATCTTGCACCGAGTGTAAATCCGAGTGGCAGCCAGCAACTCGGCGATCTCCTTCATTTGATCTTGAGTCACGATTGAGGCGCATGCGCTCTCTGCCTGGTTGGAAAGCTCAGTTGTGTCCTGTAGAAACGATGCATCGATCGTTTTCCGGAAAAGTTGAAGGCAGGAGAGGATCTTCGGAAGCAACTTTTGTAGTGCACGCTTTGACTCGGACCCACTTTCGCCTTCACGCAGACTAGAGTGAACACTGTGTGCCGCTGTTTGAAGCTAGGGATTCGGGGGCAAGTAAGCATGTCAATAACATTGCAGTTAGATTTGGCGTTCATAGTGTTAGCTCCAGTACCTGCTTGATAATGCAGCAGCAGTCTTCCCAGTTCAGAGACACCATGCATGCGAGCGATCCTTTTGCTGCGTCTCTTCGAAGATACCGGTAAAGCCAAAGCGCCGTCTATTTGCTAAGCTTGTAGTCGCACTTGTGCTTCCATCAAAGAAACACGACAATAGCGGTGACGTTGTCCCCACTACCCCTGGCAAGCGCCTCATGGACAAGAACTTCCGCGGCTTGAGACTGCTGGGCGACGGGTATGGCTCCCACCATGTCCACAACGTCTTGGTCACTAAGAACATCCCAGATGCCGTCGCATCCCAGTACGAAGAAGGGATAGTCGGCCGCTGGCTGCAGTCTACAGGAATGGCGTCAGAGGTCACAAGTGCACCGTTGGTTTACAGGCTTACTGACCTGGTCGCGCTGGTGTGCGGCTTCGCTACCACAAACTGCTTCAGATCCCGGTCTCCAAAGCTCCTGTAATGCATTTTACCCGCATGAGAGCGTTGCACCGTTGCATCTTACGACGGTCACAGGCAATTTACCGGGAGACTGCAAGCACACCAGACACGCGTTCTTGTATGACAAAGCCGCCAGCGTGGATAATTCTATCCATTTCTTCGTGATCGCTAGCCTTGTGATCCTGAGCGACACTCGTAAGGTCAAGCTTTAGCAGTCGAGTTGAAACTACGAGAACCTTACCTTCGAAAGTCGAATGGCCTTCTCTTTGTGGCTCACTACGGCACGGCTGCAGGTATTGCAGCATTCAGTGTCAATGCGATAGATCCACAATTCTTCCATCCTGTCAATAACCCACGCACCTATCTCCAACATTGGCCACGTAAAGTGTTTTGACACCATTTTCCTTTAGCAGCACTGCAGTCACAGCCGTGGCACCCACTGAACCGGAAAACGACTGGCAGCACTCCATATCCGAGATCAGGAAGCCTCTACAGGTCCACAACAGCACTCCTTCAGGCGACCACCTCCTCTTCACTAGTGTCAACACTCAGACACCTTTTTACCTTTCAAGACACTGCTCGACTGTGCAATCTTCCCCCTCCAATTGCAGCTCCGCTGCAACGTTCTCGTGCAGCACTCGCTGCAAATATGTCGACACGGACCGGCCTGCCAGCGTATTCTCCGGTTAAACATCGCTCTTCTTCTCACCAAAGCATGCTCTCATCCACGCAAAATATCTAAGAGTCAAGCATGTATTGCAACGCTGCTGCCTCACCTCCGTGGCCGTCGTGGATGGCAAAGTAGCCGTTCGTGGGACGCTCCAAGAAGCCGTCAACGATGCGGATCGTGTCTTCCATCGTCTTCCGGTGCTCGGCATTCTGCAGACGCCATCGACAAGGTCAGTCAAGGCTCTTGCAAGCCCAATGCAATGCCTAGATCTGCCCCGTAGCGCACCATTTCCTCGCAGATACTCACGCATCGGCAGCAGCTGAAGCCCTCGTCCATCGTGTTCAAAGAGCAACTCTAAAATGAGTACGGAGTGACCCAATTATGGCTCTTTTTGAGCTACTCGGCTCTAATTGGTCACTCCGCCGCAGTCCACAAGAAGCTCAAGCATGGGTCGTCCGCGCATCAGCCTCGCCGCGGTGGCGCTGTCCTCGGCCACGGGCATGACGGTGGCCGCCGTGTCCATGATGGCGTACTACCGCTTCCAGCACCCGCAGGAGTTTGCGGACGCCAGCATCCGCATGACGCACCCGGAGCTCTCGGACGATTTCAACCGCAAGTGGGGACTCTTCGGCACGGGCATCATCGACGCCGTACCGCAGGGTGTCAAGGACCTCTTCGCCGTGCCCGACATGGCCGAGCGCTTCGAGCTGCAGAAGAAGAAGCGCGAGGAGCAGATCCGCCAGACGCTCGAGGACCTGCGCCCCAAGGGCAAGTAACTTTGGCGACGTAACACATCAACGCAGACGGCGATAATGCATCCATCCACCTTCAATCTGCTCGCTCTAATGTTGCCGTGTAGGCCTACACGCTACTGTCGTTACGCAGTAAGTGAGGACAGGAAACAATAGGAAGTGTGAAGGCCACAAACGAAAGTAAAGTACCAATAGCCCGAATCTCGGCAGCAAAGTCGCATGTATTCAACATGTTCGTGAGGCTATCGTCAGCCAGAATGCAGCGAGTCTCTGGGTACAGAGAGCTAGCGCTACATTTACGAGCGGTAGCGGCGCAGCGACAGGGTGTTGCGACGCTTCCAGTTCTGGCGGAACGACGAACCGATGATCTTGTTGGCGCGGTGGCCACGCTTGCGCAGGCCGCGGCCCTGGCGGCCGGCTGACGTGAGGCCACGCTGCTGGCGGCCCTTGTGCACGGCGTTGGCGATCCAGTTGATGCGGGGGTCGCGGCGGATGACCTTGTGCGAGTGGTCGACCATGATGATCTCGAAGTACTTGTACGTGGCGTCCTGGTTGACCCAGTACGAGTTGAGCACGCGCAGGTTCGTGAACTTGTTGCCGGCGCGCTCCTCAGCCACCGAACGCAGGTTGCGCTCGAACTTGAGCTCGTTGATACCGTGGTGCTTGGGCTTACCGTACACAATACCCTTCGAGTTCGGGCGCTTGCGGCCACCGCGACGCACGGCAACGCGCACGATCACGTAGCCCTGCTTGGCCTTGTATCCGAGGCGGCGAGCCTTGTCCACGCGGGACGGGCCCGTCACGCGGTGGATGACCGGCAGCTGGCGGTACTCCCAGGCGCGCACACGCAGCAGGAAGCGCAGCACATCCGACTGCTTGCGCTTCCACAGCTCCTCCAGGTACTTGTAGGCTCCCATTCTTCTGCGACTTTGCTAAAATGAAATGCCCCCCATTATCGCCCAGCCGCGACAGTACCGAGCCCAGCCAGCCAGTCATTCAACGGGACCACCGTTTCGAAAAACCTCGGCACTTGTCGAATGTTGTCGGAATGTTACACGATAGCGTTGAGTAAAACCTCGCTCTGCTCGAGTAACATTGATTGTGTAGTGTGCGCCACACCACACACACACCTGCTTGAAGTTGGCATCCAAGCACGGATATTGCGTTGATGCAGCGTGCAGCACTTCCTATTCCTACCCTGGACGACGACACCGATGCTGACGAAGGTAGCGCGCACGACGAAGGCCCTGCGGACCCCGCGCCACCAGCGCTGGCTGAGCACGGCGGCCGCCAAGGCGACGCAGTTCAAGCTGGAGATGCTGGGCGGCAAGGACGCCGGCATTGCGCTCTTCACCATGGACAGACCCGAGGCACGCAATGCGCTTGGAACGCAGTTCATGGCCGAGTTCCGCCAGGCGCTGGACCAAGTCCGCTACGACCCCAAGGTCCGCGTGGTGATTGTGCGCAGCGTCGTGCCCAAAGTGTTCTGCGCGGGCGCGGACTTGAAAGAGCGACTGGGCATGACGCCTCCGGAGGTGCGTTGCTAGCTTAGATCTTGGATTTGTATGGGTAGCTAACTTGGTGGTTGTTCAATCGGTGCAGGCAGCGGCTTGCTCTCGCGGCTACCGCACGGGGTTCACCGACCTGGAGCAGCTTCCGATGCCGACGATTGCAGCCATCGAGGGCGCTGCGCTTGGCGGGGGCATGGAGATGGCTTTGGCCTGCGACCTCCGCATCGCTGGCGCCAAGGCCATCCTCGGTTTCCCTGAGACGTCGCTGGCGATCCTGCCTGGTGCTGGAGGCACCCAGCGCGCTTCTCGTCTGATCGGTACGATGTCTGATAACATTGGTTAGGGTCTATCTGCCGCTAACGCTGATTCCGTTGTCGCTGCTGCGCAGGCATCTCGAAGGCCAAGGAGCTCATCTTCACGAGCCGTCGACTCAACTCGGAGGCCGCCGAGAAGGTTGGTCTGGTGGACTATGCCGTGCCCGAGGGACTGGCCTACGACAAGGCGCTGGAGATCGCGCGCGAGATCCTACCCAACGGACCCGTGGGCGTTCGCATGGCCAAGGAGGCCATCATGCGCGGCTCCGAGGTGGACATCGCCTCGGGAATGGCCATCGAAAACGCCTGCTACGCGCAGGTGATCCCGACCAAGGACCGCATCGAAGGTCTCGTCGCCTTCAAGGAGAAGCGCAAGCCGCAGTACAAGGGCGAGTAGACTCAGTCTCCAAGACTGCAATGTTCAGAATACGTGCAAAGCACGATTGAACGTTGTGTTTTGACTTGAACGATAAAAATCACAATAGCAAGCGGGACGCCATTTTCCGGACTAAATATTGTGTACATCACACCATTCCCCCGTTGCGCCCGAAAAGCTCACACAAAACGCACAGGTCCCACGAAGTCGAAGGGTGCAGCAGGATACGCAGCGATGGCGTCCGGAGACGCCGAGAAGCACGAGCTCAACGAGCCCTGGGCCATCTGGGAGCAGCGCGAGCAGGGGAAGAACATGTCGTACGGCGACAAGCTCTTCAAGCTCTGCACCTTCAGCACCGTCGAGGAGTTCTGGGGCTACTGGAACAACATCCCGTCGCCCAGGTGCGTCTCTCTGCCAGCTATCTGGGCCCAACCTCATTGCAGTATTGTCTAATACTGTATACTGCGCTGTGTACATGTGGTATACGCATTGGGCCGCTCAGCCAGGTGCTGTTTGACGGCTTCACCCGCAAGAAATTCGCGGACCGGACGGTCGAGGGCTTCGCCGTCTTCAAGGAGGGCATCGTGCCCGAGTGGGAGGACCCGGAGAACAAGAACGGCGGCGAGTGGTCCATCCGGAAAGGTGCGCGCTGCTTGGCTTCATTGCAGCGCTGTGCTTGAAGCAGTTGTGACTGATTTTATTTGATACTGCGCAGAGGTGGGAGCTCAGGAGCTGGACGAGTTCTGGGAGAAGCTAGTGCTAGGTGCCATTGGAGAGCTCATTGACCCGGGCAACGAAGTCACGGGCGTCCGAGTGATCCACAAGGTCCGTCCTGAGCTGCTACAGATACAGTGAAGCTGCGTGCACTGGTCTGACTCGTGATTTGTGTGACCACAAACAGAACAACAAGAAGGACAAGCGAGACTCGGGCAACAACTACCGCTACGAGATCTGGCTGCGAGGCGTGAACCGCGCCAAGGCGGACGAGATCCGCAACAAGACGCTGGAGGTCATCAACCCGGGCAGCTCCGGCGCGCCGTGGGTGTCCAATGAGTTTGTGTACAAGAAGCACTAAGTGTAACCAGCAGTCGGTGTGCGTGCGATGGCGGCCGGTTGGGCGCTCCTGCGATAGCGAACGAGCGACGCAACGGAAAAGTGCATACGCCGCAGAAGGTGCCTCGACGTTACAAGTTCGTGCAGGGAGCGTCTGGTGCTCCAAACGAAACCACGCAGACATACGACGAAGATAAAGAAGGTAGGAGGCATGGAGAAGGAGGATGGAGGCGAGCGGTTGACAGCATGCGCGATGCTTCGCAGACGCCGTCAAGCCGGGAGGATAAAGCGAGAAAAATACAAAATAAATAGAGAAAACAGCGTGTAGTAGGCAGGCAGTATTGGCAGCATGGTGAAGACTCTTCACTGAAGAGGTAGACCACGCCAGTTGAAGTGCTCGAGAGATCAAACGCATTCCCTAGTAAGTCCGAATTTGCGTTCATTAGCGCTTTTGGTGTCTCTCGCGTAGATCAGCGATGTCGACTGTGGGCGGCAGGATGAAGATGCTCTTCTCGGACGCGCCTCCGGACGCGCTCGAGTGCGTACCAGCCCTGTAAAATACCCATACAGTGCCTTGTCTAATCGTTGCGATGCTCGTGGTTCTCTTCGGTGCAGGAAGCTGCTGTCTCCGAGGCGCAAAATCATCTACGGACTGTTCGCCTTCGGCCCGGGTACAGTGCTGGGGCTGTATCTCTACTCGGTCAAGAGGCGGATGGAGCGCGAGAACGAGGCGCTGCGTCTGGAGCATGTGGAGAGCGAGCTGGGCGCCGTGCAGGAGCAGCAGAACAAGGACCTGGCGCTGGCCTCCGCCATCCAGGAGATGCGCGACCGACTGCGACGACTGGAGGAGGAGGCCGTGGCTAGTCGACAGAACGCTGAGAAGGTGGCAAGTGCCGCCAGTAATTCTGCAGACAAGGAGAAGGCTGAGGCGTCTAAGGAGGCGCCAGCTGCAGCTGAGAGCAAGATCGAGGCTGCTTTGGCCATTCTCAAGTCCAAGGAGCAGCCTGACGAGCAGAACCAAAAGGCGGCCTCGCCGGCGTGGCTCACCTCGTCGTTGGACGGCGTGCAAGGACGCAGAAACAAACGCCATCAGGAAATGCTGCAGCAGGATGTGGCGGCGTACGTTGCCAAGCAGAAGGAGGACTCTAAGTAAATCATTGGCACCCTGAAACAACGGGTGATTTTGTTGCATTTGAACTCAACGAGACTCCAAACTGCACTGCATCGCCTGCTACCTCTCCATTGCAGGCGCGGGTCTTATATATACTGACGGGTGCCTCTACTCGAGGCCGAAGCCGAAGACTTCCATTTGCGATACCATCGTTAGGTACGTCTCCAATTCCTCCATGCTGCGGTACATGGGCAAGTCGAGGCGGTTGAAGCACGTGTGCGCCTTGGGGAACAAGTCGGACCTGTCCTTGCCCCGCGGCACGAGCTGGATCGTGAACTGGTGGATGATTCCGCTGGAGCTCATGAGTCCGCGGAAGCCCTCGACAGGCACGCGACTGGTGCCCGTGACGAACTGCAGCAGCCGAGCGCGCTCTTCCGGCGCGAGTCCCTCGACGACAATCCAAAACCATTCCAGTACGCCGTTCTGCTCCTCCTCGGTGATCTGCTTCTTCTTGTTCTCCTCCGGTTTGATGTAGCGCACGTGGGTGTGCGCTCGCCAGTCGGCAGTATCAATGGTAGGAATACCGCACAAGATCAACTCGAGCTCCTGATAGTCGAATACGGACAGCAGAGCCTTGGGCACCACGTCGTAAATCCCCATCAAGAACTCCTGCAGCTGGTCGGCAATGCTATCGAGCATGCGGTGCTCGAGGATAAGTCGGAGATACTCCTCCTTGTTCTCATCAGTCACGTCGATGTTGCGCCCGTTTTGCTTGAGATCCACCTCAGTGCCATTCTCCAGCATCACGCTGAACGTCAGACACAGCACTTCCACGTGATTGTTGCTCCGTAGCCACTTGCAGTTCCGGTGCAGCTCCTCATCCAAGAACTCAAGGTCGGAGAAGGAAATGGGGATACCCAGCACGTGCTTGAGCAAGGGTAGGGCCAAGTGCACGTCCAACACAAGACCCTCAAAAAGTGCCTTGCCGACCAGGATGCCAGCAAGACGGAAGAGCTTCAGGTGATTCTCGTTCTTCTCGCCGGAGAGCGGGTCGATCCAGTAGCTCATGTCCTCGCCCTTTGTCGGGACAAAGAGCCCCATCTTCTCGCTGAAAATCTGCTTGCAGACGATTCCAAACCACTCGCGCAGTAAGCCTCCAGCGTCAATTCCCGGTTCGCCCTCGAACGTAATTTTCAGATAAGCGTGAAGCGCGTCCGGCGCGGCTTCAGCTAGCTGGAGCGACTGCTGGATGATACGCTCACGCGTCACCGCTACGAGCAGTACAATAGTCAGCTTTGCCGCATACGAACAGCAAAAGTTGTCACGAACAGATCCCAATCAACGTACTCAGCTTCGCGACAGCTTCAGTCACGGGAGTCGCAATACGAGACAACTGCACGAAGAACCACTGCTTCTTCATCCGGAAGCCAAGCGCCATCACTCCCTGCAACACACACAAAATGCACCAGCTATGAGTACAGCCCCTCCCTCAAGCAGTCCAATTGACCCATTTCCTCACCTCGAAGTCGAGTTGTTCAAGCCCTTTGCGCGTGGCGTTAAAGGACTCCATGTCGATCGACACTTCGTCCGCTTTGGTCCACGTCAGACGTCCGGACGCGTCGTACATGGACACAAACCCCTGCGAGCGCAGGTTGTGGTAGTCTGTGACGCTCTCCCCATTGGGTCCGGCCTCCGCCGTCGGCGGCAGCGACGGCAGCGCTGCATCCCCATCCGGCACGGGGTCCACTACATCGGTGCTGTTCTGCCGGACCCAGTGGAACTTGCCGTCCGCCAACTGCTTGCGCTGCCAGAGGCGGCGTCTGAAGGCCCCGCGCTGTCTCTGCGACAGGTTCTTCCTGGCCATCATGTTCATGCGGCGCTTGAACAGCGCGCGCTGTCGCGCCCTCAGCGCCTCCATGTCCTCCTCCTCCCCTGCAACGTCAACGCCCGTAATGCCCCGGCTGTTGTTGCGCAGTAGCGTCCGCGAGCTCTTCCGGCGGCTCAGCTCGCTGCTCATCAAGAAGCCGATGCTCGTGCCGCACATGAGGCACGTCTTGCGCTTGGCGCTGTTGGCCAGGCCGCAGACCACGCACTGCCAGCCTTTGCCCTCGTCCTCCAGCTCCGTCTCCTCGAGCTGGTCGCGGCGCAGCAGGCCGTCCATGAGCTCGGCCTGCGCGGCGTTGGAGTCCTTGCGGTAGCAGCACATGTAGATGACGGTGGCCACGGCCACCACGGCGGCGACCGCCAGCACGATGCCCACCCACTTCACGGCCGACACGACGCTCTCCACGTCGCTGCCGCTGTCCTGCGACGACATGGCCAGCTCTGCAGCTTCAGCGGCGAGAGGGAATTGTTGGTGTGAACGACCATGCAAGGAGTAATCGGCAGTGATGTGCGGAGTCAGCAGCTTGACTTGGATAAAGTATGGTGGAAGGGCTAAGTACGAGATGTACGGCAACCCGACGTGACTGTGTTGGTTGAAGCTGTAGCCAGGTGATTGGCATCGGGGCTCGAGTGTCGCAAGTGATATCCCTGGCGCCCGCTTTGTGTGGTGTTTGATGAAAGGATCAAGTGTGGACGGACTTGTTGGTGCCGCACCACCACGCACCAGTGGCGGCGCTAGTATGCACGGGCTCGCTGCATTCATGGGGACGATACCAGGCTGGACTGTGCAAGTACCTATTGCTGAAGATGCACATACGTATTGAAGCAGAATTCCAAGACAGGTTCATGCTTCAAGTTTCAATTATTGCTGTTCAAAACCTGAAGATTTTGAAAGTGTTTATTGACCCTACCACTTGCAAGCTCACGTTGCTGCTACTAGCGAAACTTACTGCCACTGGTCACATCACCCTGCGAAGATCATAAGTCGCTAACATGGAATTGATCAGCTACGACATGCATACAAACTAATCAGCCTTGAGGACACCTTCGTATTACAAGCACAATGGCCATTGACGATTCGCGCCTGCATCGTACGATCGAGGGGCGAACTGGTAGAGAGCCTAAATTTCCCTGCGACAAGATCTCGCTGGGAAATGCCTTAAGGGGCTGTTTCATTTAGCGCAACTTGACGTCATTCGCTGTATTAGTATTTGAGTAGAGCTGGTCAACCAGCTTCTTCCACTGCTGTGGATGGTCCGCCACTAACTTCCTCTCCTGTGACAGGATACGATATCCTCTACAGTCACAGAGGCAACCAACAGAAAATGTACCTACGTCAGCGCCTGTTCCCTGCTTTTAGCGCCCCCATCATTCCTCTCCTCCTCAATTCACTACCGCTTCAGTCATTAAACCCAGGCGTCCTTACCTTGTCCCGTCCTTTCCACACAGTCGCACTTAACAATCCCCATGCTTTACCGCTCGACGCACGCAACGCAACCATTCCACATTCGTCTCCAAGCACCGCACTCCACGCCACGCACCCGCCCCAGCCCATGCCGTTCCTTCACGTGACGCTGCGCAGCGCAGCGGACCTGCCGTCCAGCGACTTCAGCATCGTGGGCGGCAAGAGCGACCCGTACGTGGTCCTCAAGCTCAACGGCACCAAGCACCGCAGCCCGTGCATCAAGAACAGCCTCAACCCCGTGTGGGACCCGCCCGAGCACTACGTCTTCCCCGTGCCGGACGCCGCCAGCGCCGTGCTCAACGTGGAGGTCTACGACCTGGACACGCTCAACCCGGACGACCTGCTGGGCACGCTCGTGGTGCCCGTGGCCAAGTTCGCGGACGAGATGGACGTGTCGACGCTCGAGAACTACCCGCTGTCGGTGGCCAGCGAGTTCGCCGGCCAGAAGCGCAACAGCACGCTGCAGCTCGAGATGTGTCTCAAGCGCGTGGACGACCAGGAGCGGCGCGCGTACGTGTGGGAGAACGAGAGCTGGTCCATGGGCTCCGGCTGGAAGCCCACCAACACCAAGGAGCGCAAGCAGTGGTCGTCCTACGACGACTCGGCCACGTCAGCCACGTTCAGTGAGGTGGCGCCGCGCGCGCCCGCTAATATGACGGGCTCTGGGTGGCAGTATTGCTCCGGCCGCGGCGACGCGCAGGGCTGGTCGTACGCTAGGACGTTTGCAGGCCCGTGGACGGCGCAGAAGCCGTCGTTTTGCTTCGCGCGGCGCCGCATGTGGGAGAATACATTTACGAGAGACACGAACTCGGGCGCGGCGTTTTGAATGAGAAGAGTTGAGTGTATGTAAGTGCCCTCTACAGTGCGAGTGAGTTGGTGACTTTTGCAAGTTGTGAGACTTGTTAGGAGATGGAGTGGAGGCACCAAGATTGAATGTATTATTATTGCTTGCACCAAGCCCAGCAATGATCGAGATGCCGCCGCAGGCTTACATTGTCTTAACTCTGTAGTTTTCTGTAATGGTACAGCTCCAACCAAGGCGGCGCTGGCCTAAAGATCGATCCCAGAATGAATCGACGCCTCGGCAGAAACGGATTCCACCAGTTTGATCACTGCACGCATCAAGTGGCATCGAGTGCTGCTGCTCCATGGAGCCATCAGAGTCTGAAGTCGTCGAGCAGCACACCGACGATCCTGCTATCATCAACACCGAAGACGCGCATCAGAACGACCACCATGAGAGTGCTATCCACGAACAGGAAGCCCATGTCGAAGGCAGCGCTACGGTATCCAGTGCATGGACAGAGGAAGAGGTCGCCGCTGCTGGTGGCAATGCGTTGCGTTTAGCTTGGACTTTCGGCTTCCAGAAGGACCTCATCAACGGCGTTCACAGTTTGTCCACAGGCTCACGTCGTGCGGTGTTCTACGCCGCTGCCCACACGGGAGTCATCTACGACTACGCCCGCCGTCAGCAGCGACTGCTTCAAGGTCATTGTCACCCTATTTCGTGCTGCGTTGTGAGTGAAGACAAGCGCTGGGTCGTCACGGCAGATCGCGGTCAAGAGTCCATGCTGGTCGTGTGGGACGCGCAGTCGGGCAACCCGATCCGGACCATCTTTCGACCGCACCCAAGCGGCGTCCAGGCTATCGACATTTCACCCGATGCTCTGTTCCTCGTCACGCTGAGTGCCGTCGATCGGGAGGACGAAGACGCTCAATCGACTGGCAAGACCAAGACCACAGCGCGGAAAAGGTTCGACCAAGAGCTCGCAGTGTGGGAGTGGGCGGCTCCAGTGAGCGGTGCAGCAGTGTCAAAGCCCCTGTACTCGTCTCTCGTGGCTACGGAGGACGTGCAGCACGCTGTTCGCTTCAATACCTACGACGTTCGGGAGCTGGTTACTACCGGCCGACAGCGCGTCATCTTCTGGAGCTGGGCAGCTCGAACGCTGCTGTTCTACTCGCCGTCGCTGGCGCAGAAGGACTTTCGCCAAGTGGTGGGCGCCTTCACGCAGTCTCTCTTCGTTCCCGACTCGGCACAAGCTCTCACAGGCACGGAAGACGGCGATCTGGTGCTATGGGACGCAGTGCAGAGCGACAATGGAGCGGAAACTCCTGCGGGCAGCTTTCCTGAACGAAAGGCAGTCAAGATCGTGCGACTCGCAGGCGGAGCCGACCCACAGCGCAAAGTGGCGTTGACTGTCATCGTGGACATGGATGGATACCTCGTTCTTGGCTCGAGTGATGGAGCCGTGCGCTTCTACGACTTTGACTTCCGCTTGGTAGCGTGGTTCGAGGACATGAACGCCGGCCCCGTCACGAGCGTGTCGTTCGCTCTACCGAATTCAGCGAATGCTGATGGCGACAACAATCTGGAGGTTGGTACGCGTCTGGGCGACGATGAATCGTTTCACGTTCCTGACTTTATCGTGTCGACGGCGTCGGCGTTCATCGTTGGCATGAGTGCCGGGCTGTTCGCGGAGCACGAGGCGGAGAGACGACGCGGAACTCTGCTCATGCAAGGAATCAACGACTCAATCCACGGTCTTGCGGCGCATCCAAGACTCTCTCAGCTTGCATTAAGCTCTTACTCTGGGGTTGTGCAGCTCTGGGACTACTCTGCTAAGCGGTTGATCATGGTTCGACGCTTCGACTCGGAGAAGCTCCGTCCGCAGTGTCTTACATTCGCTCGCGACGGACGGAAGCTGGTAGTCGGATTTACTAGCGGCATCGTGAAGGTGCTGCATGCCCAACGACTCGATGATCTGGCTTCGTTTCGTCTCGGAAAGGCTGCGATCACCGACGTGCTAGTGAGCCCGGACTCCTCGCTCTTTGTGGCGCTAGACGCGACCTTGTTCCTCGGCATGTGGCGAGCCAAGCAAGGCAATCCCGACGCTGAGGACTCGGACGAGTGGGTGTATCTGGGTCGTTGCAGAGCGCATTCGAAGCCCGTGACTGGGTTGGAGTTTTCGCGCGATGGTGACGGACAACCTGTGCTGGTATCTGTGAGTGAGGACCGCACGCTAGCTGAGTACTGTCTGGAGCGCTCGAGTATCCTGGATGGAGTCGTGCTCAAGCAAGCTCCGACTCGAGTGGAGCAAAGTGCCGTTCCTACTGCATGTTGCTGGCACCCGGAGCTGCGTGGAGTGCAAGAGGACCTGGTAATCGTGGCGAACGACGAGTACAAGCTCAAGCAATGGAATACTGGCAACCAGACGTGCCGTAAGACGGCGCTAGGACCATCGTACGGAGGCCCTATCAACAGGTTGGTGCCCGTGCCGCTCCGAGAGGACGACCAGATAGCTGCTGAGGCTACGGGCGGTGTAGCAGAGAGGTACTGCGTCTACAGCACTCATGAGAAGGTTGTTGGGCTGCTGAAACTTCCTCTCGACGGGAACCCGCACAAGGCCATGGGGCTGATCGCTCACCCTGGCCGCATCAGCAACGTGGACGTCACCTTTGACGGCAGCCACTTGCTCACTGCAGGTGGCGATGACCTTGTCGTGAATATGTGGGAGATTCACACGCATCAACTCAATCTACTGGAAGCTCGAGGCACTCCTCGCAGCGTCGAAGAGAAGGTGGAAGGTGAGACCAAGCGCGGACAAACAAAGGACGAGCTGGACGAGAACGACATCGCATTGGCTCCGTACTTGGCACTGCTCGAAGGGGGACGAGAGGGATCTTTTTACCACGAGATCGTCGACTACTTCTACTTGGCGCAGCTTCGAGTCCAGGGCGAGGACGCCACTGCTGCCCGCGAGATCACTGCGCAGATTCCGTTGAGGGAGATCCCGAATGTCATGCGAGCGCTGGGCTTCTACCCGACCGACGAGGAGATCCAGCACATGGTGAGTGAGGTTCGCTATTCGCGCTTTACCGAGACGTCTCGACCCGTGGAGAGCATCGGACTGCACGACTTCATCAAGTTGTACGTGAACCACCGACCTGTCTTCGGCGTCGGCAAGGCGCAGATCGAGCGCGCCTTCAAGATACTTGCCGCGGTGTCTAAAGCACCGGGTGACGAAGAGGACAATGGACCGGCAACGCTGCGATGGGATCAGCTAGAAGCCAGACTACTGCACTCGGGTGAACCGATGAGTGAAGAAGAACTGCGAAGCTGCTTGGCTGCTCTGCTTGCGACGGGAAATGACGGGGCATTGGCGATGGATCCGCAGTATACCGCTCTCACCTTCGCTGACAAGGTGCTAGGCTTCGACGACTACGAGAACCCGGAAGGTGAGAGCGATGAAGCTGGGGTGTAACACGGAATACTATACATCAATATTCGTGCATTTACGCTTAAATGGTGGCTTCGTCGGCCAGGTACTCATAGCGACACTCTAATTGACGGTCTGGTTCATCACGATCGATCCACAGTTCATCTTGGGGCTCCTTTGGTGCCACTATAGTCGCTGCTAGAAACCAGGACATGCGCAGCTCCCTTGGCTCCGAAACATTCGTGCTCTTCTTCGACGCGCTGCATCCTAACGTCGATTGCTGCTTCATCAACTTGGACGACCGAGGGTGAAGTAGCCCACGAACACGATCTGCCACTGAGACTCTGCTGCGAAAGCTGCCACTGGTGTTCCTTCGAGTGCGAGTTCGAGGAGAACTGTGCTCGTCCTTCACAGTGTAGAAACCCTCTGCAGTCACAGTCGAGTACTTCCTTGTAGTGGTAGTTGCCGACGACACGGACTGCGAGTAGGCCGGCGGTTCCACTGGGAAGTCGAAGATGTCGACAAGTCTGTCGAGGAAATGATCGATCGTCGCCCGGACACTGCCACGGCGTCGCAATCGCCCTCCATCAATCGAGGACACGCGTTCCCACCCTTTCATTGTGTGTTTCACCTTGGTAATGAGAACCTGACGAGCTGGACCCGATGGCTTCCGGGTGAATGCACTTATGGAGAAGACGCTAGCTGAGCAATGCACGCGAACGAGAGACGGGAGAGAGGAATGTACACTTGTTGCCGAACAGCTGAAGGGGCTCGCGCTCGCGTGCTTGCCAGCATCTGCCTTACCATCCTTCTTCCTTCCCACACGAAGACGCAACGTCGCAATGATTATTGTATCCGCATGGAGCGAGAAACCCTCTACGAGTCCAACGCGGCTGGATCATGAAGAGATGTTGCCTTTCGGTGGTCGAGACATGGCTACAGTGACAGGTGCATGGCTACATTGATCAAGAGCACAAGCTACATGTACGATAACTGCATGTCAGTTTGGACTTGGTTGTAGACCAAAGTCTGTGTCAAGTGTCCCCAATGATGCCTGGAACATTGGGAGAGGTTGTCGTAGTCCTGCATCAACTGGGAGAGGCAGGCTTCACTTGTGGGGTGTGCAATGTACGAGTCCACTTCTGTCTGGCTTGGTGGCACGAGAGAGCACTACATATGCAACGGGGGGAGGGATGTAAGTCCGTCAACAACCGGTCGCTAGCTATCTATCCACCGCACGTGGTGTGGTCTCTTCTATTGGTCACGTATCCTGCACGCATGAAGATACTCCCCACCGCAAGTGGTGTAGAAGCTCAGTCGTCAAAACGCGAGATAGGTGGCGTATCACTACGGAGGGAGGATGAAATGCAGCGCTCTCGTCTTCCTCTTCACGTGTTGGAGTCTATCTGCTGAGGCTGCGCGTGAATCGGATCTCCGTCGTGCTCTGGAACAGCTCGCAGCTCCGTCCAAATACGACGTTCAAGACTTGTTGGAGGGTCCTCCAGAGCTCACGACGTCACTCCCGTTATTCAACCAACTCGTCCGTGAGGAACGTCGTCAACTTCTGAGCCAAATCGGCGAGCTGCACCTCTTCGGTGACGGCTCGGTGCCCCACAACGCGACTCATGCCGAGCTGTTTCTCCACGCAAGCGCCGACAGCTACGGAAGTGCCCGAGCCCAATTCCTCCTCGGTGTATCACGGTCTCTATCCGACGACAAAGCTGCTGCACACCTCTACTACGACTTTGCAGCTCACGGAGGGTCCATCGGAGCGTCAATGGCTCTTGGGTATCGCGCACTTCATGGCTACGGGGCCACCAAGTCGTGCTCGACAGCTCTGAGGCACTACAAGTTCGCAGCAGACCGGGTTGTTACCGAACAAAGCGACCAGAAGCTGCAACTCTACGCCTTCCCTCAACTTGCTTGGCTCTCGCAGACTGAAGGCGCTCGATACCACGCAGACCTCAATCCGTCCGAAGATTTCCACCGAGCCGAGTACCTTCGTCAACGCGCCGGCGACTACCGCAATGCGGATCTCATGGTGCAGTCCGCGAGTATCACGTTGTTCAGCGACCTCTACGCCAGTCCAGAAGTCCCTGACCTCGAGCAGCATTCAGCTCGAGAGCGAGAAGCCTTGCGGTTCTTGGAGAGCTCAATGAAATTAGGCAACATCAAGGCTCAAGCTCTGTTGGGTCACGTGTACGCCTACGGACTCGCTGGTTGTTCTCCGAATGTTACCAAAGCTGTGGAGCTGTACGAGTCTGCGTTGAACGCGTCGAAAGCTCGGCCTAGCGGCGAGGCTGCCAATGGGCTTGGTGTCATTTACTCGCGGGGTATCGGTGGAGTACCTGTGGACCTTGATCGAGCTCGGAAGCTGTTCAAAGTTGCAGCGAATGCAGGCCACGCAGAGGGCGTTTACAATACTGGCATGGCCTTCTTGGAGCTTGGGAGCTTCCACGCTGCACGGGCCAAGGAATACTTTGTAGCAGCGGCTCACGTCGGCCACCTCAAGTCGATTTTCCAGCTTGCGCGGATCAAACAGCGACAAATCCACACGATCGGGAGTCTCACGAGCAGCAGCGTGTCGTGTGAAGAAGTCGTGGAACTCTATAAGCGCGTGGCGGAGTATTCACGTGAGGGAACGTCCATTATGACAACAGCGCTGGCACACGCGCAACGTGGGAACTGGGCGCTCGCTCTGGAGCTGTATCTGATCGCGGCTGAAATGGGCTTCGAAGTCGCGCAGAGCAACGCGATCTGGTTGATCAAACGCGTTCAACGCCAAGTCTTCGGCGTCAAGTCAACTCGCAGCTCGAAGCAGCTTGAACGGTTGTATACGCGCCTTGTAACTCGCGCTGCTGCTCAAGACAGCACTGATGCGCTGCTTAGATTGGGCGACGGAGCTTTCCTGGACGAGAACTACACTGTCGCGTTGAGGCACTATCAGCACGCAGACTTGGTGAGCGCTGGTACTTCTGCTCAAGCGCTTTACAGTGTGGGATACATGTACGAGTACGGCCTTGGAGTGTCATCAATCTCGCCCGAACGCGCTACGCTGTACTACCATCTCGCAGGGGAGAAGGAACCATCTCTGCGCCTTGTGATGGCCGCGCTACAGCTTAAACTACGCGTCCAGAGTGGTTTCAAGCGAGTCATCAACACGGCTCGGAGTATTTTGCGGTGGATTACAAGGCGCAGTGATGAGTCAAGTTCTCCAATTGAAGCTTCAACCATGACGCAGAGCGTGGATGAAGCAGCAGTACCGACCTCCAGAAACATCTCCAAGTTTGACAGCCGTCGAAGCGCATACCAGCAACAAATCAAGGCGCTGAAAGACTCGGCTTCTCTCGCTGACACGGATACTGATGACAGCACCCAAGTGTCGACAGTCCGAAGTGATCCGTACGAATACGCAACAGCGCTCCAGTTCATGGGCGACCAAACTCGACTTCATCTTGAGCTAGCGCGTGGTGATCTACCCTTAGAGCAGCAGGACTTCACCATCGAGACGTGGCTACGAGTGGATGACGTCCCATCTACGATCAACCGTGCCGAGCAAGTCGTGACTCTCGTCGATGCACTGGACAACTTCCAATTGGAAATGCTTCCTGCCCCTGGAGCTGCCGGTGATTCGTCCTGGATGCTGCGCTTCCGGAAGCATTCGTTGGTAGACGAACAGCTTCCTGAACTCGTGCTCAGCTTCTCTCACGCGCCGCTGGCCCCGCACACGTGGAACCACATCGCCGTCACATTTGACGCGGCATTCCAGACCGTCACGTTGCTGCTGAATGCTCAAGTCAAGCAGGTGCTCACCTTCCGCCCGCACCCAGCAGCTCCGAGCCGAAGTGAACATGCAGCAAAAGACGGGGGAACTTCCTCCTCTTCCAAGTTCCTTGCGATCGGGAGCAACCTCGCTCGTATCCACGGGATGAGTCCTCCCAACTCGAGGGTGTTCTCGGGACAAATGGTTCACTTTCGACTGTGGAAAACGCGCAAAACTTTGAAAGAGATCCGAGTGCTGATGATGGAGCAGTACGATCAAGTGGCAACACGGGACCTGCTGATCCATCTGCGCTACGATCTTCGAGCTGCGGGTCCGAAGACAACTACAAAGCGGGTTATGAACGGAGATCAAACCGTTTCTGAAGCTCATGGTATTCAACTGAAGATCGTGGAGTTTCCTCCGCCAAACTAACTCAGGAGAGTACGTCAATCATCGTTTGTCATACCACAACGATAACGAAAAAATGTAGCGTTTCCAACTGTTGAGCAAAACTTACTACCAGTAGTAACTCACATCCCACAAACTTGTAAAACATTCTCTTGAGCCATCGCTGCGATCGGAGTACGCGAGTACCGCCGCAACAGTTGATTCCTTCTTGCAATATCCCATACAGGCGCCGCGCCACACGCACAACGTCCTCATCCTCAGTTGCCTCTGTGATGAAATCGTTGCAGCACGCGATGTCCTTGGGCGTTCGTTTGAGAAACAGCCAGCGGCGGTAGTCCGTGACGATCCCGTGAATTGAGTCACTGGGCACTTCCTTCTCCTCATTGATGCCGACCATCAACACCAAGGCTCGAGCTTGACCCTCGTATCAATCGTGCGCCACAACGACCACGAGGATCTTGCGCTTCTTACTTTCAACTAACCAACTTGGGATGCTCTTCGAAAGCACCGTGTGAGACGAGATCAGTGGACGTCTTATGCGGCTCAGTTCGCCTCGCTCGAACATGGCTTCCACATGTAACAGAACCTCTTCAACCGAGTGTCTTATACGTCCCACGTACGTATCGAGGTCGAACACGGAGTCTGCGGATATATGCTCAATATTGCGTAGCTTTATCATCAGTTCTGCAAAGTGCTCGTTTTCGATGTGAGGGAGACTGAAGGCTTCTGGGTTTTTGCGCAGCAAACGTTCGTAGATATTCTCCACCTTCAACCGCTTTATCGCGCTGCATCGCACAAAGTCTTCGTCGTCTTCAACCCTGTCTTCTTCGTCACTGTCATCGTGAAAGAACTCGTCTTCGTCCAAAGCGCATTTCGCCGCTTCGCGTGCCTGTCCCACAAGACTCCGGTTGAGTTTACGACGATGCTCCCACCAATTCGATTCGCGAAAGAGTAGCTCGGCCTCGAGTTCCTTCGAGCGAAGGCGTGCGGGCACATCTTGCGGGTAATTGTTTTGACACTTCACACAGAATTGAGCAAGCATCGAAGCCTGACGGCTAATCTTTGTCGTGGCGGTTCGCAGGAGCATCAGGTTGTGGAGCGTCGAGTGCGCAATAGAAAGCAAACTTGGGAATGAAGACGTGATGCCTTAGCCTAGCGAAGTTACTTCAATCAATAAAGTTTCTTTTTGCCTCAAGTCGGGTTGCTTCAATTGATTCCATCAATGTTTGCATTAGAACCGGCAAGTCTTGCTCTAATCCTTTAAACATGAGCAGCAGTACCAGCGCGAGGTGGCGCCTTCAGCGATCGCTGCTTCACCACTTGGCGCAAGTAGTGATACACCCCGACGAAGAAGAGGAAAATCCACTCGAAAAACGTATTGTTGCGTGGCTCGACGCCGTTGGTCAGCACGCGCAGCAGAAATCCGTTCCAAGTGGTGGTGATGGAGTACTGGCCAAACCACAGTCCGTTGATGAGAATCTGGGCCCTCTTGTCGGATCTATAGGAAAATATAAGCAAAATGGAGGTAAGCAATTGTGACTAAACAGCAAATGCAACAGCGAAAGTAACCCACGCTTTCGTAGCTGCCGGGCTTTGGTCTGAGAACGTGGAATAGCCTAAATCAATTATGCACCCAAGCTTAGTACAGTGAAAGCAAAGTATCTACTATGAAAATTGCACGCACCTGTCGTGATGTGGCCCTCATTCACACCCGGAGTGCTAAGAAAAAAATGCATACAAGTGTTTAGTACCTGCACAAAAACACTCTTTTAAGAGTATTAAAATATGTTGCCAAACCAGACAGTACCTGGCTTCCTCAGCCTGATGAGAGCTCGAAGCACTCTCCCTGCGGGCCGCCGAAGTGTCCAAGAGGTTGAAGGACGACGTGCCCGGGTAGAAGACAGCCACCGAGATGTTGTACAGCAGCAACTCGTTGCGCAAGCTGTCCGCCAGTCCTCGGATCGCACTCTTGGAGCCACTGCAAGCCCCGCAGCCCACCGGGAACTCGAGACTGTCGGCACTGCTCACAAACACAATGCGTCCATGGTTCTTCGCTTCGATCATCGCCGGCAGCGCAGCCTGGTGGCAACAACAACAAGTGGCAACAGTTAACACCAACCAACAACTTTAAGGTACACCTTAAATTGCAACCTATAAGTTTACCTTAACCACAACCACGGCGCCGGTGTAGTTGACATCCATGGCCTCCTTCATCAGGGCAACATCCTGCTCCCAGAAGTACCCGGGCTTGATGCGCCTGCTGGCACCGTAGACGACGTGGTCTGTAGGCCGTCCATGGAAGGCATTTGCCTCCTGCACCGCCTGCTCCACTTGCTTAAAGTCCGTGAGTTCATACTCGAAGGTGAAAATGGGCGAGTCCCCCTTGGCCACTTTCTCGAGTTCACTTTGCGCCGCCTTTAGAGACTCGGTCGACGGCCCAATAAGAGATACTTTGGCTCCCTTGTTGAGGTATTTCTTGGCGATGGCAAGCCCCAGCGGGTTTTCCGTACCTGCGGTGCAAAACTACTGGTTAGGATAGCTCTAAACGGGATAAGTGTAGCGTAACCGCACCGGTGAGCAGCACGTGTTTGTCGCGGACATTAAAGCCCGGCGCCGTGAGCAGCGACCAGAGCCACGAGAGCACGCAGACGCCCACGAGCACGATGAGGGCGATCCAGCCGGGCTCCATCAGTCACAGCAGAGGAGGGAGTCGCAGTGGGGGACTGTGGCGTCGTAACGAGTGTTCAGTAGAACTCAAACCGAGTAGGTGATCTATTGCGAAATTCGTTGTTGTATTTGTGCCCTCTCAGTGATTTGGTTCGTTGCAAAGTGAAATGGTGGGGAAAGCAACAAAGCAACGGAGATTTGATATTTCCGAAGTCACTCAGTATTTTACGACCATACTCGGTTCTAATCGAGTGCATGGCACACACAAAGTCGCTTAATCTCTTCAGGCAGACTACTTAGACTCACTTGTTTAAGATGCTAAACACTGTCGCGTCATTATCACCTCTCCTGCACCTACTCCTTCGATGCCGCGACGGATGCGGAACATGCTGCGGATGAGGACCGCAACGCTTGTGGTCACGCTTCTTCGCATCGAAGCTCGCGGGAGGGCTAGCAGCAGACGCACGCCGTGCAGGCTGGGCTTCATTGAGCTGAATTAACCAGGCAACTGTCGACTGCTTCTTCGAGCTCCACTGTATGCATGCATGTCGTTTGTTAGTTAATCAGGCTACTTAAATACACAAGTGGACTCGGCGCCACTGCCGGTGATGTCGAGACCGGCACCAAGTAAGGCCAGAAGTGTCCAGTTTGACCGACAAGTACAGCGTGCTGGGTGGTTGCGAAGTCATTGAGCATTTTCCCAGGTCTATTGTGAAATTTCCGATATAGCGCCAAACTACCGATTAGATCAATCCTACGCCCCGAGCTAAGCTATTCGGACTTGCTAAAGTATTTAACGAAGATCACCTTCAATAGCGAGTAGCTAATCTCGGTTGGAACGACCTCAGTCTTCGACAAGTGTATCGTAGCAAAATCGTGTAGTGCTAAGAGTCTGATAGAGCGCTGACAAACTCGTTTTAAGGTCTAGTGCACCGCACACACAATCAGCCCGTAAACATGGAGATTTGAGCCGGGGATTGGAAGCATAGTGAGCTGAAGTTGTTTGCGTCCTTCGGGTCGGCGTTTGTGTGTGCTCATCGCGTGGCGGTGCATGCATGGCTGGCTGGCTGGTAGGCACCGTGTGGGAGGTGTGCAATGGCGCTATGTAAAGAATACTGTAAGTATTGTAACTTTACCGAGACGTTTTACCTGTACCACCGCAGAACTGATGCTGCATCTTAGTAGGATTGATAGCTTCGTGTCATATAATAAGCGTGAATGTTCTCTTTGATGATAGATCCAAAGTTATCACTGTAACTCAACTTGAGTGAGGCTCTAGAAATGCGGCACTTGTGGATTTGGGTCTCAGGTATTGTATCAGACCAGTCGATCTGCACTGTATAGAGCGTCCCCCACTAGATACGGCAGATATCGGTGTGCTGCTGCAGTGGCTGCATCCTTCCTGCTCCTCTTCCGAATTTTAGATGTAATCGGGTCAATGATGTTCGTCGAACCATTCGAACACGCCATTCTTTTTTGTTATCATAATTCTTACTGCAACATATTCCCCAAAAAGGATTTTTTTTTAAATCCTTTTTGGGGAATATGAGGATTTAAAAATCCTTCAAACGAATAGTTTTATTTTACTTTAACAAGGGATCCATCAGTCATGTAGTTAGAAAAAGACCGCCCCAGCAAAAGACAAAATTCGTCGGAAATCCGGATGCGGGTTTCATCCAGAAGCAAATACCATAGCTGCATAGGTCGTAGTCTAACCCCAACAAGAATTTTTTAAGGATAAATATAAGGACCAAATTTGAGGCAGTCTTTTTGACCACATTTTAACATGTTAGGAGCTATGTCAGGTATGGATAGAAAGGTCAGCATTCAGTCTACACGAGGGTAAGATCAGTATGCACTAGAGTTGTGGTGTCTTCGCACAGCAGCTCGAGCAAAAAGGTCACTCGGAGCGTATCGCTTTTTTCGAGTTTATCCTTAAGTTAACCCCTTGAACCCGAGAGCCTGGACCGTACATGTTACGCGCAAAAGCTTAACGTGGACCGTACACGTTAAGCTTTTCTATACTTGGTTTTTGTATTGGTCGCTACAATTTTCAAGTCAACGAGGGGTAGGCGATGTATCCATGGCTTCCACGGGAATCGACATAAATGATACATTGAGAAAGGCCAAAAATGCACGAGAAAGCGCACTACCGATCAAACTTGCAAATTGCATATGTACTATGAAGGGCGAACGAACTGGCACCACTGAATTTTCTCTCATTTGAAGATTCACCACCGAGGGCCCAGAACCCACGCCGCCGCTAGGAATGGCATTCCAGGCTAGATGGCGAGAGCTGAAGAAGGCCGGCTGGCACTCCAGAAAGCCGGCCGGCTTATCGGTCGACTTTACCTACTTGAAGCCCGGGAAGACGAAGAAGGACACGCGTGGCGAGGACTACTTTGTCGGCGAAGAAGAGCTCATGAAGTATTTGGACAAGCTTGACATCGGTATGCCTTTTTGTCGCGAATGGTCGGTCATGCTTTAATCCTAACGGTATTCTGTCACTAGCTGCACTCCAGGCGAAGAAGAAAGCGAGGCGAGAGGGCTCTGCAAACGCCGCCAGACGTCGAAGCGCGGTGCAACGTCTGCCAAGCAGCCAACCCAACTCAACTGACGGTACTATGCTCATGCGCTGTATCCAACAAGTTTGGCTTGTATCTAATCGTGTATTTCATGGATTTCGTGGACATGCAGCATCTCCAACGGCGCCGACGCCACCAGCAGCGACTCCGACTGAAGCTGATTCTCCGACAGGTTCGAATATGTGTGATGTATGTAACCATGCATTTACTGTTGTAGAAGCATCGCCGGAAAGGCGACGTAACCTCACCTCTGATTTTGCAGATGCCGATGACGGAAGCGAGTCGGCCTACCACCCGGATGATGACACTGACGCCTCGGACGATGACTATACTACGCCAGTAGTAGAGAGGAGTCCAAAGGCGATGAAGAAGCCGATGTTGCGACTGGAGGTTAGTCAAAGCTGCCTATACACGATTGAGAATGCATCTAACTTGTATGTACAACTTTTGCCGTTTATGCAGATGCTAATCTCGTCGACAAGTCTGAAGGCCCACGAGCCTACGTAGCGTTCGAGTCCGATGCAGAGAACGATGACGGAGATGACGAGGGCGACGCACCTGAAGATGACTTGACTGAGCTCGACGTGCAACTGCCCGTGCCGCCGGAGCTCTGGTTTGATGACAAGCTTATTGCAACTATTGGTGGAATGGAGAATATTCTGTCGGGGACTGTGTCCGACGAGTTGCTGCGAGACATGGGAGAGAAGGGCTGGGCTGACCTCTCCACGTCAACGCCGTACGACTACTTGATGCAACCCTACGAGGATCGCCCAGCCAACTCGCTGAACCAAGACTATACTTACCTGTACTCAGGAGAGTCGGGGCCAACTGCCAAGGCACTCGATGCGGCTGAGACTCCGTCTGGTGCGTTCTTCTACTTCCTGCAGCCGGACCTCTGGGAAGATATCGCTTCCGAGTCCAACGATTACTTCAAGGAGAACATGGATGAGAGGGTGGAGTGTCAACACACCAAGCAAGTCGCTCGACAGCTGAAACACCCTGAGTTCAAGCCAAAGACGAAAGAGCAGTTACGAAGTGAATTGGAAAACTACCCGGGTATTACACCACGCGAATTGTGTGTTTTTATTGGGCTTCTTATTGCAAGATCGATCGTGCCTAACAAGGAGAAGCTGGCGCACCATTGGCGGACGACGGGTGAAGGTGCGATACCTCGCGGATGTTTTGGTCAGTTCATGGTTCGCGATAGATTCATGCATCTGTCGCGAAGCCTTCACTTCAGTAGCAACAGCAACGTACGTGCATCCGGTAGACGATGGGCGTGCCTCGAGCGCGCCCATGTTTTTTTTTGGCGCGTAAGATATCTTATCCTGTATCCTACCGATTAACACTTTTAATATTGTTGTACGATACAGGTTTGAGGTGTACTGTGGAAAAAAGGAAACTGGTGGTGCGTCCGGCTCCACCGACTACAAGTCCGGCCCGGCCGCCGTCGTGCGCAATTTACGAGAAGTTTTTGGTCCTTCACCTCCTGCGGATGGAGCGATGCGCCTTGCCGTCACGGATAGGTTTTACTCTGTGGTTCCTCTCTCGATGAAGTTGCTCACGATGGGGTTCTACTCAATTGGCACCGTCCGCACCGACTGTCTCGGGCTGAGCACGAAGCTGATCCCGAAGAAGAAGGGCGACAAAAAGAAGCCGCCCAAAATACCCAAGAATCGTCCAGCCAGTATAGAGAGAGGCACATACATCGTCTCCGACGCGTTGCACATTCCTGGCATGAGGGTTTTGCGTTGGTGGGACACCCGAGCCGTGCATATGTTGAGCACTGGCGGAAGTGTTGCCATGGACCGGATCGTACGCCGTGACAAGATGACTGGCGAGCAGCATGAAGTGGTATGCCCGCGCATCGTCAAGGACTATCAGACCTACATGGGCGGCGTGGACGTGCACGACCAATTGCGTCTACAAAGGTGAAGTTGAGTATCTTATATATACAAGTTATGATTGTATCTAATCGTGTACGCTACATGTTGCAGGTACTCGCTGCAGTTGTGCATCAAGTACAAGAAGTACTACAAGTCCTGCTTCTCGGACTCGTGGATCTCGCCATTATCAACGCATTCATTGTGTTCAACGCTCGACGCGCAGCCAGCAATCTCCCAAAGCTTAGTCACGTCAAATTCTTGAAGCAACTTCATTTGGAGCTATGTCAGCTCCGTGAGGAAGACTGGGAGGCGTTACAGAGCAACGAGCGCTTCCAGGCGACGCCGTCCAAGCCGCGGCAGCGCAGCAAGGCTCAAGCAACCCACCAGCCTGTACAGAACGATGAATGGCGCCCGGGGAACAACCAGCAGGGGCGGAAGAGACGTACGCGAGTGTGTACAGTCTGCTCGCTGCTCAAAGGCACCGACAATGCTCGTGGAGGCGATTCTTCCGTGTATTGCAGCGAGTGCAAGCTGCCGAACGCGTCCAAGAAGCCCATGGCGTGGCGAGTGTTTCTCTGCGAGAAGGTACAATGGGTCTGCCATGTCGTGCTTCGACATCTGGCATAAAGCCTGGCGGAACGGTACGCTGCTGCCTAAGAAGGCGGCGAAGCGCAAGATCCGCGCGCGTACGCCGGCACGCAGCGGGAACGAGAATGAGGAGAAGGACAAAGGTGGGAGTGTGCAGTCGTCGAGTGATGAGTCCACGACAGGCGGCCCGCATCTGCCAAAGCGAGCTCGTGTCGCTCCGGATGCTGTGATGCGTGATTGAACGGGGCTTTGCGTCCGTCCATTTTTACTTTGGTTTTGTATACCTGCATAAACACGACATTGAACTTGATTGCATCTGTTCCATTCGTGCAGTTATGTACAGCCTTTTCTCGACTCTGCTCACGGTGATCATGTCTCTCACACGTGCATGTGTGCACACCATACCGTTTACTACGCATAAGGTGTATATTTATCGATGCTCCTACTTGTATAAAGTGGAGATACACGATAGGCGAAGAGGCCCTCACCCAGGGTTAGGGGTACTGTGCGCCTTTCCAACAAAAACAATCATACACGATACCAAAACAACCTGGTTTCAGTATAGTATCCCTTCCCCTGGTATACACGTTACCTTAGCGGATGGGGGGGCCAAAACACCTTCGGTCTCAAGGGGTTAAGGACAACAGTAGCTCGGCCAATAGTAGAAACAAGTGAAACCGTCGGCGACCCTTCACACCTTACGAGAGCCCACTGTTGGCCCTCTGGGACCGTACCTAAGTGGGTGTTTACAAATGCTAAGATATATGTTATCCTTAACCGGCCAGTAAAGGACAAAATTGCCCCAAAATCGAGACCGCCAGATTTGTTTTTGTCCTTATTTTAAGGATAAAATTTGTTGGGGCTAAGGAGTGTTTTGGTGCCCCATGCATGTTAAGGTGGCGCATACATACTCACTAAGAAAATCGAGAGATTGGGGTCAAAACATACACTTTTTAGGGACGATCTATACAGATTTGCATCCAGAACATACATTGCATTCCTGGCCATACAAAAAGGATAAAACGAGTTATGAATATGTAGAGAATTTAATCGGATGACATTCGGATTTCGGATTGGCATTTCTGTCTCATCCGGTTTAACCGGTTTGAAAATCGAATAAATCCGGTTATATTCGAATGCATTCGGATTGTTTGACTTATTACATTATGGAGTATCCTTCTATATACGAATAAATCAGCAATCGGCTACCACGGGGTAATAAAGGATACACATCTTTTGAGTGATCATGATTGGATAAAATCAGAATGTGTTCAAAGAAATGTCCCAAACCAAATTCGAATTGCATCCGGATGAACCCGGATCAGAATCCGGATTTTTATTGACCGGTTGCATTCGGATTTCATTCGAATGCAACCGGTTGAAACCGAATTCGGCCATCCTTTTACATTCTCTATGAATATATATTCATAACAGACCTCCCCCACAAATCTGCACGAGCAATGTGCAATATACCTCGCAAAGGTAGTGCAGCCATGCTCGAGATTTGCTCCAGCTGTCAGGAGGATGTACTAAGTTAGATGAGCTTGAGAGGGAAAATGTCGTAAGTCGGGAAGATGTATCCAGGCATCATTAGCTCAAACTCAGTACATTTCCATTTTTGTTCAACCTTTGCGAATTTTGTAACCTCGCAACTTTTATTGGTCCGACCTTGGCAGATTCTCCGGGAAGATCTGTAAAAAAACCCGTGCGAGCTATACATCGGCAAACAGCAGTCTCCCCTCCGCATCCGTTTTTCATGTGGAGTGACTATATATAGCGGGGAGCTCCGCCTGCCTTAAGTTCATTTCTCCGCGTCCGAGGACTTGGCGCCGTGTGACTGAGCTCGACTCGGAAGAAGCCTTCGATGACTACCGCGACGGCGATGTGTGCTGTGCTGCCATATTTCTCAAGAGAGACCTAAAGTCATGCCGAGATTGCATGGGTGCCACACAATGGTGGAACGCGGCTACAATGCAACAGCGCGATCTGCAGTGACTTTGGAAAGTGCGCTGTCATATACAAGGTGCTTCAATGCACTGGTTTCGACAAATGGCTGATCATGGGGAATAGTGAATCTCATTCGAGGGGTGCTCTTCCGTGCACCACCGTTCTCCCTGTCCGTCTGACGAAGAAAATGAAGACGTTCATTAGCGAGCAAGACGAAATCGGCAACCCTCCGCGTCTGATCTTGGTAAACCAGAAGAAACATTCTTCGATTCCGGCTCCAAGGCGTGGTCACTTCAATCCAGAACTCGTTGAAGAAGATTCGGTGAGAACATGGGACAAAGAACTCGATACGCGTTATTGAAGCTACGGTTCGATCGCATTCTTGTCTCTGGTATTGACCACAACAAAGCTTTTTCTGGCAATCGTTCTGACAACGACGACTACGCTTACGTCGGCTCTGGGGAGGATGATGATCCGTTTATCCTTGGAATCACTTCTCTCGCGATGATTGATGGATCCCTTCTGTTTGGATCGGCATCCACTTTTACATTGTTTCATGCAGATGCGACTTTTAAGTTGAGCGACATTGGCTATCCATTTCGTGTGGATTTACAGACCAGGCACGCTCGTATCAGCTTGCTGCGCTCTTTGTCGTTAGCCATCGAAGTGCGTTTGAGTATGGAGAATGATTTAGGTGCTTAGCACCGTTAGTGCGCAACATCCGAGGCCGTGATCTTCGTGTCGACGCGAATATGGGAGATGCCGAAGACGCGCAATTCTTAGCCCTGACGGCCGTACCAGAATTTGCAGAAGCTACTGTGCTAATGTGCTTCTTTCACGTCCTGTACAACGTACGGAAGAAGACTCAGCACTTCCTACCCAACGATCGGTACATGGTGATGCGGTCGATGATGGATATGCATTAATGCAGCAGTCAGCGCAAGTATGACGAGTGCAAGAAGCAGGAGCTTGCCAAGTGGCGTGAGTCAACTCACTTCGTCTCGTTCACTAAGTACTTAGAAGATGAATGGGTGAAAGGCCGGTTCTGGCGATGGCAAGTGCACCACACGCCCCAAGGATACTCGACTACAAACAATCCCTGCGAATCCTTCAATGCGATGCTGAAAGCATTCCTACAAAGGCGCAGATTTCACATACGATTGTAGCTACAGAAGTTAGTCGATTTTATTGAAACGCTAGAGCCAAAGAAGCTGGTCACAGCCGGCTACGTCGCCGTGCCCACAGCAGAATTAGTAAAAGCTGTCATGATGACCTCTGGTGAAGTGTCCGTGCAGAGCACCGAGAACCCGAAATGCGTGCATGTGAAAGAGATTCGACGTTCGGCCCTGCAAGTAGAAGAAAAAGAAGAAGATGAAGGTTTGACAAAATCACTGGAACAACTATCAAGAGCATTCGGAGACGCGAACGCTGAGGATGCCGACGAGGCTGACAACACGCCTGACGGCATAGTGACCGATGTTGACGGAGCGGTCATGGTTACATGTGCTGGTGATGAAGTGGCTAACTCAAAGCTTCAGGCTTGCAAAGAGGGTATTGAAGAAGACGACATTCCAGCGAAGGAGCGTGATCTGGAGACAAAAGCTGTCAAGTGGTCCCTACGAAGGGCCCACCGCAAAGGGATACCAGAGCAAGGCTGGATCGTTGATCTTGACAGGCGTGTTTGCGGCTGCAAATATTTCGGTAAGATGCTATCCTGTGCTCATATTATTGTTGCCGAGCGTACCCGTGGGTTAAACGGTAGCAGGCATGATCCAGCGGCGAAGCTGAAAAATCGGATCCAACGAACGAAACTGGGTGAAAAGGCACAAGGTAAAACCAAGAAGAAGCCGGCCAAATCTCGACTTGCACCCAGCCTTGCCAGTCGTGCGCTGGCCGAACGTCCTCCGAGAGCCTCATCGGCCCTGGACGTTCAGTTCATTCTAAACTAGAATGTGATTGGAGATTGCACGCTCATCTACAAATTGAATGCATTGTTTTTATTTCAACTTCATTTGGATGCATATTCCTTATTGCTTAGCGCTCGGGCGCTTGACTCTGCCAAAGAATCCGTGCCTCGCTTCGAGTAGAGGAGGATCCAGATTGATGCCAGAATTGTCGTTGTGTTCGAGTTGATCGCGTGCACAAATGTACTTGAGCCGAGCTCGTTTGATTCTGGTTTGAGAGAAGTCCTCCGACGGAGCTGTGTCGTCATCGCTGGGCTCAGATTCGAACCATACCATCCCTTTAGCTGATGCAAAGACGTTTGACACAAAACTCGCTACCGCCGTAAATGAGGTGCCACGACTTCATGGTAGCGTAGCCTCGCCCGAAGAAATCGTGGGACTTCGTCATTTGAACCGTCGCGGGGAACATCGCCGCGCCCACTCGTTTTGTTGGTGTCTTGCTCTTGCGTTTTGGTTGAGCCGAAGCTTGAGTCTTGCGTTTTGGTTGAGTCGAAGCTTGTAGTTCGCTCATCTAACACCCCGGTAAGGTCGCCCGTGAACCTTGAGTCAGGTGTTGCTGCCATGCAAGATCGCTGATCGTCCTCGGATAGCTCCTTCCACGTGTCGCGTAGCCGTTTGCCACCACCGGGGCTGTACCAGGTTTCGAAAGTAAAGATGCCGACAAGATTCTAAGTCTATAAGGTTGGTAGGACAACATTATGAAAATTACTTCAGGTATATAACCCTCTTGTGCGTCCGTAGATCTTATGCGCATCCGCGTCAGCATTTTTCCAGTACAATATGATCCAACCAACTTAGGCCACCCAATAACGCAATGTACCTTAAAGTAGTTCAGCACCACATAATTTTTCTGGCCTAATTGTGCCGTTAAACAAGTCACAACATGCATCAAATACAGCAGTATATACAGTGGCGTAATTAGGCCGGATGTGCAAGCAGCGCTGGCGGCGCGATATTAAACATGTAGAAGCGAAACGTGAAGATGTTACATTTTTTGTTATGCAGTACAAGCAGTGGCGTAATTTGGCCGAGTATACGAGCCAACGACAGCGAAGGCCGTTTTGGCTCTTTTCGAGCTAAACCATACCTCATTTAAGCTCATTATCGGTAGCGATTTACGTAGCCATATTTACCAAGCTTATGATTACTTGAAAGCCATCGATGCTTTGACAACTCTTCGTTTTCGTGGAGTTGTACTGCAAATCTCCAAATTGATTAGTGAAAGCAGCAAATTACGATTTGGTACCACCACTTACAGGAGGCTAATTCGTACTAAAGCAGCATGTTTGGCAGCACCTACCGAGACGAGAACGTTTCTGGTGACCACAAGACGATCTCAGTCAAGTTCGCAGTTCACAAGAACTGTCGTTTGCGCCCCTGTGGATGTTTGAGATAATGCAGCATAAGATTTTATGTTGCAGTATCGGTTTAAGAGCCATTTGAAACAACAGCAAATGACAGTTGTACAGCAATTATATTACAGCATAGCAGCGCAAACTCCGATTCATTACAGCTCAGAGCATGCTTTCGGCGGTACAAATGTAAGCTAACCAGGCAGCAGCAATAATAAAGAGGGGTGATCAGTCAATCAATGTAATCTGTGAGGATCGACCGTATCGGGGCAGCAAGCGAGAAGGGTCGCTGTCGTATCGGTTGAGTTAGTTTAGACATGTGGCTGTCATGCCTACGATATCTACATGTACATGTCGGAAGCCACAGCAGCAGCAACGATAAATCGTCTTTGAGTAAAACAAAATTATCGCAATTGATTAATGGTACTGAGTGCAGACTGTTTGTTGCGCGTCGACTTCGAAGCGAGGAGAGCTAAACGGCATGAAAATCAGTATAGCAGTGCTACAAAATCAAGTTCCAGGCGTCACATTTGGACATACAGCCCGAATAGCCCCAGCAAAATAAACACATTATGCATTCAACATGAACCGAAGTTCAGCTTGGTAGCTTGAAGCTGTGCAGTATGCAGCAAGAATAGCAGTAGTGTGCGTTCATGCAGATCCGTCACGGCAGATCGAGCAGCATAAGCGACCCAGCAAATGAATGCATGGCACTTCACAGTACAAAAATAGGAGCATGTGCTAAAATTCAAAAACTTCTTCATGCAACGCTCTTCTACGGCACGCGTAGCGCTACTACATAGGACTACTAGTAGTAAATAAAGTTTTCTACAATGCAGATTTTGGAATACAGTAAAAAAAGTCTGCCGAACTGCGAATACCGCGGGCCAAAGCCCGCAAACCAGTATTGTATAGTGAAATGAGTTACTTGATTAGTCTGTTCACTACTGTAAAGCTCCAGCGGATTTCGGCACTATCGGCTGACCTACCGGGTTTCAACTACATGGATCATGGATCCCTTGTTAAAAAAGTAAAAAAAAACTGTTTGTTTGAAATATTTTGCACCTTGTCAATATTTTGCAGCTTCGTAAAAAAGGAGTCTCAAAAAGTGTTTGTTGTTAAACAATTGACCCTTTTAACAATAATGATAACCGCAAAATATTTACAAAGCGGCAAAACATTTACGAAACTTCAACAAATTCTTTGTGAAACGCCCTCTTGATTTTTTTTTAAAACCGCAATATATTTACCAGAAAATAGTTTTATAAAACGTTTTTGAAACTCGTGTTTGTTAAATATTATGCAGTTTCACTTATAATTCGGACTGCAAAATATTTTTAAAAAACCAATTAAAACTACGTTTTTGAAAATATTGTGCAGTACGAATTTCGATACTCCTATAAAAGGAGGCATTTTATTTTTAAAAAACCCTCTAAATTTGACAAGGGATATCAACCAAATCAAACGATATAAAGAGTTTGGTCAAGCGGAATGGACTCACATTTACTTCGCTTTTTCAAGACTGTGCAATAGTTTTTTTAGAATGGATGTTGATGTTTACCCCGTAGATGACAAAACGCATACCCGCGATGAACTGCGAAAATTATTTTTACGAAAATGCAAATATCTGGCGAAAAATGTTCTATAATAAAAGGCACCCGTTGCTGCACCCAACTGGATAATATGTGACATGCTACGAGCACCCAGTCGTGACCAGTCGTGACCAACTAAGCACCAACCATGCCCTAGTGGCACCCATGTAGCACCCATCTGAGCCCCAACTCGATAGAGCCAGTGCGGATAGGTATACACCATAGCTGTATAGCCGGAAGGCGGTGCTTGCCGATCGCTACGAATGGACGACGGTGGACACGCAGCTTGATGACACGGCGCGCGTCCTCCAAACAAATCGAACATACAGAGACGAACTTACCTGCTTAAAACGCACTTACATGCTTGAATCGCACTTAGAGACTTGGAGCTGAAATCTAGATGTCACTTGGAGTGTGAGAGCACAAGTTGTTCTTCTTCAACCTCATAGACTCGCGAGCAGCCTTAGCACAAGTTGGCATGCACGAGCCTCAGAGACCAGCAAGTATCTTGAGTAGCACGAATAAATGCATTGATTCCAAAGTTGTTATCATCTGTTAGCTCCTGCTACCTTAATCTTGCAAGCACATACGTAGGTAGCGGTATCGCAGGCACTGCAGCGTCTTCTTGTCAAGGTGGCCCAGCGGTTCAGCTCCGCAAAAGATCTCGAAAGCATTCAACACGTAGATACCACAGTTGTAGCTATCTGTTTGCACCCCGAGGCCCGACTTGTATGTCTGCACGCGCAAACTCATTTCAACGGTACTTAGTAGAAGGGGTATTAGCGTCTGCGCCACAGCACGAACACCAAGCAGGTAGGAAGAGCTAGAATCGTAGATGCATACCTTGCCTTTGGCGAGGTTCATCATGATTGAGCACCAGTGGATGTTGTTGCAGTTCACCGGAAAGAGCGCAATCTCCGTTGACAGCCCCCTCATGGCCCGCCAAATGCCCGCAGTCTCGGCACTGACACTGCCGTCCACGGCAACGCCCAGCGCCGAAGCGTCGAAAATGACGATGTTGGGATCAGAACCGAACTTCTTGAACATCACCGTTTTCATCGCTTCGTCCGTAATGCATTCCTTAGCAGTGAGGTCCAGTACTTAAGTCTGCATGTAAAACCAATTCACCACAATAGTCAGTAAATAACCATGGAAAATAACAGAGATAATGAGTGTAGATAGAATTCCAATGGCTTTCAGCTTTTCCGGAAGCTCAGGGTCTTCTTCAACAGCAAAGCTCGGATTGGCGAGGCGAGAAAATTCTAGCTGCTTCAACCATTTCAACGTCTTCTCGATCTGCTTTAGGATGTCACACGGTGGTGCCATTTCTTCATGAGTGCGATAGTAGAATTAGCAAACACCCCAACACCGAGGATCTCAAGCGCAATGTCAAATTCGCGAACACCGGGATGCTTCCGCTGGAAGGCCGACACATTCGCCATTTACTTCTTTAGCAGGTCCTTGGAGAACATTCGCACAATCTCTTCTGGTCTCATCAACGGCTTGTTCACGGGTAGCTTTGTAATTGCATGAGCAATAGGAGGTTTCTGCTTGCCGACAAAAACAAACAACTTGAATTGGAGTAGTTTTTCATGAGTCGAGTTGAACGTCGGGTTGTCTTCCAGTAGCTCGTACGCTGAAATCAGGCTGAGACCATCTTCGTTGACATCCTCTTCAACCCTTGCAGCATTCTCGCTTCTCTTTGCCTTTACTGCTCGTGTCTTCTGCTTGGGGCGTCCTCGAGGTCTGGGTGGGCTTTCAAGCCCAAAGTCACTTGTTGCTTCGCGAAGAGCCACTGCATGTTGTTGTTTCTTCTTGGCTTGAACTGGAGGTGCAACCGCCACAGGTAAGGTGATCTCGGCTTGGCTAGAATTGACTTCATCGGAGGTGTCGAGGCCGTCTGGGTTTGTCGGATTTTCTTCAGAGACCAACTGGAACCCATCTGACCCCAGTTGCGATCCATCCGTACTCAGCTGTGATCCATCCATACCCAACTGGGTGGTCTGCACACTAGCGGAGGAAGATACGTCAAGATCTTGCGCAACGTGGTGCTCAGCCGGTAGCTCCGTAGATTGCAGAGCATCTGCAGGTTCAGCCCCGTCCGTCATCCTGGATATAGCCGTATATTCACCGTGCTTGAAAAGCTTGGCCACATCTTGAAGAACTTCCATCGCCGTCCTGTACTTCCGCATACCCAGGCATTCGCAATATGATTAAATTAGCGTTGTATGATGCGTTGTTGGGCTTTGATTACGTACCTGGTGGCTTGCTGTCGAATACTCGGCGAGATAGGCCTCCAGCTCCTTCCATGAGTTCAATTCGCGCTTCATTGGAGGAGGGGGCTCGACCTCTGGCTGGCCTTCTTCCGCAACGTCGTGCGGAGTGCAGGGATGAGCAGAAGCCTCCGTCCGGCCTTGCTTGGGCTGCGACGCGTGGCTCGCGGAGTCTTCGAATTCTTCATCACTGCTGACGTCACGTGGGGGGCAATAGGAAGAATCACTGCCCTCGTCGCCGCTAGCCCCACACGCTGCCTGGCGGACGGCGCTCCGGCGCGGCGCGCGCGCCACCGCTTTCACCCGCAGGTCGTGCACCATTCGCACTGGTTTCCAAATAGGTGGCGCGAGGGAGGGGGGAAAGAAACAATACACTACACGCCAGACGGATACGTTCATGTCGCAAAAATCATTTAACCTATCCCTTCAGTTGGGTGCAATACTCACTTCCATAATAAAATTGAACATAAATTGTCAATATTTTCTACGATAATTAGACATACAATTGGTTAGTTTTAATCATGAGTACAACAAATATAAAAAATGTTAGAATAGTTCGTGGCATCTTGTCATACAATGGATTTTTGTTGTTAGGAAAATGACTTTTGTCATCGCAAGTCGATACTTACTGTATGTCAATTTGGACAAAAAGTCGGCGAAAATGCCGACTTTGGCGGGTATTTGCTATTTTATGTCAGTGCGGTAAAAAACCAAACGCTGTATTGTGCCCTGACCCAGGCGATGTACACTAGCACAATGGTTTGGGCGCGCTCTCCTTTAATGTCGTTCTTCTTCACTTCGGCGGCCATGATCTTGTGTCGCCGCGATTGATCAAGTTGTCCGCGAAGCCGCTACACCTCCACGCTTCGGAAAGGAGGTGCAACCGAGGTGTGTGTCGCTGGGCAGCACACTACTCACCAGCCTTAATGCGATCGGAGATTTTACCTTTTTGGCTGTCAGTAGTCAGGGTCGCCCTCAAGCAGCCAGTAGCCACAACCTCTGCGAAGAAACGCGTAGGCTCGCCGTTCGGCCAGGAAACCCCCAGAACACAGATCAACCTCTTTTTCGAGAGTCCGATGTCGAGGCAACCTCGCGTGGCTGTGGTTAACATAACGTGCACGGCGAAGAAATTTGACGCAATGCTGAAGGGGCTCAACGGGCTAGAGAAGTTGGTGGGAATAGTCTACGTGGTCAAGCACCACCAAGATCACCTCCACGTCGTGGTCGAGCTGAAGAAGACCAATCTGTTGCAAGGACAGACCCAACTCTTTTTGATGCAGGAAACCGCGCTCTTGCTCAACGAGAAAAATTGTGTCCTAAGCTCAAATATCTAGGGGGTAGACTCAGCGCATGAGTACTGGGTGTGACACCGATACACCCCGAGAACGATGAAGATTGAGTGGAGTAATGACCAGATCACCAATGCTAACTACTACGAGGACGTGCTTAGAATGGCCAAGCGACTTCACGCGAGGCTCAAGGTCATCTACAGCATAGGCTAGATCAGCGGACATTCAAGGCCAAACCTTTACAAGTTCATCCATCCCAGAACCAGTAAAACTGAGACGAATAACCCTTAGTCCAAAAAACGATTCTGCATAACGAGTTGCCGCAGCTTAAGAGCTACAAAATTAAGTAAGGATGTGTCTACCAACATTAAACCTAAAATATATATCAGTGGCTCAACTATTTTAAAGTGTATTTTTTCTACCACGAATTAAAAAAACTATGGTAAAAATAATCATTAGAATATAAACAGTATAATATCGGTATCTCGTATTACGCGATTATGCAAAACAAGCATATTATTATGGCGTTTTGTATTTAGTTGTGATTTTGAGATATCATCGTGACTTTGACATCTGTAGAATGTACTTCAACTTTATTAGTGGTTCATACTAAATGAGTAAATACTATGTAAGTAAAAGAAATTTTCCTTTTTTGTTTCAATTTTGTTGGATTGTATATTGTAAACGTTTAGCGCGCCTTTCGCTTTATGGTTCATCACTCTCTAAACTCATTTTACTTAGGGGAAATAATAAAAAAATGGATTCCGGACCAACATGGACTACAAGAAAAAATGCGTTCTTTTACATACGACAAGGCCATGATCGTCTTTTGGTTTATGGCGATTTATCAACAAAAGGAAGGTCAAATTTGCTGTTTCACTTTCTTGAGTAACCCATGTCGTCCCTTTTGCTAGGGCAAACGGGAGGACAAAAGTGTTTCCCCATGATTTCAGAATAATGTTCCTCAAATATTGTCCTAGACGGATCGCTAGGACAAAGATTATGGTACACTATACTAAACTCAAATGAAATTTGGTTCTGTCCTACCATTTCTTTTCCCTCTTTGTCCTAGCAAAGTGCCCGAGTGGGGTTAAGACAAGATTAAGTCGATCATTTTGAAATTCTCAATAACAAAAGCCGATTCAGCTCTAATCGTGTGGGTTGGTTTGTTTTCAACCATGTTGAAAAAACAACTGTTCGCAAACATTATCTCAACCGTAGAAAATATCGAGAAATCGGAACTATTGTGGTATAAATCCCTTTATTATTTTTATTATATTTTCTTATTAGCTACCGTCATCTCCTACGCCTGCTTCGCAGCCGCAGCATCTGCCCGGAAATTTGCCAGTTCAAACTGTCTACCGGCAATGCTTTACAAAATGAATGCGAACCTTGGTTGAGATCTGTTTGGAGCTTTGCTGAGAATACAAACGTTTTAGTATTTACTTGATTTCGCTCATACGTACCCAGCTTAATACATATACTGATTCATACCAGTGTTGTCGGTAGCGCACCGGTTCGATCTGACCACGCATGTAAACCTTTTGGAGAGCCCAGTGCGGCACCGGAGTCGTACCGGTTTCAAGAAAATTTATCTGTTAGATGTCAAGGGGGGTCATTGTTTGACTTGATGTACCACGGATATAATCCGATTTGGTCTGCGATAGCAGCACTAACGTAGCTTCCTATCCCAGTATCAGTACTTGTACGACGACTCCAAGCAAACAGTGTTTTTCAATCTCAATTCTTACTGAAGTACTACTAGAATACATGTATATTACAAAAAAGTTTCAAGCTTGTTTCAAGTGTGATGCCGATGAATGGGGGCTTATGGTCGACAAGAGAGTCAAGTTTGTGATCGGAAGATGGCAGGACGAGGCAAGTCTCGTTCTAGACCGGGTAAATCCGACATTTGGTGAACGGTTCCGGCCTCCGGGTCCTCTGTCCCCGCCCGGCGTGCGTCAGCTGCAAGACAGCGACCAACCTACCCATTTTTCAGGTACGTATGCTAACCCCGGAAGCTGGTTCAACGGATCCGCGTATACTCCCAAGTGCCCCCAACCAGTCGAGACGACCTCCTCGGACGTGTTCACGGCGATGTGCGGCTGGCAAGAGGAGAACAAGGAAGGACTTTGCAGCATGAGAGACTGGTGACCTCTCATGTGTCCAAACATTTCAAGCATCACCAAGAAAATCGGCATCAAGCCACCAGAAACCCAGAAATTCGGCACAAAGCCATCAGAAATCCGGCATCAAGCCCCCAAGAACTGCGCCCACCGTGGCCAAGTAGGCACTGCCTATAATCCAGGTCTCTATGGTTAGCAATTAACGTAAATAGAAGATCTCTTCACCGCGGGGGCTCTAGCATATAGCGATCAATCGAGGTGCCTCTGTGGCGCGTTGAAGTAGGTGCGCGTACAGGGAAAAGTATCGCCGAGTCGATTTCACTGTGGAAAGTGTGGAGATGGTGTGTCGAGCTCCGCCAGCTCAACGTCGTTGACTTTGAACGCCTCTGCACCCTGCCGCCATACAAACTGTAGTTTGTCCAGTGAGGCCGTTAGTTGTGTATTACTTGTGTAACCAAGAGGGGGTTGTCACCTTCGAGGTTCCCCCCCCCCTCAATCCCAAACATTCTCCGTGGGAAGCGAAGCGTTCTTTCCGTAGTCTACTCTACTCGTGTGCACTTACACGCTCCGATCTGCCTACCCAGTTCGACAGGTACTGAGCCCAAGTCACGCTAGGAGCCTCTCGTGGGTGTCATGAGTGAAGAGAACGAAGAGAGCAAGAGCAACAGCCCGCCGCCGCCGACGTCTGTGCCGACGTTGATGCCTGCTACGATGGCTCCTGCATGCAGCAGCAAGTCTGGGTGCAGGAGTGCCTCGAGCGCCCGGGGCGACGACTGTGACGCCTCCTGCCATGCCTGTGACGACTGCGTCGACAGCTGGTGTTGCTGCGCAAGCTCACCAACCTGGTGCTGGTGATCTTCATAGTGAAGATGTGCGTGGGGCCGTGCGCCCTGGTGGTGGGGTGCTTTTCGGGAGAGCAGTGGGCCCTGCCGTTGCACGTGATGGCGGTGAACCTGGTGGAGGTTATGTTGGCAACGGTGGCTCATTTTTCGCTGGTGGGCACGCTTTCAGTGGACTTGCGCCTCGAGTTGGCGTGTACCCACTGGTGCGTGTGGACCTGGAGGAGTTAGCGGCTATGGAACCGGGTACGCACCGACTACGGCAGCCGGTGAAGTGCATGCAGCCAATGGTGCTGCCATTCCCAGCGTGGGTGTGCCTCGAGTTGGCCTACCAAAGCATTGCGTCTCCTATAAACCTCCGATAATGAATGGAAGCTTCGACTTGTATGAGGTTCAACTGCGTGCTTTTCTAACCCGCTTGGGGTGCTGGAGCGTCGTAGATGGGTCGTTTCGGACGGACCCTCATGTGATCATGGATTTTGCAGCGAGAAACAACGCGGCTCGCGAGGCGATCCTGCATGGTGTGCCAAGCGCCGAAGCTGAAATGATTTGTCAGGAGAAAACCGCGGAGGCGATGTGGAGCCGATTCGTTGACAGGCAGACGAAGAGAGAATACTCAAACTATATCTTCACGAGAGATGAGTTCTACTCGAATCACTTCGTGGCTGGCAAAAACATGAGTCAGTGGATTAGAGAGACGGAGCTGCTTCGTTGCCAGTTACTTCATTTTGGCAAGCAAGTCTCTGACGAAGCCTATGCTGAGAGTCTCCTAGGTCATGTGTCGAGAACCCACCGCGATGTGGTGCGTCAGTTTTCGAGACGGTGGAGGTGCCGTGCGACCTGTGCCGACTTCTGCTCAAGTGATCAATGCTCTGCTGGCCGAGTCCGCACTTGATGAGCGAGTGGCGAATGAGGGTGAAACGAAGCCTTCACACATGTGCTGGTGTGGAAAGCAGTCGTATGAAGACTCGCACCCGCCCAAGCCAAAGCAAAACCAAGGCAAGGGTAAGAAGTGCAAAAGCAAGGGCGCTACAAACAAAAGTCAAAATAAGGTGCTCAGCAGCAAGGCGCGCGCAAGGAGACACACACGTGCCATTTATGTGGTGAGGTTGGTCATCTGATGGCGAACTATCCGGAGAAGAAGGACAGTGGACGTGCTAAGCCGGAAGTCTCTGAGTTCAAAAGGTGGCAAGGACACAAACCTAGTGGCAATGACAACAACAAACGTGGCCGTAAGGGCGTGAGCGCTCTGAGCTGTCATGTGCGTGGTGTTGCGATACCTGTGGTCGCCGCAGTGACTGGCCGATCCCCAGCAGGTACCGAAGTGGAGTGGGTGCTGGATTCGGCTAGCGAGGTGCACGTGTGCAACCAGCGCGCGACACTGCACAATGGACGAGTTGACGAAGTGCATGTATTCCAAGGATACGATGGAGGAATAGGAGAAAACAAGGAGGTTGGTGATGTTACGTTGCGTGTGAAGAACAACAAATCGCCGCATGCTGAAGTGATGTTGCCATTTAAGAATGTGCTGCTCACACCTGCTGCTCCTGATAATTTGTTGAGCATGGACAAATTGGAGACGGACGGGTGGAGTGTGAAGTTCGGCCTTCTGAATTCTCAGCGTGTGTGTGTTGGCTCCGCAGAGAGCACGTGGAGTTGCTGCTGGTGAAGTCCAACCGCCGCTACCGGCTGAAGGCAACTGCGGTCGCAGTGTACGCAGTGACGGCATTGCAGAGCGAGGTGCCGCAGCCTGTGAGTGATCAAAGGCTGAGCGTGCAACCCAAACAGCGTGGTGCGACGCCTCTGGAGCGTTGGCATCTCCGCTACGCCCACCTCAACTGTACGACGTTGCAGGAAAGGCTCGAAATGGGGTTGCAGCTGGCATGGAAGGCGAAATGCGTGACGTTATGGAGGTGTCGTGTTGGACATGTAAGGCTGCTAAGATGACACGTATGTCCTCCAAGAACACGGGTACTCGGCGTGCAACGCGTCCATACCAGAGTGATGAGTGACATGTGCTACGTGGGCATTCTCGCTTATGATCGCTTCAAGCATTTTCAGTTGGTGCATGCGGGCAGATACCTGTGGGGATTCCTGCTGCATCGGAAGCGTGAGGCGACTAAGGTCGTGTTTTCGCATCTGGAATGGCTCGTGGCCCAGGGCCATCGCATTGAAGTGCTCGCGTCTGACAAAGGCCGTGAGCTGCTGAACAAAACGATGCTGGCGTTCCTTCAAAAGAACGGAATCGAGTACATCTGGACCAACGCGTATAGTCCGAAGAAAATGGACTGGTGGAGAAGATGAATGGAATTGTGTTGAGCCGTGTCAGATGCCTGCTGTCCGCAGCCAACATGCCTAGAGCTTTGTGGGGCGAGGCATTTCGCTTTGTTCTGGAGGTGCTCAACATCAGTGCTACCAATGCCATCGACGGAGCCACGCCGTTCTTCCGCCGATTCGGCTCGAGACCAGATGTATCAAGTTTGCGCACGTGGGCCTGTGTCGTGTTCGTGTTCACGCCGAAGGTGCTACGCAAGAACAAACTCGAGAATCCTGGCAAACCCGGCGGTCGCCGTCGCTGATTTGTATCGTATTTTGCGCGGGGGCTGATAACGCTGATTGCTGGGGCTGAGGGGCGCAATGGTACATCCAAGCGACGCTATCTAGCCATGTGTGTGGTGACAGTGGTAGAAAGCCCCTATAAGTTGATGGCGGCGGTCGCCGTCGCTGATTTGTATCGTATTTTGCGCGGGCACGCTAGCGAAAAAAAGCACAGCCACTCAAGAAAGAGAAATCCATTCATGAACCCGGAGCTCGAGGTGGTGACGGCAGCTCCGGGTATGGCGCAGCCATCTAGAACTTCGAGCTTGACTGTCAACCCCGGCAGCACGAAAAGCGGCGGCACCATGCACCCCGACGCGCTGCCACACGCGACCGGCTACGCCCTGCACTCAGAGAGTTACCGAGTGTTAAGCATGGTGACTACGCCCAGCACTCAGAGAGTTACCGAGTGTTAAGCATGGTGACTGGGGACATACAAGAGGTGCGATCAGTGGAGTGCTTTGAGGACTGGACCGTGGAGCACAGCTACGTGGTGAAGCTGCTGTCCAATCGGTATGGTAGAGGGCGCCATGTCTCGCCAACGACGGTGCCTTTTGTACGACTGCCTGTTGTGCATCCTGTGACGCATGGAGAGAAAGGGAGTGTAGCTGAATTTGATGATCGAACCTCAACACGCCGAGGCTGCGATGATCTTTCTGCTTTTGATGTTCCATTTGATGTGGGTGGAGAACCTAGTGACGCCTGTGCAGGTGCGCCTGGACAGTGGGTTGTTGATGCGCACGAGGTTCCGGTGAGTAGTACCGCGGCACCAACTCAGCCGGCGCCTGCGGGTGTTCCCCAGTGGGGAGGTGACGCTCCTCCACTCGAGAGCTCTGGACGAGATGATGGCGAGGGTGGTGTTGCGGACTTGCCTAACAGCAGTCGCGCAGATACCGCAGCTGTGCTGTCGGACCGTGAGGCCTTGACTTCAGTGGGAGGACAAAGTGATGGAGAGATCGCACGTGATACTGCTGGTGCTGCGCGCACGGAAGCGGACGAAGTTGAGGAGAGTACCATTGCATTTGGTGATCCAACGGATCTGATTGATCAGTTGGCAACGTTTGATGAGCTGAGGGCTGATGATAGTGACAATGAAGACGACGAGAACGATGGGTGGAGAGGAGCAGGACCTGCTACATCGTCTCGGGCTTCATCTTTCCGACGCTCAACACGAGTTCGCCGGCCCAATGTACGGCTTCAAGACTACGAAGTCGAGATCCCAGCAAGTCTAGTGATCCAGGCGGTGCACGAGCTGCTGGAGCCGCTTACTGTGGACGATGTGCTGCACGCTCCAGACGCAGAGCAATGGATCGAAGCCATGCAGAAAGAGTTTGATGATCTGATGCGCAACCACACCTGGGTGCTTGCCGAGCGTCCGAAAGAGAAGAAGATATTGACCAGCAAATGGGTCTTTGTTCGGAAGAGGAATCCCAAGGTCGAGGTGATTCGTCACCGTGCTCGACTAACTATCAAGGGCTGCCAACAAGAATTCGAGGTCAACTTCTGGGACACATACGCACCTGTGGTGTCCTACGAAGCTGTGAAGCTGGTGCTACAGCTGGCGCTGCACTACGACCTGATGTGTGAACACGCCGACTTCGTGACGGCATTTCTAAATGGCCCGATCGGCGATGATGTCGAGATTTACATTGAGATGCCCGAGTACTTCTGCGATGGATCAGGTCGAGTGTGCAAACTGTTGCGTAGTCTTTATGGTTTGAAACAAGCGCCGCACATTTGGTACACTACCCTGGATAAGTACTTGCGGTCGTGTGGATTCAAGCGATCGAAGATGGACAATGGTGTGTACTGGCGCGTAGTGGGAGACAGTCCGATCTTTCTCACTGTGTACGTGGACGATATCATAATCGCCGCGACCGCCGCCAACGTCAAGCTCGTCGTGAGCGAGTTGGAGCGGAAGTTCAAGATCAAAGACTTGGGGTCCGTGAACCTCCTGTTGGGCATGGAGATCACGTACATCCCGGGGCAGGCGTTGTGGATCTCACAGCGAGGACACATTGAGAAGATATTGGCAAGGTTCAACATGGATAAGTGACGCGCTGTGGCGACGCCGCAAGCGTTAGGCAAGCTCCCGTTGTCAGCAACATCTGGTAATGAAGACGTGAATGATCCTGAAGTGCCTTATCGTGCTATTGTGGGTTGTTTGCAGTACTTGGTGCAGTGCGCTCACCCGGAGCTTGCGAATGCGGTTCGTACGCTCGGTGTAATGGGCCTACTTTGGCTCACTACTTTAGCTTACACGTGTGCGCGTGTATGTGAGGAAGCGTAGCTTAGTTTAAATTAGAGTTAATTATACTCGGGCCTCCGAGTATAGATTAATTTAAATAAACGATCCAAATAATGTTTTGGGTTAAAATGAGAACTGCCATTTTTGTTTTATGTTTCTGACTTCCTCTAAATGTGATATTCTAAGATAGGAATCTGCCAACGGCTGATTGGCAGAATTCCAATGCTATGCATGTCGCTCATTGGCTAAAAGATGCTGCTCTCAGCCGATAGGAATCCTAAGTCTCTATGGACCACCCGTTGTGGTGGTCGTAAATGTATGTAGCCTTTGGTGTGTCTACACCAAGGTCGAGAAAGTCTTTCGAACCTCTAACAGACGTCGTGTCTGTTAGAGTTACAAGTGACTGTAGCCACTTGTGCGTGTAACCCTGTTACACCACCACCACCCCCCTCAAGGTTAGTCGCGCCGAGTCACGGCACGTCAATCAGGAAATTGACCATTCGTCAATTCTTCACGTTGGGAGAAAGAAAACTCGAGCTCATTCCGCAA